GGGGGGGAATGCATTGCTTCTCGTGTCCTAACAAGATTCATTCATCTCCTATAAGCGACTCTGTGATCCGGAGACTTTCCCTCTAAGACCTCACAAGATGACGTGTGGAAGCTGAATTAGGGTTAAAAGCAGAAGATCACCTGAATAACTCGAGAGGAAATCCCTGTCTGTGGGCGTGAAAGTTGCCTAGGCTTGAGTGGTTTTTACTGCCTTATTTTATTCCAATGAAGAATATAATCCACAACATTAGTCTGTCCCAGTCATTTTAGAACATTGACTGAAACAGAAAAGTAAACTAACCTTTCCCTCTATGGAAACTTGCTTTGCCAAGCAATGAATACATTCAACTGTGAAAGTGAATTAAAGTAAAAGTCTTCAAGAAAAGTGAAATTAATTTGGTATAGCTCAATAACAGTGGCAATTTCCAGACATTATAGGTTACTTAGCTAAAAAAAGCCCATCAAATAAATTCCTGTAATATTTGGTGTTTCTCTCACTGCAAGAGAGGACATCTCAAAATAACCAGTTGGGGAAAACCATGTCATAAAAAGTGTGTTTGACTGAAACAAGCACATGCCTTTGCCTAAAAACTGAAATAAGAGGAAAAATTGCTGTTTTCTGCACCAGTTTGTCTAGTGTGCCTTACCAGTTTCTGAAAAAGATTGTTTCAAACAGTGTAAAATGCAATGCAGCTTTTACCCTGGACTGGTGCCATAGGATGGAGGGTTTCAGTGTTTATGCTGAAATGGAAGCCTGTGACCTCCACTCTCTTTCTTTTTATCCCTTTACAGTGGAAGGAGCTACCTGGGTTTGCCAGGAGGCCTTCAGGCACTTGCTGGGCACTTACGAATGCATTGCACTTAAGGATGCACTGATAAAATAGAAAGCCGATGCATTAAGTATGTTTGCATGGTTCTTTTTATTATAACGCATTATAATACCGTCTGAATTGCAAAGGGAAAACGAGTTCCCTGTTTAGTAATTTAAAATGAGGTACAGGGAGAGATGTGGCTCATATGGCTGAAAGCTTTTTTCCCCCGCTTCCTCTGAACATTGTGACTTCATTACTAACCACAGTGTTCCTGATGGCCTGTCATGCATCAGCCCTTTCAGGCACTGATCTCCCCACAAGCACAGGAAAGGCTATTGTTCCCATGTGAAATGAGAAACCGGACTCAAACTCCTTGAAAATTTCTTTTTTTTTTAAGTCTATGCATGCACAGAAACTTGAACCTTTCTAATAGGCACAGTGAATTTCACTCATACATTTTAAAGATAGAGGAGTTCAGAACTCCAAAGTTTAGAAAATGCAAAGCATTCCGAATTCCTGCACCCTGTTGTTAATGCAAACATATGTAATCTGAGCCTTTGTGGAGGAAACAAAGGAGAGACAACAAAATTAGCTTGTTTGTGTTATTTTACAGCATATGCAGCATATGGTCCAGATTTAGTGGCTTCAAGGTATTCCTGGCATTCGTCTTTCTTGATTGAAATGCTACAGTTATAAAGTTACATATGACCTGAGGGCCACGAGCGACTTCTTTGTTTTGGGCTTGTTAAGCCTAGTCCTTACACACTTTTCTCAGGGTTAATGAAACATGGCATGATTTAGCTCCAGCATCCTCAATAAGAAAACATTTGCAAAGACTGTGTAAGTATGAAATGGCTTTGTAGTAAAATCTTAAGGGGAAAAATAACTCTACCGTTTTGGAAAATGAAACATTTGACACTAAATGCAAAAAAAAGGCATTATATCGGGCCACAAGAATAGATTTTGGACTGCTTTGGCTTCTTGTGTCTTTGAGGGCTGAGCGTGACCTGATGTGGATCAGTTGAAGCAGACTTCTGCATGGGATTCTAAAACAGATATAGGCCTTGAATTGCGAAGCAGAATTTGTTGAGTTGAGTAAAAGACCTGGCAACCTGCGCTGACACTGAATCGCAAAGCCGCCTGCGATACATCCGGACAGAGCTGTGAACAATGGAATCTGTGTGGAGTTTGGATTTGCAATGCAGCCTTGCTCCACAAAGCAGCTGACCACAGGATTAGGTTAGAAGGCGGAGTCCTGACAGCAGGGGCAGGTGGCAGCAGGCGTGGCATGGCCTGTCTGCAGTTCACCTATGTCCTTTACAAACAAAGCCAAGGGCCTGGTTTAGACCCCGCTGCCTTGGAAACCTAATATGGTGAAACCTTCTCGATCATACTAAACAGAGATCAAACACAATTCTGTGAATATGAAAATAGCAAACTGAAACAGAAATGATGAAGCACCTGAAGCAACTGATTCCAGCCTAACAGGTTTAGTACGATTTTGTTCAAAACTTGAACAGCTTGCGACAAAGAAATTAAAAATGTAATCAAGAAATAATATACAATATTCTGTTATATATTATTGCCTTTAATTCCTGTGGGTTTAGAAGGTTTAGTGCTACAGCATGCAAACTTGTGCCTGCTTTTAAAAGATTACTTAACATTAAAAGATGGCTTTTACAAGATCACTTAAAATAATCCAAACAGCAAACTGACAAGAAAATGTCTAGGCGTTTTAAAAAAATAAGAGGGAACCCGACTGTGCTTCATTTAAAGGAGCGTACAGTGTGTAATTTTAAATGATTAATTAATTCACAGAAAACACTTACACCTCTCTTAACACACATTGCATGTAAAGCACAATTCAGCTGGCCACAGTCTATACACTGACCCCACTTGAATTGTGACTTCAATATTGGAGAGAGCAAACAGCAAAACTTTATTACAGCCGATCTAGTAATGTGTGCCGCTTCTCTGGTTGTATTAATGGAGAGTGTATATATATTTTAAAGCACTTTCATCTACTTCAGGATTGCAGTAATGGAGTTGTGAAGGGTGAAAGGACGAGGCAAGCCACTGAACTCGGGATGAGCTGCTGGAGGGGGAGGCTATCCCTCTCCAGTCTGGATTCTGCTCTGCACGCTTGACAGGAGCTGCTCTTTCTCTGCTGCCGATCCCCTTCGTTCAGCATGAGCTGCCTCCGTTTCCTTTGTCTTCATCTTTCTGGATCTCGCTTCCATCTTCAAGACTGCGGGTCACTCTGATGTGGCACTGCTAGTCCCCAAGCCATCTTCTTCTGGGTGCAGTCCCGTCTTCTGAAACACCCTGTCACGCCCTGAGCTTTCTTTCCTCTGTAGGCCTCTCCATCACCTTTTCCTCTTGACTGCTACAGTACCTCACCCTCTCCCATGAATCGTGGTGGTTCTCTTCACCCCCCCTCCTCTGTTTCCCACACATTTCTTGTTCTCCACGCTCCGGCAGCTTCTCCTTGAGCGACATTTGCAGAGTCCTTCCCTCCTACTGCAGCTGTTCTGCCCAGCTCCAGGCTCTGGTGCTCACACACAGACTGTCCCAGCTCCTGTTCGCCAGTGCTATCCGCCCGCTCCAGCAGCTCATCCCAGAGTAGTGCGGCTTGCCTCGTCTTTTCACGTGCAACTCCCTTACTTCAGTCTGTCCTTTGGCTCCTTACTGCTGCACACTTTCAGTTCAAAAGCCCATTCCTGTCTTCCGCTGTCAAAACTGCTCACTCCTGCTCTCTTTCCTTTATCTTTGCCTGAACTCCCCCTTTCTCCTCCTCTCCTCCACCAGGATAACAGCTGTTCCCATTACCTGTTTTCCCCCACTTCGTCTGTCCAGAGAGCACCTTTTATCCGTCTGCTCTCAAACCACATCTTTCAATAAAGGTGAATTGCGCTACAGCGTATACTCACAGTGGGTTTCACACCCTTAAATGTGCCGTGTGTGTTATGCTCGCACTGTGATGTGGTTCTGAAGTGTTTTTGCCAGCAGGAGTCCTCATGTCAAAGGCAGGAAGGAGGAACCAATAGTTCTGGAATTGCAGCAATATCCCCACTCTTTGATGATAAACAGGAAAAGTGTGGATATAGGATACAAACTGATACTAATGGAGTATATAAATTCCAGGTGATAGTTTGATATTTTCAAATAAATGCACTTGTTTTTGGTATTGGTGATGCAAATCAACCTGGTTTCCATTTTTTTTGCGGACATTTTGTCTGTTTTATAACTGTGATTGTGCTGTAGTGTGAAACGCATGACTGGACTACAGGGATTTTATTTTTTTCTGATCTAAAATGCTGCAAGTAAATGCAGTACTGTGATTCACCCTCTACACTGTATTGCACTAATGGTTCAATTCTCCCTATAATTATCTAACTTGCAAATTACACGTGTTCATTGTGGAATATAAACCAACAGACTGATTACATTACTGCTCTGTATCCACACTTCCTGTACATGGTTTTAGTTTGTGATATTTTTATTTTGTTTCTTTGGCATTTGCTTTGCTCTTTCAGTTTGTGCTAGTGTTATTCAGCCATGAGCTATTTCATTATTCTTCACCTTATTATAACTGCATGATTGTTCCTTGTACTAAGAGTAATGTAAATCTTCTGTTCTGTAAGCCAACCTGGGTAAGGGTGATAGCTTAGCAAATAAGTATATTGTCAGGTATATATGCACACATTAACCCATCAAGTTTGAATGACAAAAGCCTGGAACCTCTTATAAAATGCCGCCTTGTCAGTTGTAGTGAGATGGGTGGCAGGGTATTTGAGTATATATCGCTGGGAAAGGAAAGTCTGAAGTCTTGCAGTGATAACATAGTGAGCTGGTCATTTGGTATGGAGTTAGGGAACTGTCTTTCTCCTGAAGTTTAGTAATTCAGCTGTATATAACACATTCATACTGTAGATATTTTTGGATCTACCCAGTCAAGTCCAATTACTAATTATGTCACTATTAAAAACTTTGAAGGATGCAAATGCTACATTTTCACGTACTTACAGTTGAATCACTCATTAGTGTTTTGGTTTAAACCTACATTAGAGTGTGGATGTGTATTGTAATTTGTCTGTTTGTTCTTTCCAACTAATCCTTTTAAGAATTATAGAGTGTTTTAAGGAGTGAATAAGTGTTGGCATTATCTTGTCTAATTGTTTCTCTTTAGCCTGCTGTGCTGGATAACCTGCTGACATCCATGAAGTTTGTTCTGCACGGAATGGGCGTCTTAAGGATCAATTTGGCGAGCAGTAAGAACAAGGTAAGAAGTCATCAAAGATGAAACTTTGACTTCCAACAGCTGCACAGACCATGGATCTTAATCAAGATGAAGCAGCATTTGTCAATGATATTTTTGAAATTAGAAGAAAATCGGAATTTGTAATGATGAGAAAGAAGGTTTTGTTCTTAAAAGATTAAGATGAAAAATGGGTTAAAGTGAAAAGACCTACATACTGATCTGCTACAGTACATACTCATCCCAATGAGTAATGATTGTGGGTTATCTTTGAGGTTATTGCAATGGCTCTTGTGGAAACAAGAGAAAACAGTTTATCTGTGCACAAAGCTTACATTGTCAAAGATATTAGAGTAGACTGCATTAGACTTCTGTTAAAAGGAATGCATATCTAAATTGTCTCCTTAATTGCATAATCATGCCAACACCAATAGGCTCCTCAAATACTGAACACACCCTCAGTGCTATGAAGAATGCAGGTATTTCTATTTTACAGAGGCGTTTCCAGTTCTTGAACGAGGTCTACTGAGGACAAAAATCTGCTTGTGGCTGCTTTGGTAAAGCTAGAAGCACCACTATGTTATTATGTGTTATTTTAAGAAAGTAGAACAACACTAGGTGGCAGCTATGCACTGCCATTTCTTTCTCATCAGTGGTACTGTGATGTTTGGGTCAAGACATTTAGCAGGTTTCTGTGGTCTGTAAACTGTGTACTTGGCTGCTGCTTCAGAGACTCATATGGGATGTTTATATTCCAGTACTGTACCTTGTATCTGCACAGCTCCTTACTAAGTTAAAGGTTTGTTCTTAAAGGCAACATAGATCTTACTTATCCAATAATGGCTTGATTTGCTCTCCCAAGGCAAAAACTCAAAACGAGAGATTAAGGGCAGGTTTTGGGATTTGGATCGTGTATTGACTTGTCTTAGTTCATCTCTCAGATGAAGCACATGATAGTGTTTCACCTAATACTTATCCTTAGATCGCGAGTCTTAATGTCACTGTAGTGTTTTCGACTGTGCGTTTTGCTGCTGTTCCATGAAAATCTTGCGGCGCAGATTGAAATGTGCTCTGTTGGCGCCAGCACACAGCATGCCTTGCCACACTGAATCTGTTTGAGCCGGAATGTGGGAAGTCTTGGCAAGGAGGACAGTGAGGTTATGGGCAAAAAGGCCAAGTTGGCATGCCAGGCTTGCATCACCGAGGAGCCCTCTGTGGCACCTCTGCCCTTTCTGCTCTGGTTGCAGGGTGGTGCTGCTGTTCTCGGAACAAGATGAGCATGTTTGGATTTGAATTTTATTTAAAGTCTTCTGATTTGATGTTCATATTGATTTAGAAAAGTAAGTCACGGCAGTAAATGCCACCTGGACAGACGAGGGAGGGAAGTGATGGATGGTACGTTCTCGGTCACGATCGGGTCTCTTTTTAGTCTTTGTTAAGCTGCGCAGGTGGTTTGCTACAATGCACAACAATTTGCCTCATAAATCTTCTGTCAGGATGCACTGCTGTACAGCACAGCTCAGCGTAATGCCCCCCAAGATCTATTTGTCTTAACTTCCAGTCGCTCCGCCTGTCCTCGGATTCTTTTCAGTGGACACAGCTGTAAGGCACTAAGGCAGCTGTGTAGAAGGCATCTCGTGTCTTGTGTTTCTGCTTTCCCCTGATTCTGTTTTTGTTGTTCTGTGTTTGCAAATGTCTCTCTTGTCTGTAGCGATTCACTCTCCCTCTAAGGCTGAGTACGTTTTGTGTGCCAGAACAATGTTTGCCCAACGTTTGGCAGTTTCAAGAAACTCACTCAGGCATCATTCCTTAAAATAGTTACGTGCCATTCTCTTTGAATAACGGAGAAATAGGGGGTTGAGGTTAAATAACAATAGCAAAAAGAGATGTCATTATTATTTTTTGTATTATTTAGGCACTTAGTTAAATTACAGCTTGTCTGCTCATTATCTTTTCATTAGGACAACAGATGCTTTAATTAGCAGCTGTTTTAAAGATGATACTGTGCAATGTAATTAAGCATGTTTAAGCATTCATCTCCTCAATTATGTGCAAAAGCTAATAGCTGTGAGTTAGATATGAACTTGAAAAAGAGATTTTCATTCAGACTTAGTTGCTCGACTAATGTTAAGTGCTATTAAGCGTGCCTGTAATTAAGCTTCTAATATCTGCTAATATGTTTGGGACTTTGGCTATAATAATGTGCATTGTAAAATGTAATTGAAACAATGTTTTAAGACTGCCCAGTTTGTAATTAATAAAGAGCTGAAAGAAAAAAAAATGCTACAAGCTGTTATTTGGTGCAAACTTACAGGATCTGGCGGATGGGATTGCAGCCATGGTTTGTTAATTTGTGCCCATTTAGCTGAAGTGCCTTGCTTGAAACAAAAACTGGGCCCTGCTAGGATCTGAACCTGCAGCTTTCCAGTTATGAGTCCAGAACCCCAGCCACTCCACTCCTCTACAATGCTGCCACTGGCCGCACCTAATTGAGAAACCTCCACTTCTTGTTTTTGCTGCACTATTGTAGAGTCTGTTGATCCAAGCAGTAATGACCAGATAGTTTTTTTTTCCCTCTCTGGCCGCACCTCATGAATGAATGTCTGCTCTGCTTGTCCCATCCCTGCAGTAAGTCGAGTGAGTGCATGTTCAGTGCATTTTGTGTATGTGTGTCTTGCCCTGTTCTACCATTCATCTGCATGTGCTCTGGTTATATGTGGGTCATGTTAATTGTTCTCAGTCAACGATTGTGTATGGTACCGCTCTTGCAAGATGAGGAGGAGATGGCAGAGCTCATTTTCTCTTAAATCTCTCTGACACGCTCTCTTTTCCTTTTAAGGTGTTTACTTTGAGATGATGTTGCCATTAAAACGAAGGGAAATTTTTTTTTAATATACGCAGTGTCAAGGTTAGCAATGCACACAGCTTGTATTTAAACAAAATGTAACTGAAAAGAAGAGATTCCTCTCTTCTGTGGTGCTTTACAGCACAGGTAAGTCCTAGCGAGCCCTTTCTGGGTGCTGTTCTTTTCTGCTTGCAGGTGTGTGCACATTTTGTTCTTTTTGGTGGTGCTTTTTTGTGATTTCAGCTGCTTGCTTCTTGCCCTAATAAGCCCTCGCTGGCTCGTCCCCAGGTCCACGCTCACTCGGTGCTGTCCTGCGGGCGCTGCTTCGACGAGGACCAGGTGCTGTTCCCCTTCGTGAGTCACGCCCTGCGCTGCCTGTGGGCCGACCAGGGCGTGCGCGTCGCGGCTGCTCGCGGCTACGAGTACGAGCTGAATGATTCGGCCATGTAGTGAGTACTGCCCCCCTCCCCATCTCTACCTGCAGGAGAGACCCTGCCTTTGTCAAACCTCTTTGCTTGAGAATGCTGTCGCATTCATTAATGGACAAGTGCTCAAAAATTGACTTCTCCAAATGCTGAAATGACGTACATGACCCCAGCCTCCTTTGACGTTGAAACTCATCTCCTAATTTGCTTCCTAATTAAAAAGGAATGCATGGAATGAATGGCCCCTTTGAATGCTTTTTGGTGTTTTAGTGAGGAAGGAATACCATGGCTAATTGCTAACTTTAAAGCCGTCTCTTTATTTGCTGGCTGGAGTCTCACCTTGAACAGAATCTCGCAAACAGGGTCTGGGGATGGTGGAGTAGAGTTTGGAGGGAGGGGGTAAAGTTTTTTTTTTTTTCTTCAAAGGGCCTGTAAAGGTTTCTGTCACAGTGTTGATTAAAGACATCGTGGTGTCCTGGGAGTGAGAGCTTTGGATGGTGAGGAAGGCTTATCCGATGGAGAGAGACAACTGACAACCAGAAAATTATTACTTTCATATTGCCAAATAACAAGAGAAAACTCAGACGTTCTGGCAAAAATTGAGTGACCTGCTGTGGCAGTGGTTCTCTGAAAGCATCATCTTACGTTTTATGGGCAAGACTCCATAGTATCTGATGTGTGTGACTGATGGCTGGTGAATTCTTTCTTTAGAATTTCTTTTCAAGAATTTTTTAAACATTGTTTGAGCACAACCTATTGCTGAAGTTCATTGGTTCTAGAATGGGATGTGGAGATGAGCTGAAGATCATTTCAATCAATCTCTGTTAACTTGTAATTTCTCCTGTCTCATGTCATTTACTCATGTCATGTATACTCATTACCTAGGTGACAGAAGGTCTTCATCTTAATCAGCAATTAGCTCCTCATTCCAATATTGTTCAGTTCAGTGTTTCAGTGGATGGCACTATTGAAAGTGTTATCTCATGGGGCAGGCAAGACCCACAGTTTAATTACAGCCATTTCTTGATTACAATCCATACTTCATGACTTCTACTTATTCATACTCCTTATCTCTTCTGCTACTGTAGTCTTGCCAATTTTTTTAAAGAAATACCTGTGATTGTTCTTTGAACACTTGTCATTTTGTATGTTCGGAGTTCAGTATTTGCCAGAGAAAGAAACAAACAAACAAAAAAAAAAGCCAGGTCATTGAATAGCACAGAAAGGCCATCCTACTCATCAGGTTCAGCTGGCAAGAAATTAAAACAGACTTACTAGTTTCACTCGACTATAATATATTTGTATCAAAAACATTGTGCACAATATCAAAAAATGAGAAACTTTTCTGCCAGATTTATTTTCTTTAAAAAAAACTCTGAAACTTTAATTGAATTAAATTTAATTTAAAAAATGTGTTGAATTGAAGATTGTAATGTTGGCTTTAACTTTTTTCTGTTCTCAAACGTATGTTAGGGTTAGGGAAAGCCTGTCCTCTCTATAGCTCCGGTACTCCCTTACATAAAGGCAGCAAATGTAGCTGGAGAAAACCACAAGGCAGGTTGCAAGTGTCTGCTGAATTTATGATACTGAGCATTTTATCTGTAAAAAAAACGCTTTCACAATTATGATATTTTCCCCGTGAACTTTAGTGACACAAAACTAAACTTGCCCAACTTATTCAAATAATTTATACCAGCAGTGCGAACACATCTATCTTGCCATCAGGGCAGTGTTGCTATAGACTTTTTCTTCAAGCACAGTTCATCAGCTGAGAATTTGTGTTTCTGACATTTCAGAAGGAATGTTTGCTTCTTGGAGTCTAATTGACAGTTAACAATATAAAGCAAAGCAGAAAGCCAATTAAGGCCAAGGCAAGATAAATTTGATGTTGGTTTGGTGATGCACAGAGTAAATGTCACTTAAACACAATTTCTGTTTTTTAAAGTCTTTTTTTATATATGCAAACATCATTTGCGGTATGCTACAGCCATCATATAATCGCTTATATTATCACTACTCGGCGGTCACTTTAACAGAAAATGGCACAGAGGTTGTGCCATTGTTGGAGCATTAATGTACTTCATTATTAAAAACTGAAAACCTGTCCTGGAATTACTCTTGTCAAAATGAGATGTTATTTATACTATAGGTTTCAGACAAATAGAATGTTTGTTCCTGTTTAAATACCTTTAACTTAATGATCAATTTCTTAGTTATTGTTGTCCTATCTGGGTTTTTCAAGGCATTTATTAAATGGTAAATCACACATTAGAGATCCAATTTTTTTTTTTATCATAGCCGCAGTCCCTTTGAAGCCCATAGAGAGTGACAGCATGACAAATAATGGAGATACCTCTAGCTTTTCCATTCATTTACAGCAGAAAAATGTTACTGAAGAGGCAGTACCCTCAAATAAAGTTGCTATGGAGCATGTCCTGATGCAACTGCAGTTCGACGGCAAAATTACAGCAGAGCTGGAAGGGAATAGCTTCTGGTACAATTGCGCATTAAAAGCTTACGCAGAAACAGGAAACATGGAATTGTTAAAAAAAAAAAGAAACCCTCCACACACTTGGTGGATTTAGAACTCATCTAAAGTAAGCGTTTCCATCTTTCCATTTCCATTCGCCTCTTCAATATAAAGCTAAAGGTTTCTAAGAAAGGTGAGACTAATACAAAAGTGAGCATGACACTAACAGGAACAAAGACCTGAGAGAACGAATGTGCTGTAAACTTCCAAATAGATGATGGCTCTTATTTTTAAATGCGCAGTAGCTGAAATTATGTATTTCTGTGTTTCACTAAGTGATAGTATTAGTATTTTAAGGTGTTTTCTCATTATAAGTAAGAACTCCAGAAAGCTTATAAATAAAAGGGAGCCATTTGTCCCCTCTTGCTGGTTGGTTGCTTCTAGTTTAATGATCCCAGGATCCCTGTGAATTGTTTGTTGAATGCTTCGATGGAACCAGCTTCAACAACATGATTAGGCATTTGCTATTTGGATTCCTACAGTCTTCCGCTCTGTAAAAAGCATGGTCTCCTCTGTCCTGAGTGCTCGCAAGCTTAATTTCAGTTACTCAGTTTTAATTCCAGCAGCTACCATAACCCCCTGAAAGCATTGGACAAACAAAATACAGTAAATGCAACTCACAACTGGCAGCCCACTGAAGCTCAGCAGGTGTGAGCCTGGGAAAGCTCAGGTTGCTGCTGGAAGAGGTGTTAGTGGGGCCAGCAGGGGGCGCTCACCCTGGAGTATGTGTGGGTCCTAATGCTCCAGTATAGTGACGGGGACACTATACTGTTAAAAGATGTCATCGTTTGGATGGCTGTAAAACCGAGATCCTGGCTCTCTGTGGTCATTAAAAATGCCAAGGCGTTTCTTGAAAAGAGTAAGAGTGTTCCCCTGGATTTGACCAAAAGTTCCCATTGGCCTTTACCAGTCATGGCTTCCTAATAATCCCCATCTCTGAACGGAGAACTCTGTTCTCTCCCCACTGAGGACTGATGTGTGGCAAGTGTACTGGCGCACTCTGGCTGCTGTCGAATCATCCAGCTTTGAGTGGAGTGTCCAGAAAAGCTCTATATAAGTGTAAGGAATTATTGTTAAATGGTTCATTATGTTAAATAATAGCTTAGATGGAATACTCGCAAGATTTTATCTTTTTTTGTAGATTCGATGGCATGAGATTTTTGTTTTCCAGCCACTTTTGATTTTTGTCCTCAGGGAGAAACTGAGACTGTATAATTTTTTTTCTGTGGTTTCATAGCTGTAGATTGCTTGGGGCTCCAGGTGGTGTTTAATCACATCTTCTCATTTAAGAGGATTACTCTCTGGCACCTTGAGGGTACTTAGACATGCTTCTTTTGTCACAGCCTTCTTCTTCTCATTGAATTTATTTTAAAGAATAAAAAAGCCAGGCATATTTCACACACACCGTGTTCTTTCTGTAGCATGACAATGTGAATTCTTCCTTTGGAATTCTGCAAGGCATCTGCATAATTTGTCAGGGTGTTTTTTTTTTTGTTTTGGAGCTCTTTGAAACTTTTTTCAAAAGCAATTTTTTCTTTTTGGTTTTGGAGTATCCCCAGTAACACTATGCAAAAATAAATCTACTTTAATGGTTTTCTTTCACTTGTGTTGAGAACAGAAACAGATTTGTTTGGGGATTCATGAAATCTATATGAATTAACTCCATTAATAAGTCTGTTATTCCATATGGAATCTCAGGTTTATTTTTCAGTGAACGTTCTTGAAAATTTGTCTATAAATTGGAGACTGTGACTTATTTCATCAATAGTGTAGCTAGATGTTCAGATGGGTGCATGATTGTGTGTTTGTCTCAAACAAAAGAGAAAAGAGAAGGCTTCTGGCTCTTTTCATTAGCTTTGAAATGTTTAAACACTTATTTAAACAACTGGTGGACCTACAACCAGGGAAACCCCCCGAGTGTCTTCTCAACAGACTGTAGGTAATTAGCTAAATGAAGTGAACAAGCTTCCTGTGTTCAGCCAGTTCGCAGCCACACGCTGGCTGTCTGAGTGTCTGAGCATCAATGTGCTGCAGAGCAGAGGGATGTTAACAGCAATTAGTGCCCAGTGCAATCCGGGCAGGTTTTAAATGTTGAGCATTTTTTTCCCGTAGCTAAATTAAATCTTTAATTCATTTCTTCATGTTGTGGAGGATCAGGGAAGGAGATTTTTCAAGTACAATGAAAGGATATGGTATGTGTTCATTATACCAGTTCACACCCGAAGAAGGCTCCACAGCTGAAACGTTATGTTTCCTTTCTTCTCTTTTCAGCATGGAATTAACCTCTACTCGTTCCTTATATTGTTTGCTTGGTTCATGAAAGACTCAGAATCTTGGGAATTAAATCAAGTGTGTGTTTCCAATAAGGATATTGCCTTGTCCTTGGCATGAAATATGGGACTGTGAGTTTCATTGCAGGTCTTTTGTGCTTGTAAAAGACAACTAATGCTTTATAAAATATGCTGTTTTCCTCTTGGTTTTTGTGAGGTGCATGCAGTTAGCATAAAATGCCTAGTTACAGGACTCTGCAAAAGCTGTGGTTTTTAATTTTGTATCGATTTACCTAAAATATAAGATGTGGGATTAACTCCAGACACTGATTTCTTATATAACAAAACATATTTTGGAAGCAGAATGGAATTTATTCCACCAGTTTAAATGGTGACATAACAATTCCGGATGGAATAAGCCAGACTTCAGCGCTGTTCTGTATATCTGAGGGGAAAGAAGGATGCCTCAAAATAAGAAAAGGTCAGGCTCTCAAGTTTCAATGTTCTTTGATATATGACTGTTGATGTTTTTCAAAATGGTGGGACAGGAAGGTAGTTTCCAAAGGGAGCCTGTGCCCTTTGTGTAGCTTAAACACAATACAAGTCTTGACACCTGTCAAAACATTTGCTACCAGATATAGTGTCTTATCTGTTTGAATGATCATAAACTCCAGTTTCCCATTTCTGCTGAGAAGCGAGTGGGTGCCTGGTTCTGTCATTGTGAAATACATTGATAGTTACAATTTGTCAGGGCAGTTCTGACTCCATTGACACTCTGAATTAAACACTTTAGCATGATAGCACTGCCTTTCTGCTACTTTTTGCCTTAATTGAATATACTGTTTATTATTACACGTATAAAAAAGTTTAAGAAGCTTTGAAAATGTGGAAAGATGATTTTTTTTAACACTTTGTATTTCAAGGTATCCATTAAAGGTGGAATTCTTTGTCTCCCTTTTGCGTCTTACTACAGCAGGAGAAAATAAACATTATCTCGGGGACCAGGTGCTGAATATTATAGTGTGAGGGACAACCATTTAGCAAGCTGTCAGACTTGGAGGGAAAAGAACAGGCAGATTCGTCATTTGAAGTCAATAATGTGTCTGTCAGTAGAGGCCTGATGTCAGCATGGCATTTGGATTATCCCGGCATGACAGTTTACACAAAGAGGATGCAGTGAGCCCTTTTTTTCGGCTGGCGTGTTGGCAGGTGCTGTCTGAGGCGACAGAAGTCAGGCCTCCTGTTCTCCTGCCCCTCTTCCATTTGTGCGCCGACTGATTCCTTGGAAAAAATAATCATATCTTGGTTGTGTTCCATGTCACTGGGGGAAGGTTGATCATCTTAACTATCTGAAATGTTAAAAGGGCTGAGCAGGACTTTATTCTTTTGTCTGACAGAGCCGAGGTCTTGTTTTCCGTATCTCGAAATACAAATCCAGCTATGACCCGACAAGGCATGGTACTTTTCCAGTTATGATTTCTGTTATATTAAACAGAGGTACATCACATTAGATGAGTTTGATGTAAGATAAGAAATAAACAACTGAAGGAGATTGCTCTTTTATTATTCCATTTGAAAGCTGGGTACAGTGCATTCACACCCAGTTCTTTAAAAGTTCGTGTAGCGCATTTAATTTTAAGACGTTTAAGGAAGCCAAGTAAATTTAGGTCACATTTTTGTGCGCAAGGCTGCCCAGTAAAGATGCTTCTCTTGCAGTTTTAAATTGCTTTAAGTCCAGACTGTAATCCTTGAGTTTGAATATAAATAAGAAATTAGGAGGCACTTTATTTCATTGTAACCTCCAGAGTGTTTATTTCTCATGGACTGTTGTCGATTATGGAGATCACATTTCAGGAGAAAAAGAAAGGAACCGTCATATTACAAACAAATGTTTAATCTCTCCTCAGTAATGCATCTGCTCAAGAAAAAAACTTTTTAGGTACAATTCAATCCATCCATTTTCTAGCCTTTTTTTCCAATTTAGGATTGCAGGAAAGATGAAGGCTATTCCAGCAATATTTGTTTTGCCTGTCAGTACAGGTTCTTTTCCACATAAAGTCTACATTTCCATCAAAAAGAAAACGCTATTTTGTCTCCTAAAGTAATGCAAAAAAGAAAGTGAGGATTGCGATTCAGTTGTCAGCATTCTCGATGCTAAAAGATCTTATGACCTATCACAACGCAGTCTGCATTTGCTCACTGAAATCTATATGAATCTGCTAGCCTTAATATTCCAATCATTTGTAAAGCGCTCTAGATTGGAATATTTGGTTAGACAAGACATTTGAGCCCTGCAGTGCCATTCCTGGTTTGCATTCTGAATGCCAATGGAAAGTCATGCAGTTTTTGGTGAGGGATGCTGTGGATCATCTGACTATTGGGTTTGGATGCAATTTGTGTGAGCCCCACAAGCGCCTGGATTCTGCAGGTAGCTATTATGACTGTGCTGTGCAGTCAGCTCCGATTATCTCTATTTCAGCCCTGTCTCCACAGTACATAAAATTAGCAGGACAATCCTAACACCTCCTGTGGGTGTCACACTGATTTTGCCTGCAGCTGGGCAGGCTGTCTAGCAATGTAAAATACAAATAGGATCTTGTACCCAAATAGTTTTTCATTTGTGTAATTAATTAACTATAGATAGATTAATTCTGACCTAAAATAAACTCACGTTAAAAGTGGAGATGACTATCGGCCATTCTTTTGCCTTGGTTTTTAGAAATGTCGGCTTGAGGAAATGTGATTTATCTAAAGCTGCAACAACTGTTCTTTTGTAAAGCTACTGATGGCTGTGATGGGCTTTCAAGGATTTCTGCTAGGAACTTCAGGCATTATTGTTGATTAGCTTTAGGCCAAAACAATAACCGGAGTATTTAGTAAAAAAGACAGACTTTAGAAGGCTTCTGATAAAATGGTCCCATCTTGTTTTTCCTCTTCTGAGTATTCTAGATGTTTGTCTGTGCTGATCTTTGAAGTGGTTAATGTTGTCACAGCTGACCTATCATGTATAAAAACATTACATTATTAAAGTTGGTTCAGCGAGGAAGTGAGAGATAATTTCTCAGTGAGTTTTTCAGTGGGTCTTGAAACCTGTTTTTTTCCATCTAATGAAGTTTAAGCTGATGATAGATTGGGTGGATTGGATAGCACAAACTAACATCAGTGACTTCCATGTTCCTTTTCTCTGCAGGTAAAAAGACAATTCAGTCTCCAAATTTCGGTATTTGTTATTTGTCTAGATTTTTATTTTGTAATTTTGTTTAATGCTAGCTTTAGTTCCTTAATTCGTGTTATACATTTGTGAGCGCCAAGTGGTCTTGTCCACATTTTCTAAATAACAGAAAGTGGGCTGTTGTCTGGTTTCGTGTAGCTGAGAATTTCTCACACAAAGCATATTTTAGAGGTTGTAATGTATACCTCAACTTTGTTGTAATACCTGTGATGCAGCTAAATTGTTCAATATGCAGACCATTTTCCTCTATTGAGAATTGAGAGTTCATTTTCTGTCAGGGTGGTGCGTGTTTTTTTTTGACACAAGATGACTAAATGCTATCAGAGAGTGCTTAGAGGCTCACATATGGATGCAGACATTTAGAGTCCTTCAAAGAATACAGTCAAATTAAAATATCGAAGTTGTCTGTAAGATCAGTCTATAAATATTATCAATTGTTCAAATGAAGCCCATGTCCCCCTAGTGTGCTGGTATCCCTGTCGGGGGCTAACAGATTCCTGCAGCAGGCCCCTGTAACTCTATGGGGTTCTGTAGCAGAGCTGAGGACAAGTCCTCATGATCGATTCTGACCGCATTAAAACTGTCATACAGGCTGTGCTCATCCTGTAACCCACACTAATTAAAAAAGCCACAAAGCCAGAGCTATAAGTTACCTCTTTTCTTTCTGTCATTTTAATTCCTACTCCTGTCTGTCTTCCAGTTTTGCATTGTCCACCTAGTATTTTGTACCCTCACTGCCCAAAATATTGGGAATGCCCTAGGTGAATGTGAATTAGTGACAGGAAATACGATGTTGCCTTGAGGAACAAGAAACACCTTTCCTTTCTGGCCCAGTTCCCCGAATTCTAATCCATATCAAAAACGTGAGGAACTGGTGGAATTTGAAGTTGGATCCCATAATCCAGCACTCTCAACACTAGCCTTTGAGGTAATCCTGCTAGAGGCGAGATACTTCCAACCTTTGTGGGATACGTGCTGTGGACTGTTCACCCAATTGGTACTCCTTGTAGAAGAATAATATGTTATCCACTGGGGATTTCTAATAATTTGGCCAGTATATGTATTTATAGCTCACAGGATCCAAACTGTAATAGCATGCTGATTTTTAACCAATGAAAATTAGAAAGACGTTCTTAAACTATCAAGGTGGTATAAATTGTCTTAAATGGATTTATTTTCCTAGCTAAGAAAAGTTTTGGAAAGTCATATGGTTTTTAATTTATCCAGACTTGCTCCTAACAAGACTGTTCATTTTGAAATTAGACAGACTCCCTCTTATCATCCACCTAAAGTGGGACAACAAGAGACTATCTTTAAGACTATGCATTCATGTTCATTGGCTGCAAAGCAACAAGAAAAGGTTAATTCTGTGCTGTAAAACACAAAGTGCTTCTTCTATTGAGCCTTCTTCAGGAGAGAGACCATCTTTGTCCAGCCTATTACTTAAAATTTTGCTGTTCCTCCACAGTTTCTTTGACAACATGAATCGGATCATTGCCCCCGAGTACATACCCACTGAGACAGATGTGCTGAGAGTGCGGCTTCGGACTACAGGCGTGATTGAGACCCAATTCAAAGTGAATCATCTGGTTTTCCGGTAGGTGAATTTAGTCACCAGGAATGTTTTTACTGCATGAACATAAATAATATGTAATTGGTGGTTCACAGCTATTTAAATCGATCCCAGAAAAAAACATTTTCTTATGAAAGTTATCATGACCTTATTTAAAAAAAAAATAAAGGTACTAAAATAAAATCTGAATTTATATGGTTTTCCTGCATAGTGTCCATCAATAATTCTGGACTAAATCCACCTTATTGTTTATAATATGACGGCTCAAGATTCCTGCAGTAATAGGATTATTGACATTTTGATTAAGCTAAATGTTTTTTTTAATTAAGTCTTTGCTAGCTGGGTTAGACATTCATATGACAGGCGTATAATTAGTGGCACTGCGACCAGATTACCATACAAAGAGGGAGTGCAGATGGACTTAACTACATCAGTTTCAGATCATAGATAGTGGCTGGGGAAATACATTGGATGTGTTCTGTGGTTAGGCCAGTATCATAGCTTTGTATTAATGTTTCATTATATGGTTTGAGCAGCAGCTGCCACAGTATCAAAGGTGATTGGCCACTTAAGCTTGGATGTTCTTTTTTCAGCAATCTGTTTGGCATGTCGTGTTTAGAAAACTTATCAGCAATATGATTGTCAAATTCTTGGCACCCGAATTAGAATTCCGTTTTACATCATATCATCTTCTATGGGGGAAATGAAAGGCAAACAGAGTTAGGATATCGAGTAGTAGAATTTAAATCAAGGGCTCTTATATTAAAGTTGTACAAATAACTTGTCAGATCTCATTTTGAATGCTGGCCTCTGCATTTAGGTTTAGGAGACTAGGCTTGCTTTGAATATTTTGAATATGAACTTGAACTTCTGTAAACTTCAGTATTGAATTCCCTTAGTAGATGGGTAGTAATTTAACTGAAGACAGAGTGTTTTTAAGCCTTAGGGGTGTTTTAAGTCTTTGATCTGATATTTGCAACTCTGTGTTCATTACATTTAAGTGTCGAGGAGTTTCTGCAAGCTTTGGTGTAGAGCTCTGGATGTTATATAGTTTCTCAAATTGGTTAGCTAGAGTAGGCTGGAATAGTCTTACTAATTAAGACCCAAGAAACGTTCACATGATTCAGTAGCATGAAATTGTCACTGCAAGAGTAACAGCTCCAGTCATAATATTGCACTTATGAAGAGTTACAAAAAGCTATATGAGGATTGTTTTTAAGGGGATGACACCACAAGTTCCCAAGTGTCATTTATGCATTTTAAGCTTTGCATTTGATTTATAGAGTCTCAATGGACACATCTGCTAGAGCACAGCAAGTGCCTCCTTGCACCTGTAGATTCTAGCTCACTCATTCATGTAATATCCCCATTACATTTTTACAGCTGTGGTTTTATTACCTCTTAAGAGTCGAGGTGTTTTGAAGTCTGAGGCTGGACCTAAAAATAATTTCGGATGTCAGCTCTATGACCAGAAAGTCTATGAGGGGTTGGTTTCGTGACTCTGTTGGGTTCTCCCTGTATATCAGCCTGTGGAGTTTACGGGTTCTGTCTAGAGTGTGATTATTTAACAAGACTATTTGCAACAGTGGTATTTCCAAATAATTTTCCGCTCTGCGGCTCGCTACTGATTTGAATGGTAATGGCTTCTCGCCGAAAGAGCAGATTTTCCGAGTAAATGCCACACATCATCCCTGATGTGGTCGCAAGTGGTTGAGATGCCGAAACGCCAGATGAGAAAATCTGAGCGAGAGCAGGTGTGAGAAGTGTTGGGCAGCCACGTAATGTCTTTAGTTGTTTAGCATTTTAATCAGAGTTTAGAACCCCCGAGGTATTTTGTGTTATACAGTTGTTTGCTGCTTTTTAGGCATTTACCCATGGCCAATACCTAGACATGGTGTTGAGCTGTACAAAAATGACAAATAGCTCAAAACGTGTAGCCATTGGGTTGTCTTGGAAACAATAACATTTGAAATTCCATTATATTAGGAGACTGATTTAAACTTTCCAACAAGGTAACCTTTAAAGAAAGTTGTCCCCATGGGTAGCTCAGCCAAGTAAGGCAGGTTGTTGTTCTGGATGCAAGCTGAGCCCTCTAGTGCAGACATCATTGTTTCATTGGAGGGCTTATGTCCTTAACTGATTGGGGCTGAAGTAACTCAAGCGACATTGTGTTGGCTGTCCTGCTGTCGAGTAGGGTTTACTCAGCAAAGGCAGTGCAGCAGTGACCTCTGTAACTTGTCTCTGTGAGCTGATGGCAGTGAGGAGTGTATCTCTCCTCCACAAGTGAGCACAGCAGGGCATGTGGCAGATGATGCATAGATTTTGGAAGAAAGCGCACACAGTGCTCATTGCTAATAAGAGGCAAAGCAGCGAGCCAAGTTGATGAACTGATAGCTGTCCTAAATTACAAGTTATTAAAAAAAAAGTAATTGACATCAGCATTTCTTTTTCAAAAGTAATTTCTCGTGGTATTGTCAAAGTTTCAAATGCTTTAAAAATTCATTTTAAGATTACTTTGAATACTTTCCATCTGCAATTGTTTTTATCGAGTACTCCAGTAACATGTAATTCAAGATGTAAATTCCATTAACGCTTGATGTTTAAAATGATTGTTCAGTCCTTTTTTCTTTTGGTTGTAACTGTACTTACTGAGTGCCTAGTCTTAAAGACTGATGTAATGCAGACTGTATGTAGGTATGTTTATTTTTACACTTTTGGATTGTGAGATCTCGGGTCATTAGGAATTGTTGACACCTAATTATATGCAGGTGGTAATATTATTATCCTTGTTGAGGTGCTAGAAAGAGTGTGCTAATCGTCTTAGTTAAATGAGATTAATTGAAATTGCTAATTGGCAAATGAGGATTTGGTTAGCTGTATAAAATTATTAGTACATGGGGGCTAAAACCTTGCATGATTTTAGTTGCTGAAAAAAAATGCAGTTTAATTGGATAATGCAGAACTATAATTATGGTCTTTCAGTAAAAGGCAAGGTCGAATGAATTCTCATTTTAAGATTTAAAATTCTTAAGATTTCAAAAAGGTTCTTGAAAATAAATCTTTAAAAGGCAAGGTCGAATGAATTCTCATTTTAAGATTTAAAATTCTTAAGATTTCAAAAAGGTTCTTGAAAATAAATCTTTCTGAGTGCCTTATGTTGATATTGCAACTCTTTCATATAAACAGTGTATTGTAATTTAGTTGTTTTTCTGCAGTTTCATTTTGAATCTATTCATCTTTGAAATGCTACATTATAAATATTGCCAAATGTTCCTTATCTGAGTTATTGAATAATATCCTCAGTAAATTCCGCATAGACAGTACAGTGTAGGTTTTGGAATGTGAAAAACTTCAAGTATTTTCTCATAACTGCATTCCTGATGTGTATGAGCAGTTATCTTCATTTTACTTTTGTTATATCAGTAGCAGTAGAATTAGTTCTAATTCTCCTGTTTCAAATTTGCCATTCTGTGAACATGCTTCTGGGTCATTTAAGTTCTTTTAATACTGGAGTTTGTAAAATTGAATTTTTGCCAGTGATCAACATTCCTCCTAACCTATGCTTGAGTTTCTGTTCAAAACTTGACCTACAGTATAAAGACCAGTAGGACTCCTTATCCTGGCCCTGGAGGAACACTCTCTGTTCTGATTTTTACTCCAGCTGTGTTCTGAATCACAGTCGATTTGAATTCAATTGAATTGAGCTGTGTATAAATTTGCTTTCAGCTCTTGAAAGGTAAAATGGAATTTGTAACTGGCATCGGCCCTGTCCCAGTTTCTGATTTTCAGAACAGCCCTCGTTCAGGTGTGCCGTCTGAAACGTGACCAGCTCTTGAAAGGTAAAATGGAATTTGTAACTGGCATCGGCCCTGTACCAGTTTCTGATTTTCAGAACAGCCCTCGTTCAGGTGTGCCGTCTGAAACGTGACCAGCTGCACCTTACCCACTCTGTGGAACGATAAAACACCGTGGACGTATCTGATACAAAGTTATTCGTGCCCATGTCTGATCATCAACAGTAATTAAGAGCTGTTTAGTCAGAAATAAGAGCAAGCACCTTGATGTGCTTGAGGCTGTGCACAATTCTATATGTTAAATTTGTTGGAAACAAAACCCTTGAAGTCGGTTGTTTCTACCACTCAGGACAGACAGGAAATTGCAAATTAAATTAAAGGAAGCAGCTCAATAAAGTCATCAATTAACCGTGGAGATGTAGAACTCAGCTGCAACGAAAAAACAGTTTGCAGTGTTCCTCTAGGACCAGGGCTGTAAAACCATTAATACAGACCATCAAAGGAATAAAAAAGTTTTACTGTCATTAATTTAAGATGCAGTAGGAATATATTCTTTTTAGGATTCTGTTTCCAATGTGATGTTTTGTAATCTGGTGTCTTGACATTGAAGCAGCCTAGAACCAGTGAGTAGATGTTTTAGACTTTCATGGGCATATACTGTATAGAGAAGAAAAGTGGAACACCCCCGCAAACCTGAAATAGCATCAGTACTGATTTTTCCCTCCCAAGGAGTCCTAATCTCTTCCCCCTTCTTTGGGTTTACTGAGATATCAGGTTTGCTGCAGGGCTGCCAATAAAAGCATGAATCAGCCATGAAACATTGATTAGTTTATGCCACGAGTCGTGGGTGCTCTATGAGCTCTGCAAGAGAGACGTCCAAAAGTTCTTCCCCGTGTGGTGAGATGCAGTTGTAATCTTCAGCGAGGTACTTCAATCAGATTACTTCAGTAAAATGTCCTGTCGTGTCTCCAGGTTGTCATTGTTCTCAACTGACTAATCTGGCTGAATTGATTCCTGGAGGTGTTGAGGAGGATGGGTGATCACTTCACAAACTGGAAATTATTGATTTTTATTTGCATTTCTCGCAGTTGACCCCCCCCTCCTCCCGGCATTATCGAGCCTTTGAAAGTTTTAAAAATGTTTTGCTGCAGTAATCTGATGTTTTCATTCACGCAACACGGACACATTTATTTTATACCCACTAGGGGGCGCCCTCACATACACATGGCTAGTAAATCTTTGCTCAATGTGTAATATTCTCTAATTGTGCTTTAAGAAATGCTGGAATACGTTGACAATTGTCAATTTTTAACCTCTCCTTTACTGTCAAAATAGAGTCAGTTCCTATAAGGGTGCTTTATATTAATTGTCCGCTTTGAAGTACAGTGTTAATGAGCTGACACCATTTCCATGACACCAATGGAACCTGATGTACAAATTAGAATAACATTCTTCAATAATTAGCACACACTGCTGAGATTTGTTGTTGCTGCACTTACTAAGAGCTTTAATATAGACAGTGGATTTAATGTCCTCTAAAAGCTTTAAATTCTCCCCACAGCCTGCTTTAAACATTTGTAACTGGTCCCCTAGCACCTTGGTATTGATGGCAGTACGTGGTTTAATTCTCATGACAGCATGCTCACAGAAGCATGCATTCTTTTGTCAAAACAATTAAATTGCCCTTGTTATTTTAAAAGTTGTTGTCAAAATTAGGCACATTCTCCTCCACAGGCACTGTCATTTTCCTGGCAAATGGTGACTGTGGGGGCTGCTGAACTTTCTCACCATCTCAGGTGCTGATAAAGCCGTGCAGCTGACATTATGAATTCTGTCAAGCACACCCCCAAAATTGGGATCCTTCACAGTGGATCTCGTCAAAACCCTGACCACGTCCACCGAGCGAAATATAAGAATCCCAGGAAGGATTTTCTGATAAGTCCACAAAATATTTCCGTAATGGCTTAATGCTACCATGATCCTTCAGTAATTCTATGAGAAAACCCTTGAAAGGTTTTGTAATAAGTGTCTATTTTCTAATGGCAAAAGCCGATTACAATAGCGTTCGTACTTGTGAATAGTTGGTGTATAGCTTCCACATTCTTGAACAGTGTTCTGCTCTACCTTCAAAGGTATTTGAAGGCTATGGAGGCTTTAGTGCCTTTGACTGTATGACGATCTGTTTATAAACCTCTTTACCGTTGGTACCAATGTCATGCAGGTGCTTCATGAGATGCTTATTGGAGGCTGTCTAATGACACATCATTTAACCTTCTCTTATATAAGTGCCATGCATCACCCGATAAAAGATCATGAATGTTTTAATAGTGTTTTAAATACCAGCACTTATTTTTATTGAATATATTTTGTCTCCTTTATTACCAAACGGTGATCTTTTGTTATTCTCTGATCTCAAGAGGCAGTGCAACTGGAGCTGTGGAAAGATTCTGAGGATGTATGAGGCCTGAAAGAAGATTTTGAACAAAGCAAATCGGAATGAGAAACAGAATTTTCCTGTTTTTATCCAAGAACTTGAAAGAGCAGCTTCATTAGTAGCATGTTTTCAGATAAGCAGTCAACTGTACGAATCCCACGTGTATCCTTACTCACTTTTGTCACTCATTTTATAGGTTAGTTGTGAAAAATGCACAACTGCGATGTATAACATTTTCTATTCCTTTCTAGGCGTCTTTGTAATTGAACAGTAGTTTTGTGAACTTGTGTTTTAATTGCTGTATGCAAGCGAGATGTTTACATTGGTGTGCCTGATGTTTGTAACAGCGAGCTCCATAGACGAGTTTAAATTGATAGAATACACAACACGCCACAGTGATTCTCATACCGTCCTTAATGTTCTCAGGGTTATAAACAAATCAAATCAGGTGTATAAGGTGTTTTTTCAGATTTAATGATTCCATAAGGTTGTCTTATTTATATATATATATGCTAAACTGAAAAATAAGAATTCACTCTCTCAGCCTGCGCTGAGACTCAGTGTGTAGTTCAGGACGTCTCCAGTGGGCGAGGTTTTGGGCCTGTCTTCTGCCTGGGTCCAGGCTGGTATAATGACACTCCCCGGCTCCCTCTTTTTGAGATATTGCCACTCTGTGTTTTTTTTTGTTTGAAAGATAATTAACTATGCAATGAAAATCAAGTGAGCGGAGCGGTTTATTAATCCCTGACATCAGATTGTTCCACGAAAGGCGTCCGGCGTTGCAGTGAGAGGCATTAGCATACTGAAAAGCGCAATGAGCAGTGACTGACTTGACGCCTGGAAGAATCTGAAAGGCTCCATTCTGACCTCCTAGAATGGGAAAGAGATTAGGAAGCTTTGTCTTAAGAGGCTCCATTTGCAGATCAAGGGGCCCGGTAATTAAAAAATGATAAGTGGCTGTTAGCAACAAAAGAATTCTTGATGTTGAGTGATGCACGTCATATTAAATCTTGATTGAACTGCTTATATAGTTAAACTTTTCTCTCAAATGTTTTAAAGGGATGGAATCTTCTTTTTCAGAACATCCTAATTTTTTGAGAGAGGAAGCAAAGGTAGATGGCATATGTTGTCCAAATTACAATCATTTCTTTTTCCAGAAGTGTGAAACGGTCAAACTAGAATAAATAAAAGGTCTTCTTCATGAATGTTTTGTGAAACCAAGCTTGTTAAATGAAGACGGCACTGTTATGTTGCTCACATTAATATATTTCATATTTAATACCGAAAATAGCAGCAAAGGTATGAGCCAATGCCTGATTTCTTTAATCAGTTGCCTTAGAAATAAGAAGCAACCTTGAGCTGTGTTTAAAATTCCCCCTTTCTCGATGTAGTTTCAGCTGTAAATTCTCCCATGTAATAAAAAAGTGAACTATGGAGGGAATTATATTTCATAGCAGTGAAATACCAATAAAGTTTTTCATTTTGCTTTCTTTTCAAACAAACAAAAGCATTAATTTTGAAAAATGAAGTGGAACTAAAGGTCCCATGCATCATTTACACTGTGCGTGAGTGTTGAGGGAATCAATAAAACGCACTCCTGTGCTTTAACAAGTGAGCCATGCTTCCCCCAGGGCCTCAAGCAGATTTTATAAATTTCTTGATAGATTTAATTTGAAATACTATAGATGAAATTTACATAAATACCAAGATAACCACTGTATGTATTAAGTTTGGTCAATTCCTGATGGGCCATTTGATCGCTGTGTTCCTTGCATTACTCAGTTCTTAACTGACCTGTACAAATGAGAGAAAAAAACAGCTGTCTTACCACTAGACCACCAGGTGGTGGGTTTATTAAAACTTGTTCTTACAAGTTTTCTGAAGCAGCCTTGTTTTCAAATGCAAAAAAAAAACAACCACAGACCTTTCTTTAGCATTGTTTCAATTATTCTGATGAGCCTCAGTGATCCCATTTTGTCTCTTTCTGAAGAGTGTTTTTAACCTGTTTTAAGATCACCAGTGTTAACTGCTGTGCAAATGGCCAAATGGTTATTTCCGAGCAAGAGGTCCTACAGTGGGAGAAAAAGGAGCAAGAAAAACAGCTGTCTGACTGCGTTTGGCTGCCTGCAGGGAGTATTAACTTTGAGAGCAGTCGTCAAGTCTGTCACGCAGGAAAGACGGGTCGTTTTGCATAGTTCTAGTGATTTATGGTGTGCAGTGGGTAGATTATTGTTCTTTTTTCTATAATGACAAGCAGTGCATGTCACGGTTTCTGTGCAGCAGAACAGGTATCGGGTGTTTTTCATTTTTCTTGATGTCATGTTTTCAAACTAATCGCCAGGGAGTTCCACAGCTCCCATCTCATCAAGGTGCAGTGAGGTGCCATATAATAAGTGTTAAATGCAAATCTGGAGAATGTCCGGAAGCGTTAGCTGGATGGTGTGTTCAGCTATCGTATGATTTTGCTTCCGATTCGTTGGGCAGTGTTCATGCAACTCTCCCCTGTGGCACTTTGCCTTTCCTCGTCTCTGGTTTAGGATGTATGACGTGGGAGGGCAGCGGACAGAGAGGAGGAAGTGGATCAGCTGTTTTGAGGATGTCAGGGCGGTGCTGTTCGTGGTGTCCCTCAGTGGCTATGACATGACTCTGGTGGAAGACTCCTCCATGGTGAGCACCCAGGAATCTGCCGCCATACCACCATGACCATCGCGCTGATGACTGCACCCGCCACTCTCGGTGCCAACATTCAAGCACAGTACCAGAGAAATCTGCTTTCCTCCTGCCAAATCCAAACTCTAGCAGTACTCAATTAAACTTGATGTTAACACAGAGTTTTATGTGGCTATACTTTTAAAATAATAGTGTCCTGGTAACAGTGTTTCTTGGGCGGCAGTTCCTTTGCCTCAGAGCAATTCCATTTGACAGGAGGTAGTGGGATATATTTACAGCACTGTACAGTGAGAACATATATTTTGTCATCTTTGGTCCAAAGTTCATTATTGGTTACTTTACTTTATATTCCCATGAAGAGGTCCTCCTCTTTTGTAATCTTATCTTTTCGTGGTGGTATTGCTAAGTATGGTTTTTTTAACATATTTCAGTTGTTCACCTAAAAACATTTGTTTCATTATTCATGTTACGTTACTTCATAAAAATGACCATATGCTAGTCTGAACAAAGTTGAGAAAAGTACATTGATGGATGGTTCCGTTCACCATCTCTCTCAAAACCCGTTAATGTTTGTCTCTCTCCAAAGAATCGTCTTCAAGAAAGCCTGAAGCTTTTTTCTTCGATCTGCAATAACGTGTTCTTCAAAAGTACATCAATGGTAAGTACTGGCATAAGTACCTGCAAAATCACAGGAGGGAATCAAGAAGTGCTCATAATACAGTATACTGTATCTCAAACTTACACTCTTACTTCTAAACAGCTGTTTTCCTGTTATTCTGTCAGTTTTATGTTTGGTCTGAGGGCCACAGATATTTTATTAAAACTTGACACACAGACTTCCAGAGATCAGGTCTGAAGCTCTTCCATATTAGAACAGCCCAAAACCAATTTGTTTAAATACAGTCTAAAGGCATCAAGTTTCTGCATTTGTATAAGTGCTATTGACCAGATATTGTCTGTGCCTGATGTGCGTTTGTGTTGTAACTAAGGGAATGCTGCAATTTGAAGATGACATTGCTTGAAACATGATGGAGAAATGGAACCTTCAGTTAACTTTGAAATCTTTCTGCAGCTTGTAAGAGAAAGTCACCATGCTTTTGCAGCACACCAGAATGACCTTTGCAAAGTGTTGGTTGTGATTATATTCACCTACACACAGAGCACGGCATGTTCCTCAGCACGATCTCCGTGTTGACCGTGATGCGGAGTGTGAGCGTGACAGCCGCGCTGCAACCCTTTTTCGCAAGGGCACGATGAAAGCCATCATTCGGCAGTCTCATCTTCGGAGTCTGAAAAGCCCTTTGTATTTCCTTCACTTCGATGAACTGTTAATTGTCAGAAAACAAGAAACCTTAATGGCATCTACTGAAGTTCTCGTCCCGGTGAAGGCAGTGGCTTTATCAGAGGAAGCTTCCAATTATGAGATTCCATAAGATGTGGCGCAGAGTCTTGCTTGGCTAACAACGCCCGCGATTTATATTGCCGTGATTAAAGCCCGTGACCTTCCTCACCTCAGCTTGGTTGCTATTATAGCTCTCCCTCTAATTGCTTCTGTCATTTGTAATTAAAATGCAAGGCATAATTTAGGTGTGGAGGATAATTTCAGTTCTGCTTGACAGTCCGAGTTACTGTTAAAAAGTGTGTAACGAGCCTGTTTAATTGGTCTCATTTAGCCTGTTATAATGCAGCATTAGTCATCAGCTGGTGGCCAGATAGGGATAAATTATGGTTAGTTTTTGCCTGCTGTGCTTGTTTAATTACATCATTAGGTTGGCTGCCTAGACCACCCCTTAGCCTTTCAACGCTCCTTCCTGCCTTGTTTAGTTTTAATTACAAGTGTGTTGTTTATTTATTCATTTTCGTAGGTGTTCACAGAACGCCTGCAACTGCAGGCTTTTAATTGGTCAACAACAACAAAAGGCTATTTTTCAAGTTGCCAGAAGACCCTAGTTTGAGCAGGAAGACAGGCTGGTTTATGACGCAAGAAGTTTATGACAAGACAGAAACAAGTTTTGGCAGTGATTAGAAGTGGTTATTTAGCAAATAACTTTCTGGTGATGAACCCTGCGTATTCTTGTAATGCGAACAAAAAGTATAATGACACTGGGAGGACTTGTGCATATGTATGTGGTTTTCCAAAGATAAAGTTTTGCTAAATTCCAGCAGTTAAGATTACAAATGTACCAAGTGGCATTAAACCATAAGTTAATATTAGAAGTGATATTTGTTCATTTTTATTGCCTCTTAGTCAATTTATTAAATTGAGATTTTTTTTGCATGTGTAATTTTGCTGTTTGTAATCCAACTTGCTTGCTCCAGCCTGCATATACTTTCATAATCCATAAGGGCAGGACCACAGTGATTATACTGTCTGTTAGTCATATTATTTACGTGCCATACTATTCATATTGATCAGTTTATTAACAGAGGCTCATAAATTATATTGTTTATTTAACAAAAAGGGAGGTCTCTGAAGATTTAGCTTGGTTTTAGTGTTATCCTTGCCATAATGTTAGTATAGTTTGCAGTGGGGGTAATTGTTTCTCAACTTCCATTTTGGCAGCTGGCTGTTTCATGAGAAGAAGGTAGAGGCGCCTGTCTGGTTAATATTCTTCTGTTTGTTTTCTTTACAGATTTTGTTTCTGAACAAAATCGATCTTTTTCAAGAAAAGATTTTACACTCTGGGAGACACTTGAGACTGTACCTCCCACAATACAGAGGTGGGTAACTGATTATCCTGCTCCACTATCAAAGAAACGTGTTTATTAGCGACCGTCGATTGCAGTTCAAGAATTCGAGAATTGGTCGTTACCAAAGTAGCGCCAGTGATTGAGATTTCACTCCTGTGCTCTTAATATACCTCGTTAATAGGCTTTAAGAACCTCCAGTGATCATTTGAATCGCTTGCACTATATCTTCCAGAGCAGGCTGTGTACGTCTGAGTCCTGTTACATATGGCTACTTAAAAGCATCACAGACAGATAAAGTCATTCTGGAATTACAGACTCTGTAAATGTACAACTGTACACGGATAAGCCAACAGGAAGCATTAACCTAAACAAATACTGAAATTTTGTGCACCATTGGTATGTACTTTCTGTCATGATTCAGAGGCTTTGACACAGTAACGGAAAACATTTTTGTTTTGTGGAAAGACCGTTTCAAATCCTCAATATACACGTGGACAACTGAAGTATTTTACATGGAATTTGTTAGATCTCCTTATGAAATTAATGTACTAATTGACATTTTAGGAATGTAGTAATTGACATTTTCACAAATATACTATGGTCATGAGGAAATTGCAGGACAAATGGAACCACGTTAAATCATTTGTTTATTTGACTGTTGTGCAGATATTGATTTTGTGGTGAAACCGTCAAATTTCATGGATTTATTGATTGTGGGTCAATCTGTTTTGACAAGGTAATCCGATTAACAGTGCTGTTATTTGTTGTTCTTCGCCGTTCACATTAAATTGATAGAATTTAAGTATTATTTAGGTGCTAATAAACATCAGAATCTAATTTTTAACTGAAGTCCAGCATCTTTCTCTGTGTCCAAACTGTTCTTCAGTCTCGAATGGCAATGTTTGTAGGCAGGACAATACAAAGCACCCTTACAACACAAGCCTGAAAGGTGGTTTGTTTCTGAATGTCATTTCATTAGTAAAATTTTGTTTCTAGACAAAGATGGTGATGTGTATATTTATGGGTCTGGTGCAGAAATAGAAAAGCTAGCAAAGTCTGTTCTTGGTGTAAAAGTTTTCATTACAAAAAATTAGGCTGTTTACCAACTTTTTGTTATAGGTGTGCACAGATTATTTAGAGCTTTGAATGTGGGGACAACTGACACAATAACTGCAGAGTATGCTGTTACTCATAACTGCCCAGTTGTATTAGAAGTTAGATGCTAGCTGTGTCAGAGAAACTATACTATTGCCGAAGATATACGAACCCAATTGTGTGCCCCACCTAGATACAGTACCTGCCTCTTTCAAGCCGGCTTCTATCGGGTCCATATCAAGTGTTTAGCAATGCTTGCTCCTCACTAAGGAGACTAGAGGGTGAGTTGGGCGGATCATACTATGGGTCTGGAGAAGGATGCAGAGAAATAACCATGGCAGGTGGTGCCTGCATGAGTTTTCCGATTTTGTCACCATTTCATTTAACTCAAGACCTTCTAAGAGAGAGATTTCCCTGAGGGCATATCTGGAGGTAAACGAAGATGTGACAGCTCTGTAAGATTACGTACAGAGGAAGAAGGTGGCGAGGGTGTCGCCAAGTGCATATGGTGCCATTGGTGGCACAATTTGTGATTTTGGTTGAATGTATTTCTCCCAGCTTTGTGTGTGCGCTCTCCAGAAATAATTGTAACCTCTGTCAAGATTTCTTTGTTCAGAAGTAATCATTGTGATATATATTCCCTGACCATTTGATCTATTGTGTAATCTAGGTCTGTTTTAAATTGTATATCATGAATGGTGCTATAATAATAACATTAGATTAATCTTTAGATATAAAAATATCTTGCTAATCTAAATAAAGCACTATGATCCTCAGAATTCATTCTACAATGAGCTAAATGCCTGGTGTAAAAAGCATGGAAGACGGGCAAAATAACATAAATTCTTTCATTTGAAAAATTATAATAAAAACAACTCCTGGTACCTTAGGAATTTTAGACCTAAACAGAATGAATGAGAGTTCTGCTCTTGGTACATTTGATAATCGCTTTTGTACAACAATTACACCTTTTTGTACCTCTACTTTTTTGTAATTACTATAGATTGTTGAAAGATGTCTCGTGTAGTGACAACGCTGGGGATTTGGGGTGTTGGAATTTTATGCAGGCTTCCTTTTAAATAATTTACCGGACTTTTAACTCTCCATGAAGCTTTCCCTTGAATGTGAGGCTCCACTGAGATGGATTAGATAGTGCCCTTGACAACAATGTTCTGCAGTTGTAGTTTTTGCTGATATGTTGCGACACATCTTAAAACAGCCCTCGTCATAAGGCTGATGAAAAGAGGATGTGTGCTTATGGATATGATAGGCAACTTTTAGGCACCCTCTGCCTTGTGGTATGTAGCCAAGAGAGATTAACTCAATAATTTACTGTCTGTTGACTCAGTCATTTGATTTTCATTCATTAAAGTGGAGAATTTCAGCACCGTAACGTGAACCTGACCCATTTCAGACTGCATCCGTTTCTCCCAATCATTTTGTAACTCTTTTTATTTCTCATTTCCTCCCATGATTGCCTTTAGAGTTCCACGTGATGGTTTTCCCTCAGCAGCAGCGATGAACTCCTTTGACCCTCCTATATTGAGGATACAGGGTTGTATGGGACTACGGCTGCTTTTATAATTAACAATATTTATGTTTGCACACAGCAGCTTTTCACTGCCTTCAGAAGCCTGTGGTGTTGGCAACCCCTAATGAAGATCTTTTTAAAGATGTTCCCATTGTACTCCAGCGAAACATTCACTTTCCCTTTTGACTTCCGGATTACTGTTAGTTTCTGCAATGGCAGTGAGTAGATCAAAATTAATTTTTTGTAAAACCAAAAATATTGGAAGGATAGATTAAAATTTGAAATAACAGAAGAAGAATATTCAAGTTGTATGAAGATCTTTTGGATTACTCAAAACGTTAGAATTTCAGGACTTGGACTGGAAAAGTTTTTGTTTTGTTTGGCATGTTCTTCCCCCTTATTCATTAAATCAGATGTTCCGCATGCCAGGGCTCTGCTATAAATCGCCTTCTGCAAGTTGTGTTGGGCCAGTGGCCATTGTCACATGTGTCGTACCCCTCTTGCATGAACAGATAAAACAAAATTACAAAATGAAGTCGTATTCCAGTTGCACTTATTAGTTACAGGTCAGAAAGATGACTGAAAGTCCAGTGTTGTTCTGTGTTCTATCCTCCTTCTGTGAGTATCCTCAGCCAGAAGCAAGTGCCTCCACCTACCAACCCATGTGCTTTGGTGATTCCCAGACAATACCGTTGACAAGGCATCAAAAAATCAAAATATCTCTTAATGCTAATCTCAATTTGGAGGCAAGGGAAGAAAGATTGGATTTTATAACTAAGGGTCAACTAATCTGCCCTCTTCACCTTACTTATACATACCCTTTTCCGATCTGCAGGGATCGAAATGTAATCATGCATTTTTCAATCTTACCATGGGCAAGCTATGCTTTATAAATAATACATGGAAATGATTCAGTTACCATTTGAAATGAGTGAATTTTTTATATTGTTACTGAGATGTTTTTCTCCTCCTTTCTTTTCCGCAATGTCTAGTGTGTTCTTTCATTTTTTGAATTGCTGGTGGTGATATACATACAGAGCAGCTTATAGATGGAGATGTGCTGTTTTATCGGCCTATGTGTTGTCCAAAGCAGTTAATGTGCCTTTTTTATACAGCAGCCAGCTGCAGTTGTACCGAACACAGAATTGAGAAATTAATCTCATGCAAAGAAAAATAATTTTTAGTATGCACAATGCATTTTCAGATGAATGCAGCTTTTTATATCTTGGTTTTACTGCCGAGGGAAGTGTTGGAAATTACTTTGTCTGCTCTCCCTGAAACTGAAAGACACGAGGGCTTTCATTGACTTATTTGTTTTCTGCGCCATGTGGTATGGATCGGGAGAGGAAGCTCACACACAGGGAGGATGAAGAGGCGCAGACAAGACTGTCACGCTTCTGTGCTGTTGCAGGCCCGTCCCAACACCGTGTGCTTGCTCTCCCCACAGGTGCTGACTGTGATGTCGACTCAGCTGCTCGATACCTTGCCAGCATGTTCCTCTCACTCAATAAGACCCCCAGCAAACTCATCTACCACCACTTCACCACCGCGACAGACACGTCCAATGTGCAAATTGTCTTTCAGGTCGTCATGGACACCATCATCAAGGAGAACCTGGAAGCTGTGTCATTGCTTTGAGAGGAAAGCTCCGTCTTTTTCGAATGAGAACTGAGCTGAGAACGTTGGATTGCAATTATGCTTCTGCGTTCTTGCCTGAAGCCACTTTTAAATTGAAGTTAAATGCGTCTCGGACAAGAGCTTCGTAGCTTAACTGTCTTGTTTTTAAAGGAGCTGCATCAGGCAGATTTGTTTTTCTAAGAACTGCAGTATTTGTACCTTGTATATTTATTTTCTAATCTCTGGAGTTCTTCGCATTTTCATGATGCATCAAAACCTTAATGCAGCGACTGCTTCAGTTTAAATAGTTTTTCTCTGCTTGCTACAGGGATGTAGCAACATCCCCTTCGTCCACTGCTTGCCAAGCATGCTTCCTGTACCTGTCCTGAAGTAACTAACAGATCACGCAACACTTGTTTTGAGAAGACGGAACCTTTTAAAGAGCAATGGGCAGGCTGAGGCTGTCATCAGGTCTGTTGCTGCTTCCACAGAATGGAGGGTGAAATAATAAACTGCAGACATGCTCAGAGGTTTTGTCCAAGAAGCTGAGTAGCAGAATGACAGAAAGCTAGAGTGTGTTTGGATATTTATTTGTAAACCAGATTTACTGTTGCCTCCAGAGCTTTACCCATGCATATGCATCACCTTTGTGCACCTTATAAATCAGTAGATCTGTCCCAAGTCAGGCTCTTGTCTGTCACGGGGATAATTGCACCTTTATCTTGCTGAGAAAAATGCCCTTATTTACTGTAATAAATCCATGAACACTGCCATCCTTCCCAAGTAATTAAAGAGCTGCATTGCCTCATGTCAGAGGGATGTATTCTTTATTGTCAATGTCCTGAAAACATGCACCAGGCAGTGCAAAGACACTCTTTGTGCAATTTCTGCTTGGAATCTGCCAGGGTTCTGCCATGGTAGTTTATACCTCAGGGGTACTGTAGGTATCTGTGCTCCTTGAGGGCCACAGGAGATGCGCTGGGCCCCAATCGGCCTTATTTTATCAATTTCTGTCAACTGATGCATTTTAACCCTTTTATCAGGTCTTCAACAGGTGTTGGTTTAAAGCAACTTACAAGAACACTTGCTTTGACTGCTGCCCTCAAGTGTATAAAAAAGATGGTTTAATTCACAGTCTAAAATTTTGTCTAAAGTAGATTTTCTTCCTGGAGGGCAAAGAGTATGGAATAAGCACACTGTGAACTGAATTATTTGATACCGATTCTACACTTCACTGCCGTTCTTTTGAAATGAAAAGGAACAGCATTGATGTGTGTTTGAGATTTTTTGCCACTTACAAATTCCTTATTCAAACTCTGTTTTTTGTTACTGTTTTTGGCATTGGTTCCATTAAACACCATGATAATTGTTGGAAGTACAGTACTACATAGAAGACTGCATTTCTATGTTAATAATTGGGTTTGAGTCACTAAATTGTATAGTCTAGAAGAGGCTTCATACTTTTTCATTTTGCAGTGAAGCCTTAAGATGTTTGGAACACAAATGGGGTTGTTCACCAGCAAGCTTCAGTTTGTACTTTGGGTGTATTTTCTGGTAGGTACAGTGCTGTGAAAGTTAGTTGTTAGTTATTTCTCTTGTAGTACACTCGAAATACTCCAGTTTGTTTTAGAGTCACACATCAAGCAGGAACACAGCAATTTCTTGTCCAGACTGTGCACTGTTTCCTCAGTGCTGGGTTGCACTGCTGGACTTAAGTTGAGTAGTCGTGAGTATGAAGCACTGTTAGACCTGACAAAAAGGGAATTATAACCTTAACTGAGACTGTCCTATTGGAAAAGACCTGTGAGTGCCTTTTTGTAATGCAATTATTTTGTCATTTTGTACATTGCGTTTTATTATATGTATCAAATTATTAAATTAAATATAATATTTTGTGGCTCAGCTGGTTGAATATTTAATGTTGCATTCAATACGACACTGTGAATAGACGTTTTTAATCTTGTGTTAGTTGTGCAATGAGTAGACTTTGCTGGTAGAAAAAGTAGCATCTGCCTTGTGCTATTTTTAATCTTAGAAATGTGATGACATTGATTCCAGGATCGTTCATAAAGATATAATTTATAGACCGAGCAACATCCTCAAATCTGTTCTTATAATGTACCCTTTTAAAAGTCTGTTTGTGTTAAATGAAATGCAGAACACAGATACAACACTGATTACTGTATGTGTCTGTAAGGGTGCATGATTTTGTATAGTTACTGCATGTCACTGTGCTTAGTGTTTTTGCCTTGCCATGCTGGGGGCCCTGGGTTCAGACTGGACTGGGGTGCTAGCTGTGTGGAGTTTGTATGTCTTCTCCATGTTTATGTAGGTTATCTTCCTGGTGCTCTGGCTCTCTCCCACAGTCCAAAGACATACTGGTAGGATAACTGGATTCTGGGAAAATTCTCTGGTGTGAGTGTGTGCTGTCTGTGTCTGTGTGCCTTGTGATGGACTGGCGTCCCATCCAGGGTATGTCCTTCCTTGTGCCCATTGCTTGCCAGGGTAAGTTAACCAACGACCCTGAACTGGATGGAGCAGTTAGGAAATAGATGAATGGGCTATGTGGCTTTTCCTACAATGTGCACCAAATCACCATGAATTTTTAATATTAGTAGCACGAATAGTAGTAACTGTAGCACTCAATCAAAAATCTGCGTTGAAGAATAAACCAACTGCTGTGCACTTAAAAAAATCCAAAACACAAAGGTATTTTAAGGCTGATATATTAGTTGAACAAATCAAATATAATTTATTTTATGTTGCTTTTTTATATAGAACATTAATACAAATGTACACATAAAGTTCACAGTTTATGTAAATTTTAATAAATAAAAATCGAAACAAAATAAAGGATAAATCTTCGAGAAGTTCTGCTCAGCAGTTAACAATATATGATCATTTAATACATTTGGCAGAGGCGACGTTGGATATGGATGTAGGGTAGGGGTAGGGTATCAAACTGAAATAACCCTTCTCGCACACCGTACTTTGGATTTTTTTTTTGTTACATCTTCACATATGGTGAGAAACATTCAATGTCATCGGTCCGTCACACTTGGTTGTAGTTGTAGTACTCCGTGGAAAGAGGCGCTGCGATCAGTGTGTTTTGCCGGTGAGGGATCTTTAGGCGTTGACGCAGTCCTGTGAGTCGAGGGAAAGGTACACGTCTGCCTTACACTGAAACGTGCTCATCCCATCCTGCACAAGTTCACAGCTTTGCAGGTTCGGAGAAATGTCTTTGACACACACAGCCTGTGGAAAAGTTAAGCACATACTGTTAAATCGACTTAGACAAAGAATGCAGTAATAACACAGTATAGATCGCCACGGATCTTTTTTTCTTACCAATGCCTTTGCGCTACTATACTTCCCAAACTGGTGTTTTGTAATGGCTCTTCATGAATAATATTAAAAGCGTTATTACGAGTGTTAAACATAGTTTTCCCCCATAATTGTATTGATTTATCCGCTCCCTTTCCAGTATACAACGGATTCCTAATTTCGCAGCGTTGTAACATTAGGCTAGGAATTTAGAAAGCTGTCCGTCTTTTCAAGATTTAGACATTTATCATGTATATGGAATAAGAATTTTGTGTCCTAAAAATAAAATCAGTTATGTACGTGTATGATACATTTGGATTTTTTAACGGAAAAGTTGGTGTTGCTTTTTGCTGTCATTAAGGAACACCATGAAGTAATAAAACTCGGTTTCTGAACAAAAGCATTCAAAAATGTATTTGGAAGCTCCGATCGCTGTTTTCCTTTGTGCCTGGTCAAGTGAGCTTTTCTTTTTCGTGTTGATGAAGTTCACGTATTAAGGTGATGCTCGCTGATCTCCGTCAGCAGCGGACTCCGTACAGTACATTCGTGCAGATTATGGAAGTTAGCGCCCTGCGTCGTGGTGCTGAAGGGACAGCGCCCGATTACGCGCATCATTGTTTAATGTGGAGAGGTGCCGTTTCAGACTGCACACCTACTAAATTCTGTCAGTATTTGGACCAAAATACATGACACTAGGAGATACAAAAAGTCTGCCATTGCGTTTACTGGTTTAATGAACTTTTTCCTTCGTTGTATCGTGTGGTTGGCTAGGACACTAACACTTCGAAATTGTATTCCCTTTAAGGCGACTGCACCAAATGAAATGTCACTCGCATATAACATTAAATACTTTGCGATTGTGGAGGGTTTGTGTTAGAACTGATCTTTTTTTTTGTGCGAAACGTTACGAATGTTGTAATTACGACTTACTCCCGTGTGTTGAAGCATCAGATCTCAGGTTCGTAGTTTTGACGTTTGTTTTTGTAAATGAATGAGTCCTCATTAAAAAAAAAAGCTACTCACCATATTCTTCAGGAAGGCTGTCTGTCGGGCTTGGCTACCCATCTCCGTCATAAAGTTTCCAGTGGACTCTCCGCTTTCGGCCATAGCCTCAGGTTCAGACCTTCTGATGTAAGGTGATCTTCGGATGCCGGACAGCAAACCTGAAGCTCTGCCTACGGAGTAGTAGCTTGGGCCAGTCGCTTGCTTGTACCACGCCGCCGTGGGGTGGCAAGAAATGAGCATGGAGATGGCCGCCACCACCAAGGCAAATTTCATCGATCTCTCCATGGCGAACATCGCTCGACTGTTTCAGGCAGCGAGACGAGTGGTCTTGATCCTGGAGCGACTTTCCGTTGAGCTCACTTCAAACTCTTACTCTTTCTGTTCTGCTGGTAACTTTATGCTCCAACGCAGAAAACGCCGTCTCTTATATAGGAGCCCCTCGATCGTAATCACATTCGTCAACTTAATCGGAGAAGGTGATTCATGTTTCCGCTGGGGAGAATTCCAATCTGAATTGATCGTATAATTTGCGTTTCAGAAAGTATCGGGGGGGTCTCGGATAGACTAGGTGAGGTGAGTTGTATGAGGGCGTCATTCTTGATCACAGTTGGACTTAGGGGTTTAAATTGACGAAGGGATGTGGGGTGACGCTTTCCCCAGTCTTTTTTTATGAGTCAGACAACTGAAAAAGGCCACTACGCGCTTTTAGTAGTTTTGATGGTTAAAAATAATTTATTTTGATTCATTATATATGCAATAAACATAATTAAATGGTTTCAATAGGGCAACCTTAAAGGGCAAATTTCTTACATAGTTTAGCTTAACCATACCAACTTTTTTCTGCTGTAAAATGTTCCAGCGAAATACTTCACACAATTCGACAGAGTTTAAGCCTGTATGATGGGGATACTGCACATTGAAACAGATTAAGAGTTTCATCTAAAATATAATTGTCACTTACTGCATGTTGGCACAAAGGGTTTTTTTTAACTCACAAGCAGCACGATGACAGCGTGCACAATACAGATTTGCTGGACCATTGACTCTCGAGTTGCCCGAGAGCAGTTCTGTACCTTCTGCCCAGTGTCGCATGAAGCATTGTCCTTTTTGGTGTGAACCAAAAGCATCCTGATCAATACACGTACAGTACATGTTCCAAACTACGCCATTCGTGCAGCCACAAGAAATCTGTAGTTCATTCCATTGTAATTAATGCAACAGCGCCAAAAGTAGGTCATTCTAATGCTGATCTACCTTAATTATCAAAAGATGATAAACCGTGAAGTATTGAGTTTTTTCTGTATTATATTATAAGCCGTTTAGCATTTTGTATCAGTTTTGTAAAAAAAAAACGGACGAGAGACTGAAAGTATTTCTTTACTTTCCTCCGGATAATGTAATGAAACGCAACACAAATAGAATGTAATTAACTGACCGTGCAAATTTCAATGGGAAACAATTCGTCGAGGTTCCTCTCGACACTGCAGAATTTACTGCGGTCTCAATAACTTAACCTTATGCTGTTATCTTTTTTCATCGGACACCACAGCGTTCTTGACTTGAACATCGGTTCAAAACCTGCGTACGTTGAACTTTTAGCATGAAGGTGAATAACAATATTAAGAAAAGGAAATAGCATTATGAACCAGTCTACAATCTGTTTTATCATCATTATAGGTGTTGTAATTCACCCGCTGGTAACAATAGGAATCCAATACCGCACTGCAATCTCACAATTTTACGATACCTATAGATTAACTTGTTCTCGCTAATAAACTTATTCAGTGTATCATTTACCATTTTATAACGTCTTTCGCGTTTGGAAATGAAAATGTCTTTGAGTATGCGCATGATTTTTACAATGCTTTTTGTAATGAATCCGGTGTATCGTTCTCGAAGATCCTCAAATAGCGTATCCAATTCACAGCCGCTATCATGAGTTCATTTCTCTCAGAGCCGTTTACCGAAGTAAAAAAACTCAGAAGGGGGAAATACTCATAAGAAAATATATCATTGCTTTTATAAAACATCTATTATTTCGTTTTTCAAACGATATTTTGTATATGTAGTTTATTTATTAATCAAATAACTGAAAACGTAAAAAGATCTGACATCCAACATTTAGCTCTTAACTGCAGAGAAGTGTTAAAAATAGTACCCTAATTTTTATTTTACCGGAATAATAATTTTCTGTGAGTTTGAATGAAGATTTGTAAAGTATTCCACTACCTGCACAGTAAAGAACATGTTTTTTTACATGTTCCAGCTTTCAAAAACCATCGAAGCCAGTCGGCGTTCATTATAAAAGATGAAAGCTACTTAAAAAAAAGTCACAGCACAGTACAAGCTAATCGATGGTTGTTAAAGTCAGATTTAAGACACAACTCAAATCAGTGGCTTGATACTAAATTGTCTTTTTAAAATTAAATTTAATTCTACTAGATTTCTGAATCCATTTATTTTATAAAGGTATTTAGGAACTTGATATCAGCTTGCCAAAAACTGTAGTTGTGCAGCTTAGTTCTACTCCCAATCTTCCTAATGTACAGATTCTAAAAACAACACTCTGGAGTGTAAAGGCAAAAGTGAAACTCGCTTTTAAATAGATATGTCTGCACAATTTTACCTGAAAGCCATGTTTCAACTGAAAACCAGTGTATGACTGGCTCGTGATATTAAAGTCCACAGTCGGAGCAGCATGACATTGAAGTGATTTATACTTCTTAAAATGAAACTATAAATTAAATACAGCTTTTATCATCAAATTAGATTGAAACACAATGAGCTGTTTAAATGTTTTTTAAAATGTAAGTTTTTAGTGGTCTACAACAGATGAAATATTATTACATAGGTAAAAATAACCTACAGTAAATGTATACCGCGCATAATGTTTTGAAAATTTAAAAAGTGTAACATCAGACTATTAAAAATGCAAAGCACACCAATTTAGTAAAGCCATCTCTCACATTTTTACATTTCCCCAAGTCTTACAGTTAGATTAAGATTATTTTGATTAGAACTTTTAATAAAACCAGTCTAAATAAAATAAAAGGTCTATACAATTCTACTTGCTTTTCTAAAATGCAGAGGTACTGTATTCACACATGGGAGATACGATGATTGTGGTCATGAAAAAACTTCTGTTACCAAGCCCATCTGCACTGTGATAAGACCATGAGCCTTACCGCTAGGGGAAACTATAATGTTATCAATCAGTACAATCTGATGGCTTGAATCGATCAGTTCCATTAAAAATGTTTTAAAATTTTAGTTGAGAACCGTCTGAATGAGGGAAACTGATTTTAGAACTACAGCAAACATGACTAAAACTCCTTCAACAAAAATAACTTTTCATTTCATGAGAAAATACAAAATGCTTTTAGCTGCAGTGTGATATAATTTACCAGGACAGCACCAGATCATGACATACAGTATAGGACTGTGTGATTTATTTCATCTGTTGTTTCACCAAAGAGGTGGTCCCTGTTGGAAACCAACCTTGATTGGGTTTGAGGGTGGCATGGTGGCGCAGTAATTAGCATTGCTGCTTTGCAGTGCTGGGGCCCCGGGTTAAATTCCCATCCCAGGGTGCCATCTCGGTGGAGTTTGCATGTTCTCCTTATGTTCACACTGGTTTTCTCTGGGTGCTCTGGTTTCCTCCCACAGTCCAAAGACATACCGGTAGGTTAATTGGTCCAAGGTGTGAGCCTGTGTGAGTCTGTATCTTTGTGTGTCCTGCCTTGCCTTGTTGGGATAGGTTCTGGTGCCCTGAATCAGAAGAAAATGGCTGGATGGTTGGGTTTCATTGTGTTCTTCGCCGGTTTTAGAGTGAGAGGCGTCCGTTCACGTTATAGGATCCAGCTTTCACCAAGGTTCAAAAGATTTGACTTTTTGTTTTCTGGCAATGCCAGGGACTGAGATTGACGGGCACCAGGCTCAGCCCAGCCCATTGAACAGAGGCCTGCACTGCGGAGTCAGTTTCGATTCCAGCACGCCATCGGGGGCACACACCCAGGGGTCAGAGGTCGCCCACTGCCACTTCAGCAGCTGGGCTTTGAGGTGCTGCAGTGTCTCCCCGTAGGCGGGGTCAGACGCCAGGTTCCTGATTTCCGAAGGGTCCGCTCTGATATCGTAAAGCTCCCAGCGGTCTCTGTAGTAATAGCTCTGGAGTGTCTTGAACCAGTGGGTGGGCTGGCCGCTCTGGGTCCTGCTCAGGAGGTCCTGGAAGGTGGGGGAGATGTAGAAGTCCTGGTCGATGGGGAAGGGCATCTTGAAGTTGAGGTTGTGGATGAGGCGGTAGGAGCCCTGCTGGACCGCCCTCATCGGGTAGTACATGGTGACCTCGTGGTGGCCCTGGCTGGCGTAGACGGTGGACCAGGGCTGCTCCGAGGTCAGCGCTGGCAGGAGGGACTTCCCCGACAGCTGGACAGGCTGCTGCGTCCGGAAGATGCTGTACTCAGGGTAAGGGATGGAGAACCAGTCCAGAACAGTAGGGGTTATGTCTGGTGGGGAACCAGACCAATGGCAGGTTAGAAACATCACTGTTTTTACAATGAGGGGGAAGACCTGTACTTCCCCCACGTTAACAGAAATATAAAAGTAACTGCATGACTTTATGACTGCTCTAGGTCACTAAGCTCACCTGTATATTTTACATGTATGCAGCTGTTTTTTTTTGTTTTCACTGTAATATACTGTAACTGGAGTGTATGGGGGATAGTTTTGTATCTACAGTAAAAATGTGCACACACAAGAACTTGTGATGAGGTATCCTCAAGCACATGAACACGAAAATATTTGAGAAACCTTTGTAAGTGTTTTTATTTTTTCTGTTGTTGGGCTTGTGCATGGAAACATGGAAAAGCTCAAGAAATATTAGGTTGCAAAATAAAAGAAATGTCATGTAAGTAGAAAAACTCTGTGAGTTAAATTAAAAGTACTTTCCACATCCCATGATTCAGAATATTTGCAACTTACAGTAATTGCAATTTAATTTTTAGAGGACATTTTTAGAGGTGCATCTGTCAGCATATTCCTCTTGTCGGTCCTTGCTTCATTTTACAGGAAGTTATAACTCTCATGTAAGGTCAGCAACTGAATATACATTTCTGTTTATGATAGTTATTTCCATACTGTTACCCGTGCTGGTATTTCAACAATACTCTTCGATATTTATTACTTTTAACCTCCACATGTGTTTTGTCTGCCAAGCCTGTTTTATAGTGCAAATCCTAGCCATTTCCTAGGGAAAAGGTTCCTATTTGAGCACGCTGTTTATCACAAGTTAAACTGAACAGGCTGTGGCACAGGCACCTGTCCTGTAGCGCCACCATGTGGCTCTAATTTTGACTGCTCTGATGCCACAATGTCTTGAAAACAGATAACAGCTCTTGCAGCAAAAAATAACACTTCAATGTTCTAAATATCTTTTCTCTATACCTGTCAGCCTGATGATCTGACCACAGACACTTTTACCCCACAGTAAATGTCTTTATCAAACTTTTTTGGAAACAGGATTTTCTTAAGTGCTGTGTTTTCACATGACCAGAGACACAAGAGGGTCTGCTCAAGCTGCTTACCTAGCAGGCTGACGAAAGACTGGCTGACTTGGGCCCAGCGCTGAGGGTGCTCAGGAGATGACACAAGCATGGGCTCCGCAGTGCCGGACCAGTACAGGTTAGTCCTGCCGTTGGGGAAGGGGATCCCGTTGTCTGAGCTGTATATCACCAGCGTGTCATTCTCAAACCCGGCATCCTGTAGTTCCTTCAGAACCAGCCCGATTCCTGAGACCAAGGGGTTAAAGAAAAGACAGTGTCAGCTCCTCCGGCGGACACGCACGACTTGAAATGTACCAGTACTGTGGTAATACATGACAGGTGTTTTGTCCGTTTAGCTCACTGACAGGCAGGGAAAGAAGCGTACTGCACTCACCTTGATCCAGTCTGCTCACTGTGGTGTACTGTGCAGCCAGGTCAGCCCTGGCTGCTGGTGTATCCGGAATGAAATATGGGACCTGTTGAATTTAAAAGTATTAAAGTAAAGAAACTAAAATAAAACTAATTAATTCTTACAATCTACAGATACCTTCAGAAATAAACAAGCTCACGTACTCCAAATTCCTAACACATTCCTAATTCCTTCACTTCTTATCATAGGACCACAGAAAAAATTACATACTGTAATTACATGGCCATAGGATAAAGTACATAATTTCTGTGAACTTAACACAACTTCCCCCATCGCTTGGAAATGAAATGCAATCTAATAATTGTGGCTCTAAAGAAGCCATTTCCTTTATTATGAAAGGATTTCAGACTTGATAGAAACAAATAAATTGCGTAAAAACAAAGAAATTAGAAAATGTTTTGAAAACAAATCTACAGTGTCTTTCCACAGCAGAATTGCTCTGAGACAAGCTAAGATCTGAAATGTTCTGAACTGAAAAAGCGACTGATTACCGGATAGATTAAAAACCAGACACAGGAAGGCAGCTGCCGGGACTGGGACTCACTTGGACCTGCTCTGGGGTGTAGTGCTCGGGTTTCCAGTCAGGAATCCAACCCATTCCACTCTCCCCATTCCCAAACTTCTCGCAGAAGACTCCGTACTGGGGCTGGGAGTGGCCACACCGGTGAGGATCATGGAAGGCAACGTACAGGAAAAATGGCCTGAAGGGCGAGAGACACAGAAACAGCATTTCAAACGGCCAGCTAACACTCGACACTGACAGCACTTCCTCACTCATTTCTGTAGTGCAATGTCCCCGGATCTGAGGCTCCTGCAAAACCCTGTTTATTCACAGAAACCTGATAAAGGCTTTCAGGGCAGTTTGCATTTTATTGATTAAGAATTTGTTTGCTACAAATACACACATATTTGTGGGGTATGGTATTGAAGTGGTTACCATTACCGCCTCACAGTGCGGGGGCTCTGGGTCCAATCTGGGACGCTACTGTATGTCCACGGGGTTTGCATGTTCTCTCTGAGTCTGTGTGGGATTCTTCCCCCAATCCAGACATACTGTTAATTGGCTTCTGGGAAAACTGGCCCTGGTGTGAGTGTGTGGTTCTGTTCCTGTGTGCCCTGCAACGGACTGGCAATCCTGCCCTGTGCCTGTTGCTTGCTGGGATAGGCTCTGGATCCCCCATGACCCTGAACTTGACAAAGTGGTTAGAAGATGGATGGCAGGATGGATGGACATATGTAAGTGTTCTCATGTTTAGATATCCAGCACAACAAACTCAAAGCACCAACGTCATCCAGGGACAGGGAGATTGGGAGGAATATGCATCTGTATCTGCGTGTTTTAGTGCGATAGATTCAGGCCTGAACAGATCTGGGTCAGCACACCTCACATCAGAATGTTTTATTGTCACACATACCTGTCATCCTTGGCCTGTAAGAACTGCCGCACCAGCAGCTTGATTTTCGTGATGTTTCTGCCCACCTGCAGCACGGAGCTGTTTTCCTCGGTGTGAGCAAAATCGAATGGGTAGACTGTCTGAGGACCAACATGTTTTTTCCCTATAATACCTACAGGTGCAAAGCATCAGACAGAGTGAATTCAGGGCATGCCGAGATTTAAAATAGAAACAATGAGCGGAAGTGTCAAACTATATACTTACATGACTAGTCCAGGGGAAAGTGAGAGTAATGATGTTCGTTATAGATGAGCTATACTGCACAGAGTCACAGGATTTCTAAATCAATAATCAATTAGAGTGCCAGTGCTTCACTGTGTAAATTATAATGCTATGATTTAGTTTGCAATAAAATAACATCTTACCTTACTTTAAATTCAGTGTCTTAGATTATAAAGAAAATCATACAATAACAGGATTATAGCTATAGTACGTGCTGTATGCAGGAGTACAATATAAAAATAAGCACGGATGAACTATTAGACAATCTGACAATCTTTCTGGGACTTTCTAATGCTTGGAACTCAGTGTGTGCCTTTATGTAGCTACAGCTCTTTTGTCTTCTTCACCTGTTCGAATGCCGGCTTGACTCAGCAGGAGGGGCAAGCTCATTACGCCATCAAAGGAGTTGAAATGGTGCACATCCTGATGGAGGCCGTACATGCCATTCTGGTGCTGGAAGAGTGGATGAAACGCAAGGTGAGAAGGTCAGAGCCACACACTCGTACAGGGCTGACCGACACAAACAACGGCAAACGTGGGTCTAATTGTGAGCACAGCTTCGGTCCGTATCCAACAACTCTGAGTCCTTTGTCCTGTCTCTTCTAACTACCCGTAACCATTGATTAAAGAGCTCATATGCACTGTATGCTAGAGATCTGGATTATAATTACCTTTCGCAGATGCAGCTTAACTGGTTTTCACCCCCCTTCTTCACTTGGAGAAATTACTTCAACCCAAAATGTTTCACAGTGCATTGGATCAGCCACAGCACCCTGGCTACATAAAGCAGGTTTTTGGCAGCTTACATACATTACTTGTTTGCCTTAACTTCTGCTAAATCTGTATTTCTCAAAGTAGATAAAAGAATGAGACACATATTCAGTAATTTCCCGCTTCTCTGACCACGTTAATGTTTTAATAACTTCTAAGCTCCTTCCTGCTATGTGTCTAGCTCACAGCGCTTCTTATGCTCTCACGCGTGTAACCGATTTCCACCACGGTCCAAGTGGTCCACGATCCAAGTGACTTTCTCCAAGTCCTCTCACTTATTGTTCAGTTAAACCACGGAGTTTAACTGAACAATAAGTGAGAGGACCAAAATCACATTCCGGATTTGACATTCGGGGCGATTCCCCCGCAGTATTTGTCTCTCCGGGGGTGTGACGTGCCGGGAGTCACAGGCCCGTAGTCGTGGCCAGTCATGGTGGAGCGGCGGAGGGCTGGACCGATACCTGAGGCAGCCCAGTGAGGATGGCGGAGCGGCTGGGCGAGCAGCTGCTGACCGAGGTGAAGGCGTTCCTGAAGACCAGGCTGCGCTGAGCCAGGGCGTGGAGGTGAGGGGTGCGGATCGCGGAGTTGTTGTACACATCAGTCTCGAAGCCGGCGTCATCCGCTGAGAGGAGAGTAACGAGGAGTGAGCGACTCTGCTACTCTCTGCGTAGTTCAGCAACGATAAAGACTCTAGCATACAAGAACATATACAGTATATGCACACACGCACCTCTAAACATTACACTGACCACAACTGGGTCTGATTTAACAGAACGTTTTCAGATTCTATTCATATCACTGCTGCACTTTGGCCTTTGTTGATCAAATGAACAATAAGCGAGTGATCAAATTAACACTTCTGCACCCTGGCTTTTCTTGATCATAGCCGTGTTGTAATTACTGTAAATGTTTTCTCGTGTGGCACTTAACAGCAAAGGCGAAAAGCTGCTCGAATTGCACGTTGGCTTAACTAACATGTTATTGCAGTGTAAACGGATGCGGTCACGTAGCAGGCTGAATCTGATATACAAGCATTACAAGGATGACTCGTACATCCAAAATACTGCAGTGTTTGTTACACGTTGACGTACTGTATGTGTACTTAGTAACGTACTATGCATCTTATGAGCTAAGCCACTTGTTTTAAGGTCTTCCAGTGTAATTAAGCTGTTGACTCATTAAACTCACCAATTATAAGAAGTACGTTTCTTTTTTTAGCCCCCTCGATAGCACAGAGGATTAACAGGATAAAGAAACAAATAAAAAACAGGGAACTACGTACGAAGCCCATTTTAAATGCGTCAAGACATTAACTTAAAAGTTTTTATCAAAACGAACATTTAAAAAAAAATCATCATTTATGATCAACGTCGAGGTTCGAAGTACAACCCAGAGCCATTTGTTACAATAAAGTTAAAAAGTATACGCGTATCAGCTTGAAATCTCTTGTAATTTCTGCTTATTAAAGCATGTCGTACAGTACATCCCATGCCTATGCGCTCTTCCTGGACAGCTGACAGCCTTTCTGGATCACATGACTTCGGTCACATGAACACAGCTCTCTCGATTAAAAAAAACGCACCAATAAAAGCTGCGATAACGGGTGCTGAATCGTTCCTCTTATACTGCAACATGAGCATAGTAGATGGAGGAAGTGGGCAGGCTTTGTTGTTGCAGTGATTATACCAAGGTTATGTCATGTCTTTTAAAGATTTGGAAGTGAATCCTGTAAGATTGCTTGAAGTAAAAATAGTAAAACATTAATTAGAAATGATAACTACATTACGTGCAAAGGCCGGGGTACGTATGTTTTTTTGTGATTTCTGCTGAAAGGGTTGTTTTTAAGTCAAGTTTTATTTTTATACAGCCTCTCAATGCCTTTGTATTCTTGCTTTAAGTAAGGCTAGGAAAATAATAATATATATATATACTGTATAGTGTGGGGAGATACTTTTAGGGAGAAAACATCTGTCATGTTAAAAGTCTCAGAACGCGTCTTTTAGATTGAACTGTTGTTCATTATTTTTAATGTCGGGTATAATGTCGTTTTAGTGTTAGAAACAAATAACAATAACTGTCATTTGTATAATTTCTTATCAATCTGGTAGTGTTTTGTTTTGCAATGTGTAATATAAAAAATACGTTGATGTTTGTTTTAAAGTTATGTGAGATACAATGAAAATACAATCTGGTTTCACGTTGCTGACCGAAGTTGGGTCGTCAGTAAAACATGCTAGTATTTATTTTTTTCATTTAGTCGAATAAAATAAATAAAACTATCGTTTTAAAAATGGAAGTGTTTGTGCGTAAGTACAATAGCCTCGAATTATGATAGCTTTATTATTTGCTTATTCATACATGCCTTTATTGTAAATAATGTGAAGGATTAGTGAAATGGAGTTGTTCTTTGGAGAATAGTTTGCAGGAATGAAAACGGTTGTATTGGTTTGTACTTTTAAAAAATAGACATGTCTACCTACAGAATTACAAAACAATAAGTAACTTTAAATAGGCCTATCATAACAATTCTTTGGACTAGGCTTACCTGTTATATTGCATAGTCAGTGATGAAGGTGATCTCACCTGAGCGAGATTAACAGCTCTCTGTACTCTGAAAAGTAACCAGAATGTGACAGGTAGCTGAGAGAACTGCAGCAGCTATATTTCACCAAAATATGCTCTTACCCACAATATACAGTCATGCAATGACAATTCAAGGCTGTTATTCCTGCAAGAATTTAAAAACCTTGTAGTGCACAACCTTTGACCAGACTAACCTAACCTGTTGCATGGGCTTGTGTCGTAGTGTCTTGAAATAGAAATTTAGTATGAGTATTGAATAAACACAAAGGGAATGTTTTTTTCAAAAAGAGAGTTAGATTTTAAATGAGCATGAAAATATGCTTTCTTTTATAGGCAAGGCATGCTTATATTTATTATATTAAGTTTGTAAATGGATTTTTAAAAAGTTCTGTTCTACCTTGTTACACTAAGAGCAGATGTCTTTTTCAAATATATAAATTTGTGTCGTCTAATGATCTGTATGTATTTTCCAGATGCACTTCATGCGGATGACTATGTTGTTAATCAACAAGGAATTCTGTGTGCCTTGTACTTGAAATTCCAGTTGTTACAGAAGAAAGTGGACAAGGAGGTGGTTGACATTAAAGGACTCGTGTGTCCTAAGCAAAAACCCAGCAATATTTCTCAGCCTCGCTTACTTTTGTGCAAAAATGGATGAGATTAACAGCGCATGTGCGGAATTAACAATGTGATTTCCACTTGCAAGAATTTTGTAAATATGGCTGTTGTAACATAAGGAAGATTCGATATCAGTCTTTTTCCACTTTATCCATACTTTTGTGAGATATGTAGGTGAGCACTTTAGTGCACACAGTGTAAATGACCATTTCTTCTGAAGACAGTAGGTGACATTTGATAAGACATGTGCTTGAAAGCAAATACCTCATGCTTTTTTCATGTGGAGTGTTCCTTACTTGTGTTTACTGACGCAACACCTGGAGCACTTTTCTTTGTTTGTAAACCGACCTGACAAATTTCTACGCACTGCACACGGCTTCAGGAGCTTATGAACGTCCTCATTTTTTAAAAGTTTTGTTCGTAATAAGATCCTTCAAGGGAGAAAATGGAGACGGTGATGGACAGGTGCAGGAGAGGTGGCTGGTGTGCCAGGGACAGGATTAGAGGATTTTGCTCGTTCAGTACTCTAAAGAAGATACTGCCGATTCTGGGGTGGCTGCCCAGGTATTCTCTGCAGTGGCTGTGGATGGATCTCGTTGCTGGAATGACAGTGGGGCTGACTGCAGTGCCACAGGTGCTGGCTTATGCAGAAGTTGCTGGCCTACCTGTGCAGGTATGTGCCCCTTGTTCCTGATGGTTACCACACTTATGAAAGATCACAATGCCAAAGCATTGTTAAGCATATGACAGAATGATGATGAAATGCTATTCCAGTGATATAATCTTTAATCATAATTTTGTTAATGTCTTTTAGAAAGCATCAATTCTAAAAGAGTTTTGTCACATATACAGGTTTTGGTAGGAGGTAGTTGTGGGATTTTTGTAGTTTTGGTGGAGTTTCACTCTTACTGGTTGTCTGTTAAAGGTTTTCTTGCTGTCACTGGCTTTAAAGGCTGAAAACAAACTCTTGTCCTGGACTTAAGTAAGCTATAACTGTTCATTGACATTCTTTCCCTTATGGCTTGCAGTACGGCCTGTACTCTGCATTTATGGGCTGCTTTATTTACTGCCTCTTTGGGACCTCAAAAGATGTGACACTGGGCCCAACAGCAATCATGTCCCTGCTGTGTGCTTCCTACATCGACCACGATCCAGTTTACGCTGTGCTGCTGACTTTCCTCTGTGGGGTCATCCAGGTCGCCATGGCAGTTCTTCAGCTAGGTAAAGTGTTTCTGGGTGGATGCCCTTTTTGTGTTAAGGAAACCAGAAGGAGGGTGGGTAAGCAACAGGCGAATTTCATTACACATAAAGTGTATAGGCCCTTCCAATGTAGTACTAAAAAATATCATGTACATTTGGCTTTGTAGGGAACTCATGATTATAGTTGTGTGCTGTTGCTACTGTTTATTCATTGAATGTTCATATATTTTAAAATAATTTTGATGTGTTAAGGATCAGCCTTCATAAACATCAGTTTGCATCTGCCGTATTACAACAGTGTTTCCTTAACGCTGCTTTGCTTTGATTTCTATTTATATTGTAATCTTTTTTAAGGTAGTGGTTCAGGTGGGTAGCTGCGTCAGCATGCGTAGGCTGCAACGGAACAGGTAATAGGTTTATTCCATGGTGAAAAAAGAAAGAAAACACAACGTTTCATCCGTGGACCCTTCTTCAGGTGTGAAGAGGCTGAAGAAGGCTCCACCTGAAGAAGGCTCAATGGCTGAAACGTTGTTTTCTTTGTCCTTTTTTTCAGCATGGAATAAACTTATTACGTGTTCTTTTTTAAGGTAGGTTTGGTATAGCAGTTTGAGCTCATGAATTCTTGTCAAAAGGAGAGTGAACAGACACCAGCATTTAGCTTACTCTGCAAAAGGTTACATTACCTTTTTATATGTAAGAAAAAAAACTAAAAGTAAAGAAGTGGTTGAATATGTAGACCTCCCAGTTACAATTACAAAGATTTTCTGTTCTTTATTTGATGTTTCATGTTGTCTTGAACCGTGTTTTGGTGAAGAAGCAGGGGTTAGACCTGGGGTTGGCATTGGCTATACTACTTTGAAGCCAGTATCAGAAATGAAACAAGACGGGGGTTAAAATGAGTCTTAAAATGAATCGGAAGCTTCAAAACTAAATGAGGTTTCTTTATAATGTGGACAGGTGGGCTGTTTTCTTTCTGAAGCAACAGCAGGGTGATGAAAAAGGTTGAGCCTGCATGTGGTCATTAATGCTCCCACGGCACAAATCCTAGGAGTAGAATTCCACTTCAGGCTTCCTCTGTCTGTTGTACCTAAATTTCTCACTCGTCGTAGTGCATTTCTCATGGATGTGCCACAGTGAGATGCCAGTACAGGATGGCTGCTCTAGGCGAGATACAGCTCTGTCTCGTTGCGGCAATCTCTCCTGATTTCTCTTGCAGGTTTTCTGTTGGAGTTCATTTCGTATCCGGTGATTAAAGGCTTCACTTGCGCAGCTGCTGTTACCATTGGCTTTGGTCAGGTCAAGGTAGGAATAACTGGAAAACACCCTGGAAAACCCCGAGAGGGGTGTGGAGAAGGCTCCACGGCCGAAACGTTGTGTTTATTTTCTTCTCTTTTCATCATGGAATAAATCTTTACTTGTTCCATGACAGATTAATGATAAGTATGAGGTAATGATATGTTGCCATTTAAGTAATTGTGAATTAGATTGACTGAAATTATAGAGATTTACAGAACAGTCAAGCATAGTTTTTATTGTTTTTTAACTTGATCGCTTCACGGCGAATTCAACTTTTATTGCACGTACTGCTTCCATCGAACATGCTGTTGAAAAGCCCTTAGCTAGCCGACAATGCGCTGTATGTTGCCGACTCCTGTTCTAAAAAGTAATTGTATATCGATGTCCTGATTCCGATGCTTTGCTTGTTGTTTGGAATAATAAAAAAAAATGGTAATTTCTCCGATTTACAGAACATCCTTGGTCTTCGGAACATTCCCCAGCAGTTTTTCATGCAGGTTTACTACACATTCCACAACATATGTGAAACCAGGTTGGTATTATTTTCTGATCCCTTCTTTTTTCCCCACTGGAATGAATAGAAGATGAAACGTCTTGTTGCTGAAATCTGTTTACGTGTGGAAATATCTGTTTTTCATAACCTTGTGATTCTTCAACAATGTCTAGCAGAGTACACACAGTACTAGAGTAGTGACCTGACTCTTACAAAGCAGGTACAGAGCTGCAAGCTTCACTGCTGTGCTGGGCATTGTTAGTGTGCAGTAAACACAGCAGAGGTATTATTGTGTCTCATTCCAAGTCCCTATTGATTACAAAGATCTAAGAGGATGTTGGAAACTGTAAAAGATTGGAAAATGGGAGATTCTGACTCTGCTTTTAATCATTGGTCTCCTCTTGTTCTTAAATTCGGCAGAGTTGGAGACCTGATCCTGGGTATAATCTGTCTGATGGTGCTGGTGCTGCTTAAGCTGATGAAAGACTGTTTCAAAACACATGGAGTGGACTTGCCCCTTTACGTCAGGGTGTCTCGTGGAATAGTGTGGTCAGCTGCCACAGGTCTGTATCCGCAGGAAATCCTCATGCTAAATCATGTCTGTGTGTTTCAGTTCTGCATTCTCCAGATCCATTTTTAATTTAATACTTCAAACAAGCACCCCTCTGAATATTTTCTTGTGTTTCGTTGTTGCAGATCTTAAGTATAAAATATTTTGATGGGCATACTCTATGAATCTTTGGCTGTTTGTTGTGTTTTTTGTGTTGTATAGGGGTATTCTTATAAAATGAAATGGATCACACTGTAAACACATACCCGACCATACACTCCCTGGATATTCATTCAGGAATCCCACATTGTTTGAGGAATAGAGTTTTGTTAGTGATAGGTGATGCTTGATTGGCTTAAGAGGCACAGAACATCCATCACTTTGACCAGAACAGTACCTAAAACCCAGTCTCTCTAAAAACATACAGTAAACCTAGGAAATTTTGGAATGTGCCTTTCAGTCCTGTACACTATTACGCCCATCAGAACCTCAGTTAATGGGGATCCTGTTAAAGGAATAGTATAGTACTAGGCTGCAAGTATTTCATAAACATGCTTTGGAATAGTTGCTGCATCCTGTTTTTCTACAGTTCTTGCCACTTAGATAGAGACACAACACACTGGGGTTTCCGAATGATTTGTCCACCGACAGTATTTAGACAGTTCAGAGAAGTTGTGTTCAGGTCCCGCTGTTTTGCAGCCAGAAGGGTTGAAAGGGCCCCGTCTTGTGTTTTCCAGCCCGCAACGCCCTGGTAGTGATTGCCGCCACTTGCCTGGCGTACGCCTGCGAGGTCACAGGGCACGGGTACTTCACCATCACCGGGAGCACAGCCCAGGGCCTTCCGTCATTCTCCCCTCCTCCCTTCTCCGAGACGACGGAGAACGGCACGGTGATTGCCTTCAGGGAGATCGCTCTGGTGAGCGGCCCGCTGCCCTGCCTGCAGCTGAAGGCTTCCGTACGCCTGCTGGAAACAGAACCTAGTGGCGGCAGATTCACAAGTTCCGGTTTTCAACAAACGGGGTGGTTTTAAGCATGTAAATGTATTGCCTTTTGAGCGTAACGGCACTTGGTAGCGTTGGTCTATCTGTAGTTGCATTCATACTGTAGATTTTCAGGGTTTTTTTAAAATGTGGGACAGAGGACGTGCTGAAAAAGGATGGGATTAAAACTGAATAGATTAAAACCAATCCCTCTCTGGGGGGGATTTTTCTCATTCTTTTTCTGTTTCTAGGATTTAGGGGGAGGTCTGGCTGTGATTCCACTTATGGGTCTGCTGGAGAGCATTGCTATTGCAAAGGCATTCGGTAAGCGTCGGCAGTCCTGAATTTTGTTAGTTTAATACGCTCATGAAAGTTTCTGGAAGTGAGCGTGTGCATTTGTACACATCCAGATGTTCTCATGTGATTCTTCATCCAACAGTGTGTTTTTCTCTTCCCCTCCCCCATAGCCAGTCAGAATGACTACCGCATTAATGCCAACCAGGAGATGTTTGCAATCGGTACGTACTTCATGACAGTGCTGGTCGTGCCCTTCATTTGCTCTCTGCCATTTCGAGTTTGCACTCTGCCATGTCACGGCTACGAAAGGTACTTTGCCTGTTGTCTTGTTTTGTAAGGAAAATTGTGCTCGTGTGATATCCCGACAAGAATGGGATATCTCACCATCTCCTGTTAAGACACGGCTGGTTTGTTCTCATCGAAAAGTGTCTCGGGTTATTATGCGCGGTTATTTAAAATAGTGAGGCTAAAAAAATAATGAGAATGAATATGTTTTTAGTAATGAGAGAGTATTTATTCAGCAGGCTCCAGAAGATTAGGATTCTGTTCATTTGAATAATGTCATTTCATATTGCATGAAATTACAGTGCGCTTTCTATATTTGAATGATGAAATGACTCCTTATTCTACTGCAGCTCATTCAAGTAATTCCAGGCTTGCAACATCACACCATTGTTGCCAATGTGTCTTCCTTATGTGATTAAAATTTTGATTTGTTAGATGTACTGTTCATGTTTTGTCCTACAGGCCTTACAAATATCATGGGGTCCTTTGTTTCTGCCTATCCTGTCACTGGCAGTTTTGGAAGGTAAGGCAGTTCCAAGTGTTGATGCACATTTTATCGCAATAATGTACAAATTGTCCAGGGAATTCTGGGTTCTTGTGATGTCTCCAGATTGCCAGGAAGCTTCTTGTGGTTTTGTTGCTGGGAGTGCCGCACTCGGACGTTTCCTCCTTTATGTCTGCAGGACTGCGGTGAACTCTCAGACTGGGGTGTGCACGCCAGCAGGGGGAGTAGTCACTGGTAAGCTAGGTTTATTTCCCACTTAAGGCCAATACATTTAAAGCAACTGATATTGACCTAACATCTGAAGAAGGCTCAAGAACTGAAATCATGTTTCTTCTTTTGACTTTTTAGTGTGAGGTTATTCTGTTGAGGTCCCAGATCATGTGTCTCAACATTAAAAAAAAAAAAACAAAACAAAATTACAGCAAGACAAAGATTACCTTTCCAGTGTGGAATGTTCTATTTGTACATTAACCTGACTGACTACGCTGCACAGAGAGAATGAGGGCCTTTGATTACCTGACATGCTGGGTGAATAGTGCCTTACAGGAAATATTGTGCTTATTGTGCATTCCCAGAGAATGCTGTTGTCAGATAAGTCTAAACTACCTCCGCAAGCATAGAGTTATGGGTTGTGTGGCTCCACTGTGAATTTACACTACCCCAATCTGGGAATTGCCTTTGTATCTCAGTGTGTAAGGGTAATACTCAGGAAATCACACCCTCAAACAGTGGAAAATAACTCTTATCTCCTGAAGCGCTGCTGGACTGTGTTCTTTGTTGGTGATGTTTGTCTATTTTTTCTGTATTGGTTGTGTTGCACACTGCTGTGAAACAGATTTCCCCTAGGGGATAACAAAGCTTGAATTGAATTATGGTGGTCCAATCATGCCAGCTCAATCTTGGTGGTTTTTGGCCAGATGTGTGCCACTGCAACACTGTATTCCAAAGGTTGGAGAGTCCCAGCCACTGCTACCGGTTCTAATCCGGCTCCCACCAGCACCTACAGGGCTTGACCTGGGCTCTGACCAAGTGCCTTCACAGGTTGTGCCAGTTGGGAGCCTACTGCTGTCATATGGTTGTCATATTCAAGGACTTGGGGCACTAATGGAATCTCTGTTCTCTGTGTCTCAGGTGTGATTGTGCTCCTGTCCCTTGCATTCCTCATGCCCCTCTTCTGTTACATCCCAAAGGCAGCCCTGGCTGCAGTCATTATCTGTGCTGTGGCTCCCATGGTTGACTGCTCCATAGTTCTGAAGCTCTGGAGAGTGCAGAGTAAGTAAGGGCTGTGACCTGATGTTTGCTGCAGAAGAATAGTGAGAGAGGGATATGGGGAATTGGTGTGGAAAAACTGCAAATGAATATAGCGAATTTAAAAAAGAAATTAATAATAATTCCTTACATAGCACTGGACACTTCACTCAAAGTGCTTTACAGGTAACGGGGGGACTCCTCTCCACCACCACCATCACACACCAGCTCTCAGTGGGGGAGGAGAGCAGAGTGATGAAGCCAGTTCAGAGATGGGGATAAGAAGGAGGCCATGATTGGTAAAGGCCAGGGGGAAATTTAGTCAGGACACCGGGGTAACACCCCAACTCTTTTCGAGAAATGCCCTGGGATTTTTAATGACCACAGAGTCAGGTCCTCAGTTTTACGGCTCATCCGAGGGAGAGCGCTTTTTTACAGTATAGTTTTCCCATCACTATACAGGGGTATTAGGGCCCATACAGACCGCAGGGTGAGTGCCCCCTACAGGCCCCACTAACACCTCTTCCAGCAGCAGCCTTATCTTTCCCAGGAGTTTCCCAGGTACTGTCCAGGCTCACACCCACCTGCTGAGCTTCAGTGGGCTGCCAGCTGTGAGTTGCAGGGAGATATGGCTGCTGGCATTACTGACTGCTTGAAGTACCTGGTCTAATTTCAAAATACAATAATACAAATTATCATCTTTATTCATCATAACAATTTTTAGCAAAATAATAACATCTTATTTTTTGTTGAAGTTGAAGTTTTTCTCTTCTTAGAATTGGACCTCCTACCTTTCCTGGTGACACTCCTGTTCAGCTTCTGGGAGGTGCAGTATGGCATTGTTGGAGGCGTTGTTGTGTCTGGTTTCATGCTGCTTTATAATATCGCACGACCAAAATTACAGGTATTTTATCAGTGCAGTGTATTTCCAATGAGCCTTGACCTAGTCTGTGACTAATACAAAATATATCCCCGGACATTTTTAGAGTTGCTGTCCTCTTCATGTGCAGGTGTTGGACCATGGTGTGCTTGTGGTGGAGCTCGAGAGCGGATTGAACTTCCCTGCTGCTGAGCACATCAGCGAAGTTTTGTTCACAGAGGCTTTACTGGGTAAGACCGGGGCACAATAATGGTAAAGAGTGAAAAATCTCTATTGTGTTTCTCTTTCTTTCGGTTTTCATTTTTTAAACTTGGAATTGCCAGTTGTTAGTCATCTCCACACAGTGCTCCCTCCCCTCTGTGCAGAAAGGGATACAGGACAGTCCTGTGTGTGCACTCCTGCCTCAGTCCCATCTGTGAGAGACATTCATTGCTTGACCTGTTCGGAGCTCTGCATCACCTGACAGGAGAATTATCAACATTGGAGGAAGTGGTATCACATTTTGGAGCTGCAGTAGGCTGTAGTGGCCTCATCAGCCCTGGCAGTACTTGAACAGTCAAGCAGCCTGTTGTTTGGGGGATTCTGGCTAATGTCCAAGTTTGTTAGAGCAATGTCTCTTCCAGCCTCTCTCTGACAGACTGTTTTCAGTGTTTGATGCCAGGAGCCTCCTTGTTTTTCCAGCTGCTACTGGACTTGAAAGACCTGTTTTTTGGACGCGTAACATGCAAATGAAAATACAAGCAGTATCATCACAGATTAGGTGATACGTGCAATGCACTTTTTTTTAAATTCAAGCTTGTATTGTGAAACATTTAAACTAAACCAGCAAGCATACTTGTGTTTCTTGTTAAATGCTCCATGTTTTTCCTTTTCTTTGTTTGACCATTTTCTGTGACAGTTTTTGTAATCTCATCAGTGCTGTTCTAGTCTTACCGGCATATGGAAATGAACAGCATTTTAGATCTATCGGCCTGTTGAAGTAAAAGGAAGCTTAACAAGTCCCCTCCGAAGTGATATTTTAGAGACAAAGATATAATTGTCAGGTGATTAGTAAAGATACAATTTTACTTCTAGAGGTGGGAGGTTGCATCTGTACTAAAGTCCCATATCAAATTTTGAAATGTAAAAATCACTTAACCTTGCATTGTGAAATGCTAAATATTTCCTGTCGCCGGCAAGATCTTAGTCAAAGCTGTTGATGATAAACCCAGTTCATCTTTCAGAATCTCTGTAATGGACGCTAACCCGTATGTTTAACATGGCTGTGCCACTGACACATTGACATTATTGGGGGTTATTGTGTCCTTTTACAGTGTCTCCTCCTCGCTCTGCCATCCTTGACTGTCATCACGTCAGCAATATTGACTACACTGTAGTGAATGAAATCAGGGACTTGCTTCGCCAATTCAAATCCAGGAATGTCTCTCTGGTCTTCTCTGGGCTACCGGTAAGCCTGCTAAAAGTAATCTTAATGAAAAATGACTTGATGCACGAGTTTTAATGTAGCAGTGCTGTTGTCATTGCAAAATGGCAGACTCCCATCAGATCTCTTTTTTTTTTTCTTCAGGCTTCAGTTTTGGAAGTGCTGCTGGCAGCTGACCTGCCTGGTTTGAAACACACCGACAGCTTGGACTCCGCTCTGCAATTTCTCTCTGGTAACTAGGCTTTTGATTAATGCTGCAGAGTCTCAAAATCATAACGTGTACAGGTACATGATTTCTGCAACTTGATCTCTAGTTGACTGTGGGGTCAATCCAGTTAGAAACAGCTACTGCTATACTGTAAATCAACCAAGTGGTTTAATTAAGTTCAGTTGAGAGAACTCCGGTCCTTGAGGGCTGAAGAGTATTTTCATTTTGAGCTGATTATAAATGATCATAAAATGACTTCATTTATCAATCACCAGTTCAATTAACCACAATGAAGTTGTTCAATATCTTTAGAACATTCGGTTTAATTAAGATCGACATACTCTGCTGGTATTGGGGCTCTCTAGAAACAGAGTTGGAGATCTCTACTGTCCCACTGTCTTGACTGGTTTTCTGCAGAGATTCCTTTCCGTAAATTTATTTTCCTTGTATCAAGACGTGTATCTTAATAACACATTGAGCTAATATAGTTGGACACAATGGTGAAAACCAACAAAACAGCTGTATCTTAATCTGTGCAGATCAAATAGCAATAAAGTTATACAAGCAAAATATCGACTTTAAGTTGGAAGTAAAACTTGCAGACCAACTGGAACTTCAGGACCCAGATTGGATGTCCCTGCGCTGATGACTGCTGAAGTCAAGGCAATAATTCTAAGAAGGGGACTGTTTTCAGTCATGGGTTTTGAAACCTCTAGGTGCTTTTTCACACCCCCCTTTCACTGCACTTCATTTTCTTTTCATTCTGTGGCCAATCCATTTTTTATGGTTTTATTCATTCTTATTTCTTCAAATCGGCATATCAGAAAAACGGGAAAAGGGAGCTAAATTGGCTTTAGCTATCAGTCTGAATTAAGTGAAATCTGGGAAAGCTTTGCTGCAAAGAAATCTGAAAAACAATCAGAAGGCTAAAAACTAAATCAAAGGTGACTGCATGAAGAAAAAGTAAGTTTACCACAAATTGGATTTCAGTTATGTGAACCATGCACTTTGTATTCATAAAGTACAAACATTTTTGTGGTGTCTGCTGGTCATAAAAGGTGTTTCTTTCAGGTATTTTTACAGTTCTGGAAAGCAATTGGAATTTCATTTTGGCCAGAGGGTCTTTTTTATCTTTGGAACTTGACTTACTGTAAACCCTAATAATAGTAATCAAACTACATCATCAGTTGTCGTGACCTGGTCTAGGAGGCCAGAACTCAAGTATGAAAGTGCTGCTCTTAACTGAGTAACACAACATTAACTACAACTAAATTACAGACTTTCCTTTGCTTAATGTCAACAGAACAGAATCTCTTTGAAGAACCTGATCAGAGTGAACATCTTCTAAGCAAGTAATGAGGATCGACTCTCCTTTTGGATGTGGAAACCAAAGGTTTTTGATTGTCTGAACCCAAAGAATGCAATGTACTGTACATCACGCATTTTATTCACATTTTTATAAAAAAACATGGTTACATGTTGGCGAGATAATTATACCTTATGAATATGCAAAAAAATCCCTGATGCACTACAATGAATATTAAGTAGTACTTTATTTTTACTAAAGAAATATTTCTTTGGAAACTGACTTGCTGAGTTGCTTTTATGTTTATAATTGAAGTGTTGGAGATGTTCTGTGAAAACCATGATCATGCTAATCCAAAGCAAGATGTCTATAATTACAGGGCTGGCATTTTATTATTTTAGCTTACTGATTAAACAAACTGATATGTAGTTTATAGATTAACTAGGCCAAAACTCTAAGAATAACGGTTAATAATTTTTGTACTAATCTTCTTAAATATGATCACCAGCTCAGTACATTCCAAGATGTAATTTAATTGTTGGAATTATTTTTTGTGAGATTTTTCTAAAGCACACTAGAATGTTAAATGTTTACATTCTTATAGAATGTATTGCCTAACAAAGCATTTAAATTATGACTGATAATAAAGTTGGAAGTGTTCCAACAAATAGAAAAACTGAAATTTGGATGTTTTCTTTAGTGTTGTTAAAGTTATTTCATGTATATTTGACATTAAAGCAATATGTTGGGTGAGAAATTGTAGCATTTTTACATTTTTAATTCTTTCAAACACTTTACCCTAAAAAACCTTTGCTAAACTACATTTGGTGGCTTGGGCACTGCAATGTATGTAAAATATTTTGGCATAAAAGCCAACACATCAAAGAAATAAATTAAAAACATTTAAAGCAAAAAAGCCTTTTATTTAACAAAAATGTAATTTTGTTCTGTGGTCCAGTCTTAAAACATTATTAAAAGCAGTGTGCTTACATTTAGTGCTTAAATCTTTTGCCATTTTTAGATCTTTACAGCACTTTAACTCATGTACTAATTATTGAATTCCACACCGGTACAACAAAAAGCTAGGGCTCTACAACATCGAGGGTGTCGCAGTGAAGACACATTTTTTTGTTTGTAAAAGTACTTTAAAAAATTCAATTCACTGCATTCCAAAGAGCAATTTAAAAAAAGGGAACTTCATATTATCGAACAGTTCTTGCTTTAAACTAACTGCTTGTCTGGATCATTTTAACCAGGTTAAAGGTCAATCCCCACTTGCACAGTAATAACAGTGACTGCACACGTATAGAAAACCACCCACGTTACAGTATTTCCTGCTTTCTCAAATAAAATACAAACTGATTGTTTTCTAACGGCGATCGCTTGTAAGCTCAAGAGCTCCTTTAAAACTTCAGCAGTGTGGTGAAGAGGGAAGTTGAAGCTAAAGCCTTTATTTCAAATCTTAAGCATTGGTTCCCTCTAGTGGTTAAGTATATAAACCATTCTATTACAGCAACCGTTGGGAGCTGTAAAAATAGTGACTGTAAGAAAGGACACAAAAAATGGTCCTCTTGGTGTACACCTATCATAGCACCGCATTATTGAACTCCTTCATTATCTCTGCATTTACTTGTGGATTTTTACGACGGGCCCATAAGTTAAAGACACCACCAGAACGTAAAATATGCATTTTTCTGAAATGGGCAGGGTCCTCTGTTGAATTTCTCAATATTTTGCACTGAAAGAAGTCCTTATCTTGTTGTTATATATCAGGCCCAATTAGACAGATTTGTGGATTGATTCCCTTTATTCTTGAGGAGATTACAAAGAACCAAGAAAAGTGATTAGCATTTATTAGCAAGACCGGCCTGACACAATGATTGAGGCTTAAAAATTAAAAAAGGGCCCGAGAACACAGTTGGAAAATAAAGATAAAGCACTTCTATGATGTAAAATACAATAGGAGATGTTTGTAAGGTTTGCAAATCTGTAATCGATTATCTAGAAATATTCAGAGTGACTCCCAGATCTGAGTCCTTCTGATAAAGTCTAAGAGAAAGAGCTATTACACTGTAATGAGAATAATAATGAAGTTACCAGGGTCTTGGAAAACTGCTGAGTCACAGTGAATGATGAAATGGTATAGGAAAAGCCCATTCTTATCCTCCCGAGGAGCTGGGAAAATCCCAGGAAACCTGACTCCTGCTGCTGGATGGAAAATTGATTGTGGGAATGCACTATATTACAAAATACAACAAATATTGCCTGAGGAGGTTGCTGCTGCAGCAGGCTGCATACCTCTCAATCAATAGACCACGAGTGTGTAAAAGCCACAAACATATTCTAGGCTTTATGGCTCAGTTGTTCTTTTTCCCCTAACGAAAATAGTTTAGGAGTTTAACCACACAAAAAAAACCCCAACAACAACACAACCCTACATACACAAGCCATAGCAGTGGGATGGGCATCCCTATGAAACCTGGCGCGGTGCAGTGAAAATAGTGCTACAGTCTATCCCCGTTATGGTAGCACATTGCACGAAATAAACGTTTAAAGTCTTATTTCAGAAAGGACATCACTGCCGCTATACACCGAAGTGACGAAAACCCACCACAGCAATGCAGGTTGTTATTATAGTATTATTTTCACTTTTTTTAAGCGTGGAAGGCATATCCTAATCTGCTGCTTGAACACTGGTGTTCCACACTGCAGGAGGAATAAGTACAGTATACAATAGGAATAGGTATTGCATAGAGTATGCAGAAGTCCCCAGTTCTAGTCCTGAATCTGGAAACGGCTATCTGCGCGTTTTCTAGCATCGGCACCCAAACAGCAGTGAGACGTTGGTAACAGGTCTAAATAAATGCAACGATTATTTTATTCTGGTCTTTATAACCCCAGTTAAGACGGCAAAACTGCTAACATACCGCCCCTCCCGGAACAGGACTGGGGTACCCCGGCCTTTAAAGTTGAAGTAATACAAAGCTTATCCCACAACAAACAGCGTTTCAAAACATCTACATTTACAGAGAGGAGTGTTTGCTCACGCTGGTATAAAATTAACATGTCCAGACACACCGTTTTGCAGCAACGTAAAAAAAAAATCAACTTTAGGAATCATGAAATATGGCAGATTTTATGAAGCCCACAGAATATATATCGTCCTATCTGAGGCATTTTTTGCAGAGGATTTGTATTATTGAGCCGTGGATGTTGTATTACTCGTTGTAAGACTCGGTTATAAACTAACGAGAAAAACAAGGCACAACAATAGCAAGTTCGTCATGCTGCCGATATATTTGATCTGTCGGAAGTCCCCAGCTCTTTCACAAGGGCTAGTCATTAAAACACTGCGCACAGCAAATAAATTGTGCGGCGAAGCGTAGGCTGTGTTGTGACGTTCAGAAACGGAAAGCTGCAACTTTGCACTCCCTGTTCAGAGAAAACGAAAGTTTATTTTCAGTTACCGCACACGGGTTGCGGTAAGATTTTCGTAGCAGAGAAGACACGGAGAACGAACAGCTATTTCGCAGAGGTAATGATAAAACGATTAATTATCACGGAGTGTAAAGCTGCAGTATACGTTTTTATCACGTTTGCAGATATTGGTGTATGTGCGCTATTTATAGGACATTGTTGTGGAATAGTTTACTCTACAAACTTGTATATATTGTATGTTGTACAATAGTTGTTATTTTATTCCGTATTTCAGGTCTTACTAGTATCAATGCGAAACGGAATAGGGCCTTTAAAATGTTTAAGTTCCGTCAAAATGTCCGCTACAGTTCTGCTTTGGGCGAATGCTTTTAATCTGAAAACTGGAGGACTTTATATTATATCAACATAACTAGTTTAAAATGTTCAACTGCATTTGACGAGTGAGCGGCTACTGACACGCGTCCAGCCTTAGTGATGCGACTTGTGGTCTGTTTTGATTAAGATTTTGATTGAAACGTAATGGTGGCTTTTATGCCCGATTATTTTTTTTTTAGGTTATCGCATTATTAAATAAGGGGTATTTTTCTGAGGTGCATTACAATACCGAACTCCATTTTATTGAGCGGAGAAGGAATTGCGTTAAGTCGGACGCTTCGCCAGGCCATCCGGGGTTTGCTACATTGTGATTGGACAACTGTTTTAATAGTCGTTTCCCATTGGACAATGGCAACCCGTCAGTGTGTTGTCTGCTGCGTGAATGGGTGATCCGGGATACACGTGAAATAGCTCAACTATGTCAGGTGTTTTAGTTCAGAAAACTAAAGGGAAAAAACTCTCCAACGTCCTTAAAGCAAATACTATAACTAAAGTGAAACCAGAGGTGTATATAGCAAGATACAGCTTCATTCCTTGAGATGTGTAACAAATTTAAGTACACATATGTTAAGAAGTATCTATCACGGTTCCTAAATGGATTTTAAAATAATATTTAGTAGTCGTCAAGGCTGGTACCCTATACATTGCGTACTCCGCCTGGCGCTCGTTGCCTACCAGGATAGACTCCGGCTTCCCCCGCGACCATGAATTAGAGGAAGAGGTTAACAGGTCAGGAGTTCCAGGTCCTGGCCGAGGATTCTGAAACATCTGCTGGTTTTCGTTATAGACAATATTAATTACTTAATTGAAACCTTAATTGAACGAATACGTTGCTTGATTGGAATATTCGCAATAGTTTTATCTCTTCAGAAGTTCGGGTTTTTATTTTACTCATCAAATGCGGTGGTTAAAAGAGGGCAACATCCCACGTGTTTAAGAGCTGAAAACTGTCAGTTCCCGTTAATCCTGCTGTTAAGTCAGTTAGGGGTTCAATTGTATATCTGAGAGCCGGCCGGAACTAAAACCAACTGAACTAAAATCTCCAGGACCAGGATTCGGAAATCCTGGACTAGGTAGTAGTATTAATTTTTTTTTAAAACCATGGTTCAGAATTAGTTGAATAAAAAGAGGAAATGACAGAGCTCTTTGTATAAACAGTACACTTTGCACATTCTAATTACAGAAAAGTGGTGGTGTAAGCATTGCTGTGTCACAGTGCCAGGACCCTGGGTTCGAGTCCATACCTGACGTGTAACAGTATACGCGCGTGGTTTGTACAGTACGTGGGTTTTGGATGAGTGCTCTGGTTTACTCCCACGGCTCTAACACATTCACAGTGTTAGGTTAATGGGATTCTGGGAAAGCTGGCCCTGGGGTGAGTGTGGGGACTGTATGTCTCTTTTTGTCTTTGTGTGCCCTGCAATGCTCCTTGTGCCCAGTGGTTTCTGGGATAGGCTCCAGCACACTGTATTAGATAAAGCGGTTTGGAAAATGGATGGATGGAAAAAGGTCCATTCATCATTTGAATAATTTTGATAAAAGTGAGTTTCTCTCACTCTATGGGTGAGATAAATCTGTGTCTTAAGTGTTTATTACAAGCCATAAACCATATCTTCCTATTGTTCCTTCGGGGGAATGAGCTGGTTTCATTGAGTTATGCTGTGATTATTATAATTTTGAGTTATTAAACCTGGAATGCTTTGCGTTTTGTAAATTTTAATTCACAACAAGCAGATTTGAATGCTTTTGAATGGAGTGTTGCGTCGCTGTGCGATGGCTTTATTTCCAAGAAGGAAATAAAGGTTAATTCCAAGCTGAAAGAAACAGTTTTGTCTGCTGAGCCTTCTGACCCCTGAAGAAGGCCCAGCAGCTGAAAGTTTATGCTTCTCCTTTCCAAATTTGGAGATTGACGACTCCTGAACAGGGACAGCTTTCGTTTGTATTTTACTGCTCTTCCCATGTTTCCCTGTGTTTTATTCCTCCCACCTTCCAAAGACATACAGTATTGGATAAATTGACATCTCAGTGTGTGTCTTGCAATTGTCTGACATCCAGTCCAGAATGTGTTCCTGTATTCCAGCCTGTGCCTCCAAGATAAGCACTGGGTTGCCTTACAAGGAATAAGTGGCTTTCTGATGTTGGATAAATGTATAAAAAATAACATATGCAAGATAATGTCTCGCTGTCTTTGCAGATAAGTGCTACATAGTTATTGCAAAGCATTATTTGATTTTTATCATTTTTATTTTCCATGCTAATTTAAACTAAAGTACAAATATGGGTAAATCAAGTAATAAGTTTCATTTAAAATAAAGCAGCATTAATTGTAGTCAGTGCCTTTCTAGTTTAAGTGATTCTCTAGGAAGTCAATTGCTCCATGTGACTTAAGTCAAGCAGCAGGAAAATGTGCGTTTCATCGTCAATCATTAATTATCCCTCTTGCAAGTACAGTTAGCAGCTTTTTCTTGGCAACATCCTGTAAAAGGAGAATAGAAAGTGAAAGAATTTGCAGTGAGACATATGACTTTATGAGTCAGCCTTTTTCTTTAAACAAAACTGCAGCTAGAAGATCCCTTCCTTTTCCTCCCAGACTCTGATTCGAGACTTTTGTACTGAAACTGGAACATGAAGTGCTCAGACTGTGGACATGTAGCAGCGGAGCAAAATGCTAAATTCTGCAGTGAATGCGGGAAGAAACTTTCACAATCTCAAGCTCCCAGCCAAGGTTAGTACAGTGCTTTCCTACTTCTTTTCTCTTTCTTTCTTACAAAACCTTCGGCTTCAGTGTTCTGGATTGAAAAATATTGATCCGAGAATCTGATCTGAGATAATGTACCAATGTGTTTCTTAAAGCATAATGTTTTATGGCATTTCAGCTGAGCAGCAGTTTTCAAATTTAGAACTTCATACTCCAGCCATGTCTCTCAATAGCTTAAATAATGGTGCACAAACCTCAGACCTCAGACCTGGAGGGCTGCAGCATTTTTCTTTCACTTTACTTCTTAACAACCTAATTGAGATATGTCCGGGTCTAACTTGATCAATTTAACACCTGCTAAAGGATGGAAGGGCGGCACACTGGAGCCCAGGGTTCGATCATTATTCTTGAGGCTGAGGTGTTGGCTCATTTGCCTCTAAAATTGCATCTAGAAAGAGTGTTTTGCAAAAGTGACACAGGATATTAAAGCAATGTATACCTGCTGAACTGTAGATATGAATTACTTTTTCAGTGGAAAATAATATTTTTTAAATATTTAATAACTTTATTCTTATGAGTTAATACATTATATAATTTACAGTACATACAGTATAGTAATTTAGAGAATTATACAATGGGATTTTGAACTGAAAATAGTTGAAACATCCGCAAATTGTCTATTTTGTAGACATCAAATGCATTGTGAACCATTTACCCTCTTGTTGACAGTGTTTTCCTTACAGTCCTGATGGCGTGGTAGTTAGGGCTCTGGAGTCTGAAAGGTTATGGGTTCAGATCCCAGGTGGAACACTGCTGTAGTAAAAATTGAGCCTCATGCTTCTCCCATGTTGCTAAAGTAAATTAGTTATGGCAGATATAATGTATAGCAATTCCCAAAGTATACTTGGTTGTCCACATACTGTATATGTGTATTGTTTTTTTGTGTTTAGACATATGTTACTTGTTGTATATGGGGTTCTAGTAATAAAGGAGGTGTATTTGGGAAAATGCTGCAGTTCTCCAAGGTGGGTAGGTAGAGAAGTGCATGTAGTATCTTTCCTGCTGCCGGTGCTAAACTTCTCTGAATCTGAAAGGACAGTTGTATTTATGATGTGAGTGAAAACCTGAAAAAAGTCAGCATCCAGGTGGTAGAGAGCTGAGTCGACAAGTGACGCAAATCGAGGCCTGGTGTGTTATTGATTACAGGCAAGACGCCCCCGGTACTGGAAGATCAATTGGAAAGAGGAGATGAGCAGAGGACAGACAGTGAGCCATCATCTGTGGACAGCACAACGATGCAGCACAACGAGCAGAAACGGCACAGTGAGGATGAGGACTGCCCAAAGAAGAAGGTGCAGTTATTACCTGGGAGACGTGTATACAGTATATACTGTATTTCTTTTGAAAGGAAAATGTATTCTTTAACCTTTGATTTTAGCAATCTTCGCAAATTTTCCCATATGTTTAGCACAGGATTGTAAGTAATAACTGACTGTTTTTAAGTTGCACCTCTTGGGTTTTAATAGTCCAAGCAGACTATTTGTTCTTTTTTCACTGTTTGTTCTTTTGCACAGTGTGCATGGTCATGTTAACCCTGATTGTACTGGGGTAAAGATAATTGTGAGCTTTTAGCCCTTGTTAATACAAGTGTAATTTTTTAATAATATTTTCTTCACACAGAGGAAAAAAAAGAAGGATAAAAGGAAGAAAAGCAAACAGTCTTCCTCTCTGGAGTCTGAGGAAATGGCGACGGAGCTTTCTGACATCTCCTTGGCTGACAAGCCCACCTCAGCAGTCGAAGAGGAAGCAGTGCCCTCTGACAGCGAGGATGAGTCTGGTGCAATGGATGACACTGCTGCTTTGGTACAGGAAGCAGGCAGATCTACTCAACCTGTAAACACCAACACGGCTTCTCAGGAGCCTTGCCCAGGCAGTCCTGCACAGGTTCAGAAAACCAGAAAGATGTCTGACTGTGCACCCTTTGAAAAAGCTACACGGGAGACTGTGAAGACCAACATACCACCTCGTGTGCCGGCTGGAAGCACTGAAACGAGCGCAGAAGGCAGGGACTCCTCTTTTATTCCATCTCAGGAGCAAACAGGAAGTGTTGTACCCAGCACAGAAGGCAGCAGCTCCTCTCGCTGTAGCCATCACTCCACACCAGAGGCTTCTGCGTCTTCTCCAGGGGCCGTGCAGAAGCCAGCGGAGCCTGAGAGACAGAAAAACCCTGAGCTTGAGCAGCACACAGAAAGCAGCAACTCCTCTCTCATTCCACCTCAAGCGCAGACTGGAAGCACTGAACAGAGCAGAGAAGGCAGCAACTCCTCTCCTACTCCACATCGCGCGCAAACTGGAAGTGCACAACGGAGCACAGAAGGCAGCAGCTCCTCTCACTGTAGCCGAAATGCCACACGAGAGGCTTCTGCGTCTTCTCCAGGGGCAGAGCCGAAGCCAGCCGAGCCTGCGAGACAGCAAGACCTTGAGCAAAAACCTCAAGCTGCAGGCAAACTTAAACAACAGCAAGCGACGGCCATGGATAACAAAAGTGTCAAGAACAGAAAGGATACCGCACAGTTTCAACGTGGAAACCTTGATCAGAATCCTAATGTAGCTGGGGAACCTAGAGAGACCAGAAATACTTCTAAAATACAAGAACAAGAAGAGAAGCATATGTCAGGAGGTGACAACAAACAGGCAAGAACTGATATAAAAGAACACCAAATGTTAAAATATAGATTTAAGACAAAAGCAATTTTTTCCCAAGAATATCTTTGCATCATTGGACATTGAACAGTTTAGATGTAGTTTTCCCCTTAATTCTAGCAGCACTCTAATGAAGTTATAAACTACAGATATACATTATATCTATTAGAACTAGTTTCCCCCATAATTCTAGCATTATGGGGGACATTTGTCTTGAATTATGGGAAAACCCTACTGTGCTGTACTGCTTTCCTGGTTAAAGAAGAACACATTGGGCCCATAAACATTCAGTAGGTTATGTAGGATAAACTTCACAAGAGATGGGGAAAAATAAGAAAATGTGTGCAACCTGTACATTTTATATTATTTAAATAATCAGTGGCATAAAGTACTACAACGTTTCAGGGACAGAATGACTGGTAGCAGGTATTTTATGCTTCCAACAGATATGAGATTTGGAGATAATGTTAATGTGGTTTTAATTTCCATGGTAACATTCTGTCTGACAACTGACTAGCTATTTTCCCCTCTTCATCAACAGAAAAGTGAACTGAGCCACAATAAACAAGAAAAAAATACAGACAAGGACAAAAAATATAAAAATGAGAATCATAAAGCTGAACAGATGAAAGTACAGGAGGCATCCTGTCCTGAAGGAAATCAAGACAAACCTATCGAAGCAAAGCTTGCATCTGAATCTGAAGACAAGAGCCAGCAGGAAAGCGACACTAATGGATTTCAGGAAGTGACAGGGAAAAAAAGCAAAAAAAGAAATAAAAACAAAAATAATGAAACTAATGAACAAACACAATCAAGGTATTTGGTTGTTTTTTATCAAGTCCATAATTTATTTTTAATTTGTGAAAATAATTCACTGTGTTTATTGTTCATGTTTTATTTTAAAATATTTTTTCAAATAGTAAAATAAGTCATACCGGACTTACCTAGCAATAATTAAATTGAAGCCTATGTTTGATGGTGCATATAAATATAATTTCAGGGGTAAAGGGCTATATGTATGAAAAGGAGATTGATATCTTGACCAATTCATGTTTAGTCAGTTGAGGATGTCCCTGTTCAATGCTACAATGACCTTTCTGTTATTTCATCCTTACACTTCATAATTGCAATGCAAAATTACAATATAGACTTGCTTCTAAATGAATTTTGAATATGTGAGTGCAGTGGATGTAGTGCCCATGTGTTACCCCCACAAACTCTGATACCTTTTATCAAGTTTTATTATAAGTCTATATTAAAAAGGTTCCAAAAGAGAAGAAGGATGTACAGTATAATGTGGTTTCTTGTTGGTAAAGTCCATGAGGAACACCCACAATTTTTTTCATTTTTTTAAACTGTCTGGCTTCTTAGGCTTTCCCACTGCAAAGTTACAGAAGCCATGTGATACTCACAATACACCATATACAATATCTACACAACACATCTGATGGTGAACAGCAATTTCACTGGGTGCTACACATACAGATTAATCTCTTCCACCAATAATAGAACACATGGCATCTTTTATTTTTTCTGGTAGTTTAAAGTGGCTTTATATGATAAAATTGTGATAAAGTAATAATTACGTTTTTTTTTCTCCTTTGTCTGAACAGGGTATTTGAACAGCAGCATATTCAGCCAGGTGACAGGCTTACAATTTACTTCCATGCAGTTCTGTCAAAAGATTTTAACTTTGACCCAAGCAAACACAAGATTTACGTTAGAGGTGGAAGTGTGTTTGGAAACTGGAGTTGCAATGCAGTTGAACTTCATGTTATTAAGTAAGTATAAATTGCAGAATATGATCATACCCTTCTTTGGTATAGTCATTCAAATACAATTTTGTTTCTTTTGCATTCATGTTTAGGCATCAAATAATTACTGGCCCATCTTAAATTGAACGTAGATTTGCAGAAAGAGATTTCAAGTGATGTGAAAGGTGATCTGTTTCAGTTTCTATCAATAGTTGTCTATACTAGAGCTTTGAAAACAAAAATTGAACACTGCATGGTTGTCAGTTTTAATTGGTGGTAGTAACTCTATTAATAATGTATTCTTTATTTCAGGGAGTTGGAGAAACATGGATTCCTCGTTGGAGGACATCTAGATGTACCTAAATCATCTGTCGTTAAAAAGCCTATACCATACAAATATTATTTGTGCTGTAATGGAAAAGATGACTATGAACATATTTATAAATGGGATGTTCCCGAGGGTACAATTGTGAATCGATGCCTTTGTATTGCTGAAAAGGATGTTTCTCATCACAGTAAGTTATTTCAAACATTTTTTATACAGACTGTTAGCAGAATTGCTCACAAAAACATGTTAAATTGCACAACCACAAACACGCATACTGTAATTGAATATAAGGTTACAGGGATACACTGAAGTTTAGAAGCATTTAGATTTAAAAGAACATTTTGTAACTTTATTTAAAAAAGACTGTAGAACATCGAATGTTAATTTTTAAATTTTAGACATACAAATTCTTTGTTAGAGGCCACAGCTGCTCATGGACATTTTGTCACAGTGTTATCACAACATTTCTGACTATATCTGTCTATAGACAGCTGCTGCTTCTTTCATATGATGAAAACAGTAGCAAACAAAGATGTATTTCAGACATAGATGCAATATTTGGAGAGCCATTGTATGGCTTTGGAGGAAGGTGGACTAACATGATTCCAGCATATCTTTTTCGATGGCATTTGTGGATGATGTGTCCCATATTCTGGTTAATCGTATACTCCACACTGCTGTCTGGCTCATCCTATAACACTTTAATAGTATTAAGTGTTAAGGTCAAGAGACAGCAGAAGCAATTGAATTAATATCAAAATGTTTGTCTTTTAGGTCTATAAATAAAAGTTTATATTCAGTATTTACTGAATAGGTACTGTTGTCCTAATTAGGACAGTTTACAGTAAGTATGATGGAATGGGTTAATTTTTTATGTTTAAGTGCAGGATTTTTGTTTAATCTTATTTCATTAAATGGTAACCCACCTACACCATAATCCACTTTAATTATCTTTCATACTCCCCATTAAAACAACTGGCGATCAATCAGACTTTAACTTTGCTCCACACCCATAGCTAGTTCAGGTTCTGAAAGTTGTAGCCGTCTGAGTAGTAAATACTGTACATGATAAAAGGTGAAGACTGGAAAGTGACTGTGGTGATGTGACAAAACCAGTCCACTGTTACATTTTCTTTAGAAAGAGAAAGTAGAGTTATGTGTTGGTTTATACCCAATTTTCTTTACTATGTAGGATTTCAATACATTTTGTAGGTGTTACCATACTTGGAGATTACTGTCAGGTTTTTACAACCTACATTTGGCACTGGTAAATGTTCTCTAAAAGTTAAATAGTTATTGTTAATTTTATGACTTGTAAGGTTTGTGCCTATATACAGTATTTATAACAAGGTAATCCTGATGTAAAAAGAATTAACAGCGTCTGCGGTACTTATTTACTGTACTTTCATACAGTAATGAAGGTATCGTGCTTCTTTTTAAATGTCCTGAAATATATTTTCTTTTAATAGATGAGTGGCATCAGTTTGACGACATCATCTGCAAAAAACCTTCTGAGAACTTTAAACGGTATTTTACCGTTTCCTACTGGACAGACCAAAGAAAGAGAGATGTCAGAAAAGGAAGATTTTTAGCTGGGAACTTTATGCTATATTCGATTTTTGATCTTTTGACAGAATGGAATGAAACTAATTTAAATAACTTCTTCTCTCAGCTCAAAATGTTTTATATGACTTACCAGGACCCCGTGATAGATGAAAATGGACCAAAAAAATGGTTTTCTTTGAATTTCAAAGAAAATGAGGTATATTGGATGTCATGTTTCCTATATTTCTTGCTAATACGTACAGTACTTATATTACTTTTGACTCACTAAACATTTAAAAAAAACTGATCTTAGTTGAATATAGAAATAAACTTGAAATGTGTTTTGTTCTTGTCCCTTTTTTTACCTTAAATGTACCGTCCTTTAAGGCTCTTAAATCTACTGAGTAATTCTGGTTTCTGAGTTTTTATTGACTTGATAATTTTTCATGTAACGCAATGATACTGATTAATTCTCCATTTTAGTTTTAGAGAGTGGACGCTCAACTTTAGTATCCAATAAGTAATTCTGTACTAGGTTTAATGTCACATGCGAATGTAATGTTTATATATTGTTTCACTCAGGTCCAGTCCTTACTGAAAGATGCTCTTATTGGGTTAATTGGGCCCCATCTTGAAAAGGAGACGGAAACACGAATGGTTCACATTGAAAACCCCATTAAAGCTGCAGCACTTGTTCTGATTCTCTGGGAGAAATATAACATACCTCTCAAACCTGAAGAGAGGCATGTTTTGTGCCAACTTTTGTGCTTCCCAAAACTCCCAAAAGAGCAACAGATTTCTTTCTGCTGGGATTTAAAAGAAAGCTTTAAAAGCATGAAGGCGTAAGCATAATATTTTACTCAAGTAAAATTTTATATAAAAATATTTAAATATGAAACGACCTCAAGTCTTATTAGTCATATTTACTCATATTTTTTGTGCATCCTGATATATTATTTTTGCATGGTGCATCTAATGTAAAAAGCATATGTCATTAGCCCATTTACTCTTTAACTATCTGTTTTTTTGTATTTCTTGTGGGTATTTAAACAGAATCTGTAAATTGTATTGTGATAGAAATAATTGTTGGGAGTATGTTGTGAGGGTGTGGACCTAGCCATGTTGCTGAAGCCAGTACTCTGGCTTCTTTTAAGAAACAGCAGGATGAGATCCTTGGATCAATTAAATCAAATGGCCTGCTTTTGTTTGTAATTATTATATTCTTAGTGTGTGTATTGTCATCAGGCGAAAACAAAATGTCTTTTGGTTTATTTTTTTTGTAGGCTCAGAGACATTCTTACAAATTTCTGCAATGTGGTTATGAATGAAAAACAATTTAGGTCCATTTTACTGATTCCTCTGCTCCACTTCTTGAGTGACATGTGCAAACCTTTTGAACCTATTGAGTGGAAAAGAGGGATCACTGCAGAAGATGTCTGGGGTGGATTAGAAGGACTCCCTTTCGTTGATTTCAGAAACAAGATTTACCAGCACGAAAAGTAAAAGCTTCCTTGTGACTAAGTTTCTATTAACCACTTTTTGAACTTCTATTATTATTATCATCATAATTATTTGCATTTTATTCTGTTATTTTACACACTATTGGATATCCTGTTTTTATTACTGTTGATATATTGTTTACAACTCTACTGTATATATTACACATTTACAGAGATTAAAAATACTGTAATTTACAAGGCCAGGAATGGACAAAAGTGTAGAATTTCTTAAAATCTTCAGACTGTAATAACAAAAAGCTAAACAATTTCTTTTTGTTTTTAGGGATTTACTGGCATTAATGGTATCAAACAAACATTTGGTGGATATTGACAGGATGCTAACTAGGTCCTGGCTATGTTTCTTGAAAATTGAAAACTTCCTTGAATACGAGAGTGTTTTCAATCTTGATTTGTTGGACCTTCTTCAGGGCTTATTATACAAGCTGGTCCAGCATGAGCATAGACTACAAGAGGTACTGTGTGCGAAAATGTTTGAGCTCTTCCAAATTATTTATTGTCAATTAAGAAGCTAGTAAATATTTTTAATCTTACTGGACTCTTACTGCTTTGCAATTTCTAAAATGAAGGCAAATATATGGAGATGACTATTTTACTTCAATTATTTTACTAAATTATGCATACTGAAATTATCCTTTGATGTCCTCTCCCATAATTACTGAATTATACTTTGATGTATATCTGTGTGTCTTATTATTTTGTAGCCATTGTTCAAAATTCTCTCACATATTCTGGACAAGCTGAGTGACAAAGAATCCTGGTGAGTTTAAAATTTGTTTTAATTATGATAGACAATGCAATTTAATATTTTAACATAATGTGAAATTGTCCAGTCATAACTTTAGATGTGTGAATACATTATTTGCTAAAAAAGTAGATTAACACTGAAACGTTATTTTCCTAAGCCAATAGCAACAGATTGTACCAAATTCTGACAACACAAATACTTTTCTGTTTTTTATTGCAGCGTTTATGAAATTAACTACCTGATGGCATGTCTGAAGGCTGCACTAAAACTCCAGCAATGTGTATGTTCTTCAATAAAGGGACTTTGGAACTATGAGCTCCCCATTAAGAGTGTGGAAATTATTATTAAGCTCTCAGACCTTGAAGAACATCTTCTTCCAGAGGTATTATTTTCAAAGGAGTTTTATCTTACACGCTTCTGCAAGAAACATAATAATAGTTGGTGTACTATGTTGTTCCTGATATGCTTCAAAGTTATATTTCTGATTTTTTTTATAAACGTTATTTTAAGACAAACTTTAATGACATTGAATAAAACATAAATATTTTTATTAATGCAGGAAAATGAAGGTACCAAAGAGAACTTGAAGGAACTAAACATTAATGATCTGCTCAGTGATTCCTTGCAAACAATGAGACAGTGGATAAAGAAAACCTTTATTAACAGATTGTTGAAAAGCAGCACCTTGAGTAGTGTGTATGTGTATTTTCATAATGCTCATGAAATAAAGGTGAGATATATTTGGTTGTGTACATCTGAATAATGATACATTAAATTACATTTATAATTTGAATCAATAAACCAACATTGTGAGACTTAGTGAATTATTAGAGCTTTTTTATTCTTCAACTTAATAATTTCCTTTTATTCTTCAGTTAAACTTGATTTACAACTCCATCAATTTCTATTTATAAGTTATAAGTTTCTATTTATAAGTATCTCATGCCCTGCATTTTAAAGTTCTGTCCAAGGTTTACAATAAAAACTTGAACAATATAAAATAGTTAAAAAGAACATTTTAGTCAAGGCATAGGAGAATTGCATTCTTACTAGCCCTAACAAAGCTGTTTGTTTTTAATTTATTTAATTTATAATAGAAACAATAGCATCTTTGTGTGTTTAAGTATAAAAATATTTTTCAGATGTGGAATGATGTGATCTCCTTAAAATCAAGAAAGGAAATGTTCTTGTCCAACTGGATAAGTGCTCACATGAAAGATTTTGAAGGAAAGCTCAAACAGGTACAAGTTTCTGATCCTGTGCTCAGAAATGAAATTTTAATTTAATCAGTTTCCTGGATATTTGAATTAAAAATCAAACTGTCAAAATAATAAATCTGCAGCCTGTGCTGTAGTTTCCAGTGTGTAACAGCAGTGAGAAAAGATCAGCTTTAATCTTAAGGCCTTTTGAATTAAAATCTTCCATTTTGTTTTGCAGTGTTTGTATTTCACATACTAATGTGACTTTTTTACTATATTATCTTTGAAACTCTATATTTAAGAGAACACATTCACATAGAGACTAAGGGTCAGAGTTCACACAGAAGTGCTGTGTGAGCAAATGACTCTTGAGTATGAGCAAAAAGGTGATCAGGGAATGATTTTTGTGGGTAGTTCCAAGACTGAGGAACAAGAAATGAGAGAATGAAGAGGGGATACAGAGAGTCTGGAGGAACAGGTGGATCAGGGAAGGTGGAAGGCAGTGGATGGAGAGAGATCCCATATGGACTTTGTTCTATCTTTAAATAATTGTACTTGCATAATTCTTTGGAATTTTGTAACTAAGTAATGCCATTTATATTTTAATCCGTGAATTATTCTCTTTCAAATGTAAGGAGACTCCACTCTCTCAGATTGAAATTTACTGCAGCAAAAATGATGAGATGAAACAGCTAAATCCTCTACTTGCCCAGTGCTTTGAGAATTGTGCCCTGGAAGCTGTTCATTCAATATGTCAGGTATGTCTTTATATACCCGCCTAGAGTTCTGAAATGCAAACAAAAAATAAATGACATCGTGAAACTGTGTGACACCTTGATTTCCTAGCAACCCATTATGTGACAACAGGTTTCAAGTGCTCCACAGTTATGTACATAGAACTTGTTAAGTTAATATTGTGAAAGAATAGAAAAAATGCACTCTTTACTTGTTTCTAATGAGCACGCAGGCAACATGGTGGTATATCTAGCCGCGGACTTTGGGAGGCTGCGTGCTGACAGAAGAACTGAGTAAGCTCAGCTCCTAGACAGTGTGTGATGGTGTAGCAAGCAGAGATGGTCCTGAGGGAACACAGCTCAGGTCTCTGGTCTAGCAATTGTAATTTGTAATTACAAACGGGGTCAAAGCTGAATAAACACGGAGAGGTGACAAGTCAAAGGATAATCCGAGATCAAGGTAGAAAAACGCAGCAGAGCTCAATCTAAACAAGGCAACATGGGGAACAAGGGGAACCAAATAATAATATATGATAATAATTCCTTGCATTTATATAGCACTTTTCTAGACTCTCCACTCAAAGCACTTTACAGGTAATGGGGACTCCCCTCCGCCACCACCAGTGTGCAGCCCCACCTGGATGATACAATAGCAGCCATAGTGTGCCAGAACATTCATCACACACTAGCTAACAGCTAGGAGGAAAACAGAGTGATGAAGCCAATTCATTGATGGGGATTATTAGAAAGCCATGATTGGTAAAGGCCAGGAAGCCAGGGTAACACCCCTGCTCTTTTCAAGAAGCACCCTGGGGTTTTTAATATATACACTGCCTACCCAAATGCAGGCGTGGATGTCCATTTCTTGCAGGTGGTGCTTTATTCTGCCAGCAAGCATTTCCATGGTAAATGGCACTGAGAGACCAGTACACCTGGTTACTAGGGCAAATGCTAGCTTACTTCACAGCGCAGCTGTAGGTCACAGCCAGACAGTTCATTCCTCAAATTAGAAGAGTACTGTATGTTTCCCATGGTGTATGTATGAGCCAGTGTGTGAACAATTGTACATTTATTTACAGATTAAGCTTTGGTAGATCGCTCAAAAATGTCTTTAACATTTGGACAGAACAAAAAGATTTTTCTTTAACTTGGGCAGGATGTAACCAACATGCATTCACGTAAGAATGATAATAAAAGCACATTTCCATCATGAAACAATAAAAATGTGTGAATGGAAAAGTACTTTTCTGTCAATATCAACTCTTTCGGGTAAGATGTACAAGTAAATAGCACTCTTCCCTCTGGACAAGGATTTCCACCTTCTTTTCTGCTCATATGCCAACACTTACATCAACAGCACATTTTTTCTTGGAGGTATCCCATCCCAGTACAGACAAGACTCAGCCTTGCTTGGCTTCCAAGATCTTGACAAGATCAAGCAGCTGTACTGATAACGCTCTCATAGCTATTCCAATTGTATTTTGTTCTTACAAACTTCTTAAACCTACGTACGAGAATCAATATGCTTCTGATGATAATTATAGGCTATTGTCTATGTACATTGCAGGAAAACAAGGCAGGTGTATTGTTTGAAAGTCTTCAAAGACATAAAATTGGAAAGTTCAGCTCTCTTGTATCAAAGATTATTGAAAAATCCTGGCCTATAAGCAAGCAGGGAAAACTACTGGATGGTTATGATGTGATGGAGCATTTGCTGACCTGGCCAGCATCAAATAACATCTTCCAATTGCAAGGTACTGGTTTTGTTTAACAGAGGTAATTTAGTAAATTTGTGCTTTTTGAACCATTTGTCTATAACTTTATTAGGTTAACATAAAAACTTTGGTTAATTTTAAAGCTTGTTTTTGTCACACCTGCAGCCAGGGGGTGCTCCTTCTTTGTCCTGTCCCTAGTTTCCGGTCTGCTGTCATTCCTGTCCCTCTCTTTCCCTTGGGCTATATATTTCCGGGTCTTGCAGTCTGTCCTCGCTCAGCATTGATGTTCGGATGTCCTGAGACCCGCCTAGCACCAGGGCGCCCCACGTCCGCTCCCTGAGGGCATAGGTTTCTTTACGGCATTCCTGAACTCTTTGCACTAATGAGCCCGGGCCTTTTCCCGTCTCGCCGCTACGCATATGGGTCTTTTTCCCCTCTCCTGCTCCCCACGGTTAGTCCCTTTGGACGTCCGTGACAGTTTTTTTGACGGATTTGCTAATATGCTGAATTTATAATTCCACAACCACTTTCAAGCTGTCAAATTTTAGGGATTTTTCAGAAGTGAATAATTTAATATGTATTGAGAATTAGAGTAATAGGACTTGTTGTGGGAAATGCATCAAGAGAAGCTGAAATTTACTGAAATTTTATTACTTTTGGTCAATTGCTAAAAAGATGAAAAAAACAGTGAAAGTTTTTTTTTTCTTGGTGCAGATGCAAATCTGATTGAAGAACTTACTGATGAGGCCAAAAGCCTAATTACTGTGTCAGACTCTGTTTTTTTTGACATCACTACACAGTTGTTAAGTGGAAACATACAGATTAAATATCTGAAAATCATCCTGCGGAAGAGGGAAGAGTTTCTAACACTCCTTAAAATAAGTAAGTTTTTTTTCTTTCAAACTGCAGTACTGTATTATTCACATCTACAGTATATTCATATTCAAATATATTGTATCATTAAGCCTGCTGTTCTCAGTAATTTTTGTTTTTATGTGGGGGCAAAAGAACAACATAGCACAGTGTTGTACATTTTTCTTTCTGCAGAGGAGCCATCAATCAATGACAAAAACTGCAATGAACATTCCATGAGGTCAGTGTTGCAGTGGCGTGAGGCCGAACTGGATGCTCTGTTAAGTGAAAGGACCTGGGTTGACAGCCTTTTGAAGATGTGCAGTAAAATTCATGACTTTGTGAATGGTAGGACTAATACCATCCACAATACAATACTAATAATAATTATGTACTGTAATTGTTCAACATTTTATTAGGTTAAGAGCACGTATTTCAAGTAAAGAAATATAAAATTGTGTGTTCAAAATGGTATTTGTGAAATCACCTATCATTCAAGATGGTGCTCTTTAGATTTTAAGACTAACCACCAGTCTGTTAATCTGGTGTTTGATTTTCAAAATGCATAATACATGTATATTTATGTCAAGGTGGAAATAGCAGTCTTAATTTGAACCATGTGCTGTGTAACTAGCTAAAAATGTACTGTATACTGTAAGTAATTTAAACTACTTTGTTTTTACAGCAATGGAAACCTAATAGCTTTTTTTCAAATAATTTTCTAAATGCTGAGATGTACTGTAATGTGGATGTTTTAAATTCCACAAAGTTAATTACTTATTCGTTTATGCTATTTTCAGTGGATGTCGAGGAACTGGAGGAACGACACCTCTATGACATTGATTTGGAGAAGCTATGTGAAGTTGTTGTTGTACTTCAGCTTGATCAAGCTGCTGCCAATGATGCTGGGACTGTTATATATTTTCAGCTTGATGAGGAAATGAGACAGATGGCCAAGACCATTCACACATTTAAAGACAGCTATATTTTCCAAATGTGCTGGGAGAATCAGGCAAAAACTCTGTCTGTAACAGATCTAGAAACAGAGGCGTTTGAACCAGACCCTGATCTGATTATCACAATGGACAATATAAATGAGGAAATATTTACACCTTGCTTTGATAAATATCAGCATATCTATAGTAGCATGCAGACTGGTACTCTTACTTTAGGTGATGTTGACGAAATCTTCAGAGACTATAAGGATCGCTATGATGAACTGGGCAAAGATTTCCTCATCATGAGTAAACTGAACTTGTCTCATGACAGAAAGTGGATTAGAATTAAGATCCAGCAAATAAAGCAATACCATCAGCTCCATTTAGCTGTAGAATCAGCAAAGGTCATCATGGAAGTGAAAAAAACACTTAATCTAAATGGGGATTTCCATGTCCTACAGACATTACTGGATGTGGTAAGCATTATTGATATGAAAAAAATGTGATTATCATTAATAAAATTACTCTTCAGTTCCTGTTGCTTGACTATTCATATGTAGGTGGCCAAGTAATAGAGTTAATGGAACCCTAGTTTTTTGTTCGGGCTATTTGGCACCTAAGCTACAATGTTAATTTTTTTTCTTTTACAAAAAACTGTTTAAGGTAGAATAATAAAAGGTGATATAAAATGGACTGCATTATCTATCAAGATTGTGCATGACAAATTGCTCTGGTAACTAATAAAAAATATTTATCTTGCCAGTAACCTCTGACCTTTCCTAAAGGTCAGCTGTACAGTTTGACCTCTCTCTAAGGTGCAATCCAATATTTGTTAATGTCAAACAACAGGAATACAGAATCTGGATTTATTTACTGTAGCTGTTTCAAAAACAGTTCAACTGGCTTTCACTCTAGGCTGGACTTGGAGAGATTACTGCTCAATAGAATCAGTAGATACCTGTAATTGCAGAATGCAAGTTTTCAGCAGCTTATACTTGTACATATTAATATATGTTTCTCATGGTACACGAGGGAATGAGGCACATATCCAGCAATTTTCTGGCTTCTCTGACCTTAATTCTGTGATTAATGTTTAGATACCGAAGAACACTTGTTTTTGCCATTTGACTTCTTACAGTACTCCTTTAATTTATTAGCACATACAGTACTCCAGTTTAACTGACTGGCCTCCCTTCCTGCAACGATTCAGTCGTGGTTATTTTTCTACACTTATAGGAAGCAATATATTTTCTCTCGCATAAATGTCCTTTTCAATGAAAAGCAATATGTTGGCTGCTTACCACTATATTATTATTGCCTTTTTTCCTTAGATGCATGCAGACTTTAAGGGAGAAAGCTTGGATTGCATTGACGCTGAGCTAATTAAAGCTAAAGCCATTTTAGTGGACATCACAGAGGCTCGTAGAAAATGCCTGCAAGAACTAGGGCAACGTGTGGTCTTTGTCACCTGGGTCAAAGAAGCTCTAGAGGGTAAGGTATTTTAAAAACTTTAGTTACCACTTTTTTTAACCAAGAAGGTGTTTTCACTTTATATATATATCTATAGTTATTGATTATTAGCCTTAATTTCTTGTTAAATAAGTTTAGGTGACTGTTTTTTAAATTACTGCATAACATTACAGGGAGGGTTGGGGACACATGTTGCAAAATTCTGACTATTGTCCAAATGTAAAATAAATACCCACAATTAGGACAAAATATAAAAATACAAACACTTTGTTACCAATTGTTTTAATGGAGGAGTCTTTAAAATTAAAACAGAGCAAAAAAGCTGCTCTAATAGTATACCCAAATGAATAGTAGGACACACATGTAGATGGTACAATACTGGGCAACTCATGTGAACACGGAGAGAACATACAAACTCCCCAAAAGAATTGTGCTCTGTGCCCCAGGATGGTGAGGAAGCAATGCTGACCAGTGTACCACCACTCACACTGCAAATGTTATATTTTGTATTTGTAATTGCACATGTAATTGCAATTTATGTATCATGGAGTATTTCAGGAAAGTTATTTGGCATATATTTTCTTGAACACAAAAACCTAAGAGCAAGACTGAATTTGACTAAGTGAACAATTCAAAACATTAAAAAAGAACATCATGATTTATTCCTTTTTTCTACTTCTATCAGATCTTATGGTGAGCTTATGAAAAATCAAACTTGCTTTAAAATTAGCCTGAAAACGGTTATCTTGTTTCTGCAAACTTTGTTCTAACTAGCCACTGTTTCTGAAAAGTAGTTTCAGATTTCCTAAGCCTGAAAGAGAGATGATAAAGGGTAGGATCTTTACAATATCTTTACAAGGATCTCTGTAAAAGATTTTGTATGTACCACGCAAACAGGAATTATTCATTTTTTATGTATTGCAGTGATGTTCACACAGATGTATAAACACAGAGACACTATCTGTACACTATATACACTGTATAATGTTTTTAGTTTGTGCTTAAAGATTTCATTATATTTTAGATCCAGTAACAATTTATTTTCATATAGTGTTCCTCATCTTGTGCATTGACCTAATTACAGGACTATCAGTAACAAGTTTACACTGTGTACAAAGAGCAATAATATTGAGTATGTTAATGACACATATTGTTAAGTGACATATAGAAGAAGTAAATTTAAAAGAAACCTAATAGGGATTAATCCAGTATTTGTGTAAAAGCTTAGAAATAAGTATTTCAATTTTCTTTTGATTATAGATATTAATGAATTGAAGGTATTTGTTGACCTGGCATCAATCTCTGCGGGGGAGAATGACCTGGATGTGGATCGTGTGGCTTGTTTCCATGATGCTGTTCTGGGATACTCTTCCATGCTGTATGATTTGAAGCCAGATTCTGGTTTCAATGAGTTTAAGGAAGTGCTAAAGAAATTGTGGAAAGCCCTTGAAAACGATCATAACCTCCCCAAAAAATTGGTAAGACACTTAACTTCTATTAGTTCTTAAACTAACGGTCTGCTACTTTAAAGGTTATCTGCACTGCTCAAGCTGAATTTTAAAAGAAAAAAAAATCTTTAATCTTGAATAAATAAAAGATAGTGTTACGTCCCAGTGTGTGTTCTGTGTGTGTTTTTTCTGTTATGTCCACACTGCTGACCTTTGATTGTTCTCCCTTCCCCATTGGCCCACCATTACACCACACTTTCACTATGACATCATCATCAATTAGCTCTCAGCTAAATTAGCCAATCAGAACACATCTTATTCAGAATATAACATGGAGGTTTTCAGCAAAAAGAGGCCTTTTGTTTGACTTCGGTCCCGTTTGGTTTTGGTTATCGCTTCGCTTCGCTTCGCTTCGCTTGTGGTTATTGCTTTGGCTTCGTTTGTTGGTTTGTTTTGCTTTGTGTGTGTGTATTTTCGTATAGCTTCGGCTTTGTTGTTTTGTTGTTGTTTTTTTGTTAGTTTCTTTGTACTTTCGTTTGTTTGTGTGTTCATCCTTGTTTTGCCATTACCTTGCCCCAGTGTTACATGTTCAACTTTTGTGTTCTTTTGTACCCTGCTCCTGTTGATTACTCTTGTTTTCCCTTATTTGTATTTCTGGTTCACTTGTGTTTTTGTGTGAATGTTTGTATATAAGGTTAGTTTAGGTTGTTGGGTACACTTACACACTTAGTTGATTTTGTATTAGTACACTAGTTTAGTACGGGTGAGTGCCGTTTGTCTTGTATGGTTTTGGGTAGTCGGTGCAGGTTAGCTAGGGTGTTGAAGATGCTGAAGACCGTGTGTTTTGGGTTTTCTTTTGTAGTCAAATTAGCTTTCCCTCACTGTCCTAGCCAGCTCCATTTTGTTTGTTGTTTTCTTTCCTTTGGCACCACTCTAGTTCCTTACCCTTGTTATCACGCTTCCTAGTCCCTCACCAAAACCCACCTGCTTCCAAAAGAATTATCCTTAATGTTACACCCCTTTACCCCTAGACACTTGGGGACGTAACAATAGTTATTATGGAACACATGGGAGGCTGAGAGAGAAACTATGTTTGTATTTTGTTGCTTGTGTTTGTATCTATTTTCAGTGTGATTTATTTGCTATTAATAATTTAAATTTTAATTATCAAGTTTGTGGTTCTCTCTCTGGTTTCAGTGTGACACAGCACGCCACCTGGAGTGGCTGAAAACGGTGAAGGACAGCCATGGCTCAGTGGAACTGTCCTCACTCTCTCTGGCTTCAGCCATTAACCAGAAAGGCATCTATATCATTAGCTCGCAATACCAGAAGAAGGTTTGTAAATGGGGGGGACATGATGGTTTTTAAGTTAATGAAAATTCTGGAGCATTATGCTGGAAAAGTACTGTGTTTTTGTTGAAGATGGTGTGTTGTTGGTGTTGGGTTTCTTCTCTTTACAGAATTTCATGGAAAAGCGTTCAAGAAAATTAAGACAGTTAAGCATTTTATTCAAAAAGTGAACAAAAATGCCTCTTTATTTATTTGGCATTGCCAGTTGTGTCTGTACCTGTACTCTCAGTAGTGACTCATGGGTTCCAATGCCAGCTGTGCCTATCTTTAATTGCAGCAGGAATCCTTAAAATTGGCAAAGAAACATTAATTCAAAATGTTAAAGAGGCATACTTTTTTCAATGCCAGGTAAATTTGGACACTGCCCTCCAACTCAGGATCACAGAGGAGCATGAGGATGGCCAGGACGTGCGCTGCTATTCCCTGGAAGACCTGAAGGAGCTGCAGAACAAGCTGATGCTGATGTCAGGGAAAGGAGAGCAGGGGCAATGTGAAGTGGAGCGCTTTGCAGAGGTGAACCTCATAGCTTTTATTCCTTCAAACAGCATCACATAGATTCACATTATGGATAACTGTGTCTTTAAACACTGAGCTGTTTAAACTGATGTTAAATCTTACCATTAGTAATTGTTTACACTCTTACTACTTTTCCACTCCATATAATGGAATTCTTATCAAGACAAAAGTCTTGAAAACATTTAAGGTCTTGGCAGTAAGTTTGTCTTTTGTATGAAGCCATACTCTTGTGGAACACCTTACATTCTATTCTAGCCAACCTTAAAAACTAAAGGGTACCATCAGTATGCTACAAAGCAAACTCTACATATAGTAATTGTAATGAATGCATAATTACTACAACATGAATAATTACTAACAGACAGCTGTTTTGGCAAAATGGAAATTCTGTAATTTGTGTTTCATTCTTGTGTTAAATTTCAGTGCTGTGGAACAATATAATATGGCATTATTTACATACCATTACTTAAAGCTTCAGAGACTTTATATGACACTGTCAGTACTTTAATATTGTCTTACTTGCAGGTATTTTCCAGTGTTCAGAGACTTGCTATGTCATTTATTGATCTACATGCTGCTGGGAACATGCTCTTCAGAGACTGGGAAGCTAAAATTAACTGCAGTGAGCACAGTGAGGCTTGTATCATCATGGACTTCAACCTTGAAAATACAATTGGGGAGATAATGTTCTCTGGAGCAGTGGTAGAACAACTTCCGGATCTCTGCAAGAAAACTGAGAAATACTTGAGGTTCTGGAAAGAGTTCATGGACAGGAAGAGATCCCAACATTACTTCCTCAACTACTACACTGCAGAGCAGATTGTCTATTTGTGCAAAAAACTGACTCCAGACAAACAGGACAGTCTTGAAGACCAAGTTCTAATGTTGCTTTCCTTCATTACACCCAATTGCACAGTCAGTGATATAAGGGAATGCTGGCACAAGTGGCAGTATGATGATCTTAAGGATATCTCTCAGCCAGATGAAGAGATGGACTTTCAGACATTTGTTGATGAAACCAACATGGAAGTGGATATTTTCCTGGGGAGCAAGGAAGGTACTTACACCCTTGAAGACCTGCCAGCTTTACTGCACAGTGCCAAGGGGGCAGAGAAGCTGGATCTGGTGTGGAACTTTTACATGAGAGACATGAAGCATTTTCTGCCCAATTGTATAGACATCGGAACACTTGGGAAGCTGCTGGAAATTCTAGCTACCAAAGAAGACAAGGAGAAGAAGACTGTCCAAAGGAATTTGCCAAATGGCCTGCAGCAGGGGTGCCCAAACCTCATAATTTGCCCACATGATGAAATTTTGACATCCTGTATTTGCATCTACATGAGCAGCATGGATGAGGACCTTCCTACCTATGATGAGGTGCTCCTCTGTTCAGCCAGCACCCCGTATGAGCAGGTGGAGATCTTCCTGAGGAGGTGCCTGACTGAAGGTTATAAGGGAAAGAAGATTTATACCATGTTGTACGCAGATGAACTGAGCTATGACGTTAGCTACAGATTTGAGCAGTTATTTCAGAGGCTAAAGATGGAGTGCAGGGGGGATTACAGGCTGGTGATCATCTGCAACTCTGACAGGGAGCACTTTTACATTCCCTCAGCCTTCAGCCAGCACAAGGTGCACATGATCCCCCATGAGCGTCTGGACAAAGTTCAGGCCTACCTCTCCGGGCACTACACTGTTTCCACAGAGGTGCCAACTGCAGCGTCGGTTTTTAAGGACAGAATGTTTGTAGGAATTGTGTCCTCCAAAAGGGCTGGAGTTGGTAAGTACAGCAGATCAATGTCAGTTTTTTTTCTGATACAACTCTATTGAGAGAATGCTTTACCACCATTCTGTAACATTTTAAGAACATAAGCAGAGGGAACAGAATGAGAAGGGGAGCAGATTCGTCCCATCCAGGTCGTTTAGCTTTTCAGTAGCCAGGTTGTTTATCGTGTACTCCCACATCCATTTGTCATGAAAGAGTTCATCCTGTTCTAAGTTTTATATAGTATGGGTCCCTATATTTTCCAATTATGTCTTCAGGTTCATGTTTCAATGTTGGAACATGAAAACTGTAATGTATTACATGTCATATTTCGAAAATACAGTATGTTTGTTTTAGTAATAGTAATATCTTCATATATCTGCTATCTTGTATATTATTACTATCAACAATGCAACTATTTCAATGCTACCTGTTTTTAGGCAAATCCCTGTATATCCGGAGGTTGCAAGAAAAACTGAAACAAAGCACAAGAGATAAGAGTGCATTGCTGAAGTGTATTCGCCTAATTGAGCCAAGAGTCAATGAAAATGCCATCCTTCAGTCCTTGTTGAACACACCCAAGAAGAAGAATCAGCTAACAATCTTTCATTTTGATATCACATCTTCAGTAAGTACTGTATGTTCTCAACTGTCTTAAAATTGTAGAAATGTTTAATTATCCAAATATGATAGTGTAGTGCTTTTGGGTTCAAGTGGGTTTGCGCCCTCGCCACTGCCGCCTCAGGTCGGCCGCCCACCGCTGGGGTCTCGAACCCGGGACTACGGCGTCACTCAACAGGGAACCAGCCAGCTGAGCTAAAAGGAGATCTCCCATCAGCCCAGCGGCTGAGGACCCTGCTATTCACAGGGAAGGCCGGTGACATCACCGCGCTGGCAAGCCGGCTCGTACAACCAGTAATGTCGGCCGTATGTGTTACACTCTCCCCCGCTTAATTCGGCGTCCCTGGCGAAGGGCTATCCGATCCCACTTCTAACACCAATGCAGCATATTGGGGTTTGGCAAGGATGGACACAGCCACTCAGACACTCGTTGATTGAAAAATGGCGCAGCCAGCATAGCACAGAACACCTGTGAGAGAGAGAGAGAGAGAGAGAGAGATTTTATTGTCTGTCTCTCAGTTGGGGTTCAGTTTCCCTTGGTCTTTACTCTTAAGTATGTTTCTTTTTTTTATTTAATTAGGTTCAGAAGGGCCTGTATGAATTTCTCTTCACACTGTTAGTCTTGCACTATTTAATGGACACGGAAGGGCACATGTGGAAATGCAGCAATAAGCACTTGTATGTCATTGAAATCCTGGAGACTTCAGGAGGACTGCCCAGAAAATCTTCAAGAAATGCAAGTGCTTTTTTTGTTATGTTGTATAGTAAGCCACTGTCCGATAATAACAATGAATTCTCTGAAAAATTTGGTTGTGTGCACAATGCTTTATTTTTGCAAGTGCAGCTGTCATAATTTTAAAATGAATACAAAGGCCAAAAATGCCCAAATTTGCCAAAAATGAATACAAACCTAATTTTAGTTTGCATTTTAATGAACACTAATTTTATTTTTTAGGTTTCTAAAGCTCAGTATGTCTTTCTGGACATCTTCCCTAAAATATTTTGCCGACCCCCTAAAGAGGTACTTGAGTTGGAGATGAGGATTCAAGATGACAGGATGACAGATGTCAGTGACCCACTCATGGATGACCAAGAATTCAGAAGTGAAGCCTATCAAAGACCCTATCAATATCTGACACGGTTCCATAATAAGATGAACCTTGACAGCTTCACCTACAGGGGTGTTGAGGGAACACATGTAGAATGTCTGCAGATGTTTTTTGTCTATTGTGGCATATTGGATCCTTCATGGGCAGAGCTGAGGAATTTTGCTTGGTTTCTTAATCTTCAGCTGAAAGACAGTGAGACATCTGTGTTTTGTGATGTCAACTTCACTGGCGACACTTTGCAAGGTTTTAAGAACTTTGTGGTCGACTTCATGATTATGATGGCCAAGGATTTCGCTACCCCATCACTCAGCATCTCTGATCAGAGCCCTGGGAGGCAGCAAGTTGATCTAGCTGGGGTCAACGAGGAAGACCTAGCTCCTTTCCGCATCAGGAAGAAGTGGGAGTCGGAGCCCCACCCCTATATTTTTTTCAATGATGACCACATTTCCATGACGTTCATTGGTTTTCACCTTCGGTTAAATGATCAAAATATGGTCGATGCCATTGATCCATCAACACAGAAAATTATTAAGAAAAACATCATGACTAAGCAACTATATGATGGCCTTAGGCTTCAGAGAGTCCCTTTCAATATTGACTTTGATAAGCTCCCTCGAGGTGAAAAGATCGAACGTCTTTGCAATGTGCTTGGCATTCAGTGGCCTCTGGACCCTGATGAAACCTATGAACTCACCACCGATAACATCTTAAAAATGCTTGCAATCCACATGCGGTTCAGGTGTGGCATTCCTGTCATAATCATGGGGGAAACAGGCTGTGGAAAGACCAGGCTTATCAAATTCTTGTGTGAACTGAGGAGGAGTGGAGCTCCCTCACAAAACATGAAACTTGTCAAGGTTCATGGTGGGACAAGTGCAGAGATGATTTACACCAAAGTTAGAGAAGCAATGTCCTTGGCTTTAATCAATAAGGAAGAATTCCTTTTTGATTCAGTCCTCTTCTTTGATGAAGCCAACACAACAGAAGCTGTGAGTAGTATCAAAGAGATCCTTTGTGACAATACAGTTGAAGGAGAACCGCTCTGTCAAAACACAGGCCTTCAGATTATTGCGGCATGCAATCCTTACAGGAAACATACAGATTTGATGATTCAGCGCTTAGAGTCGGCTGGTCTGGGATACAGAGTGAGAGCTGAGGAGACTGAGGATAAATTGGGTTCCATCCCACTTCGACAGCTTGTGTACAGAGTGCAGGCACTACCTCCAAGCATGATCCCTTTGGTGTGGGACTTTGGGCAGTTAAATGACCAAACTGAAAGAATGTACATTCAGCAAATTGTTCAGAGAGTCATTCAGACCATTTCAGTTCATGCTAATTACATCAAAATGATTACAGAGGTGTTGTCTTGCTCACAGATTTACATGAGGCAGATGAAGGATGAATGCAGCTTTGTTAGCTTGAGGGATGTGGAACGCTGCATGCAAGTCTTTGTGTGGTTTTACAGAAACCATACAATGTTGCTGGAAGAGCTGCATGCATTTGAAACCAAAGATCACAATCAGCACAATGATCACAATACAAGAGATCCAGTTGTCTGGTCCCTGATTATGGCAGTGGGAGTATGCTATCATGCGTGCTTGGAAAAGAAGGAGAAATACAGGAAAAAAATCTGCAAGCACCTTCCTGAAACAAACACCCATGTAAAAGTAATGCAAGAAATCTCTCTCATGCAGGACCTGCTGTTGAGTGGTGTACCTTTGGGTAAAACAATAGCAAAAAACAATGCTTTAAAGGAAAATGTCTTCATGATGGTAATCTGCATTGAACTACGGATCCCCCTATTCTTGGTTGGGAAACCAGGAAGCTCCAAGTCATTGGCAAAGACCTTAGTTGCAGATGCAATGCAGGGCCATGCAGCACACTCAGAGCTGTACAAAAAGCTGAAGCAAATTCACTTAGTTTCCTTCCAGTGCAGCCCTCACTCAACCCCAGAAGGCATCATTAATACATTCAAGCAGTGCGCACGCTTCCAAGAGGGGAAGAACCTAACAGAGTATATATCAGTGGTAGTTCTGGATGAGATCGGCTTGGCAGAAGATTCACCAAAAATGCCCCTGAAAACCCTTCATCCTCTCCTGGAAGAAGGGTGCATAGATGATGAGCCTCTGCCACACAAAAAGGTTGGCTTCATTGGCATCTCCAACTGGGCCTTGGACCCTGCCAAGATGAACCGAGGTATTTTTGTGTCCCGTGGAGATCCAGATGAAAAAGAGTTGATTGAAAGTGCAAAGGGTATCTGTTCTTCGGAGCCGATGATTCTGAAGAAGGTTCAGGGCTTCTTTCAAGTTTTTGCCAGGGCTTATCTGAACATTTGCAAAGAACAGGGCAAAGAGTTCTTTGGCCTGCGGGATTATTACAGTTTAATAAAGATGGTGTTTGCGATGACCAAGGCCTCTGATCAAGAACCCAGTGCCAAGCAGATTGTGGAGGCGGTGCTGAGAAACTTCAGTGGCAGAGATGATGTGGACACTGTGGCTGCTTTCACTTCTAAGCTGAAGGAGAATCCAGAGATCAGTACCATGGAGCTGGTGAGGCAGAACATTGAGGCCGTTGGTCAGGATGACGAGTGCCGATACCTGCTTGTCCTCACAAAAAACTATGCTGCTCTTCAGATACTTCAGCAAACATTTTTCTCAGACCAGCACCAACCAGAAATAATCTTTGGTTCCAGCTTCCCAAAAGATCAGGAATATACCCAGATTTGTCGCAATATCAACCGTGTCAAGATCTGCATGGAAACTGGTCGGACAATTGTCCTTCTAAACTTGCAAAACCTCTACGAGAGCCTGTATGATGCACTAAACCAATACTATGTCTGTCTTGGTGGGCAGAAGTATGTGGATTTGGGGCTGGGGACTCATCGTGTGAAGTGCAGGGTGCACAGAGATTTCAGGCTCATAGTCATTGAGGAGAAGGAAGTGGTCTACAAGCAGTTCCCTATCCCCCTCATTAACAGGCTGGAAAAACATTACCTTGACATCAACACTGTCCTCAAAAGTGACCAGAAGCAAATTGTGAAAGAGCTGGAGAAATGGGTTAAAGATTTTACTGCACTGAATTTGCAGCACTCACTCAATCCCCAGGCACATAATTACGTTCCATCTGATGTCTTTATTGGCTACCATTCTGACACCTGCGCTTCTGTGGTCCTGCAAGTGACAGAAAAACTAAAGGGGAACTTGGGAGCCTCGGAAGAACAAAGAAAAGTCCTACAGGAAACCAAACTCGTCCTCCTGAACTGTGCCACTCCAGACTCTGTGGTTCGGCTAAGTAGCACCTGCTTGTCCAACGTGGAGACTGAAGAACTGGCAAATGCATACTTCGAGACCCAGAAGCACGATTCGCTTGCTAGCTTTATTCTTTCACATGTGCTGCAGGAGGAAAGGAGTCAGACATCTTTCACGGAGGTAACCCTCATTTATCACCTGCTTTTAAAGTAAAAGTAAAAAACTCTTGACCCTTTTCGTATGAGAATTCCACTTCAGTCTGTAGGATTATAGTCGTTGTAAACATACTTATCTGCAGCGTTTTCTGCCCCACACATTTAGTTTGTAAATTGTTTCCTTTTTTAAAATGGAAAATGTCTGACAAGATGTCAAGATGAAACGATTGATTTAGTTTTTCTAACGTATTTTTGTGAAGGTTACAACTTTCTCCAGACTCCTCACCGCATCTGATGTTGACAGACTCCTCCAGGATGTCATATCTTTTCAGAATGTTGAACTCCTTTCCCTGCAGCAGTTTGACACTGAGCACTCCTTCCTCAAAAAGATCAGGTGTGTTCCTCATTTCCTGTCTTCCAGGAATACCTTATTATAGTTGCCGAGAAAGAAAAACAAACGTGTACTTCTCTTCAAAATCTTTGTAAAACAGGCATTGCCATAATAGTGTCACTTTGATATTTTCAGGAGTTTTCTGGATACAAGATTTGGAAACAAAATCCTTATTATTCAGACGGACTTTGTTGAAGATTCGCAAAGTAGTAACCTGATTGCGTCTGCAAAGTAAGCAGAGTTTTGAAATGAATTGTACATTCCTCATTACCGAAATGACTACAGACCTGGCAGTGGACATCATTCGTTTACATTTCAATTTCTCTTTTAGGTATTCTGCAATAAATGAGATCAATAAATCTAGAGATGAAATGACAGAGATTTTAGTGTACTTCATTACTAAACTGCCACGAATGGAAGGTGGAACATCTTATGTTGGATTCCATGGAGGTAAAATTGTAAATTTACTCTACTAGATGAAGTCAAAACCAATGTAATGAAAAGACTTAATTTATCATAAAAATATTATTTGTGTCCATTTGAGATCATTTATAATAAACCAATATACATTCATAATACAGTACATACTGTATGAATACTCTGCATATTCTTTATAATGATGGACTTGGAAAGTGTGCATTTAACATTTTTTTTCTTTTGTCCTTGCGAGAATAGGACCCTGGAGGTCAGTCCACATTGACGATCTCAGGAAGTCAAAGGACATTGTCTCTGACATTACTACCTTGAAGAGTCTCACTATCAGTCAGCTCTTTGAAGAACGTGAAAAACCCAACAAACCAGAAGGTCTTAAAATATTTTTATGTCGATTTCTTGATGAATATGGTGAAATCTTAATGGTCACTGAGTTTCCATTCACTATGTGAAGTATTGAAATAGGAATTAGGATGAGACTGTCTAAAACTGGAATTTAGAAAATTGTCAACATTTAGGGTGACTAATGGTGTTGAGCCAATGTGAGGTTTTAGAAGAAGAAAGAGAGATTACAAGATCTGTGTATATAGGCCCATGTATTGCTGTATGGAGTTCATGGACGGATGATGAGAGACAGCTATACAGTACTATATGTTTAAGAAAGTATTAGTATTACTTGTGATGGGCATTGCCTACTTAGCAGAGTCGGTATCTTTCTTTATCTCTATGTTATTAACAACTTTGCTGGTAGTGTATCTTAATTGGAATTTTATTAACACTTTTCTAGCAATGGAAACAGATGACACTAAGATGGAAAGCCCTACGCTGGAAGAGAATGCCGTAAGTATCTTGCACTCTGAAGGCGGTGATTACTATGTATCCAATATTATGTACCATGCAGTGAGTACAATATTGTCAAATTTCTTTGTTTCTTCAGTGTTAACAAGCACGTTTACTTCTGTATTTAGTATGACACTAGTGGTTACATGTCATATATTCCTTTATATAACTTTAAGACTATTTTTATTTGCATTTTAAATATTTTACATCAGGGGTGGACAACCCTTGTCCTGGTGGGCCAGTGTGTCTGCGTGTTTTCCTTCCAACCCAGCTGTTGACAAGCTCATTTAGCTCATTATTGCCTAAATGGAACTTATAGTTTTCCAAGTGCAGGTACTTTGAAGGGAGCTAGAAAACCTGCAAACACACCAGCCTTCCAGGACCAGGACTGGACACCCATGCTCTACCGCTGCCAGCCCGTGCTCAAGAGGAGGCCAAGAGATGGTGTCACTGTGTTCCTCTGCTGGCTTGTTTCAGGACTTGGAGGACATCCTGGACACCACGGCGCTGGTGCGGAGCTGTGTGCAGAGTGCGGTGGGCATGCTGCGCGACCAGCTCGAGGGGGGCAGTCGCAGCACCAGGAGACTGGAGATACTGCTGACGCTTCTCGCAGAAAATGAGGAAACGAAAGGTGCCAAACGACGGGAGATTTAAGTTTGTCATAGCTTTCCTGACTGCAGACCGGACATCTGGGAATTTTAGTGAATGATTACTACCTCTGCATTTGTTTGGTATTGGATATAGACCAACTCAACCATGATTCTTAGCTAGAAAAAAAACACACTTGGTTGAAACGAGGAGCATAAACTATTTCCTTGTTGTATAAGTGACGGTGATGGATTTTAAACCTTACTTGGTTTCTGTCCTTCTAGCCTCCTTTTTGAAAACCATGAAGAGACGGCTTCACGCTCTGCTGGTGACGCATGATGAAAACACTCCATCGCCCAAGAACTGGGTGTTCAAGGAGGCGTCGAACATCGACGCCCTGCAGGAAGGTGGAACCTTCAGGTGAGTCAGAAGGATCACTGGTTCTTTTAGTGCAGAAAGGATTAAGATATTGCCACAGTCCACTAATTACATCTGACCCAGGTTCAGGCTTTTCTAGCATGATTCATATGTTTTCAGTTCAACAAAATGTACAAAATTGCTGTACTGCCATATATCTGAAAACTGTTTAATTTTCAGACAGAGTACTGTGGGCTTATGGTGACAGATTGAACTGATTTTATTAAGGCAGTTTTTATATGCAGCTTTACACTCAAAAGTATGGAAATATATACACTGTATATTCACTTATGTTTAATAAGGGTATGCAAGTGAATGTACAGTAAAAACACTTTGACTGCATCTAACTTCTAATGTTGTAAAAAATCAAACCTTAGAAAAGCAGACCTATAAAAACTATATAGAAGACTTTTCAACAGTAATGTAGGCTTATAGTAAAAAGTACTCCTGAACAGGAACAGGTATTAAAATGTACAAATAGGATCTTCAACATTACTGACACACTAAATTAAAGGAAGGGTGAATCGTTTTTTCTACTTCAAATAAGTAAAAACTGAACATGTAACTTGGTGTTTGTTTATGAATAGTATATTTATCTGTAGGCTGAGCAAATACTGAAGACTAGTATTGACGACTGTCAGTTGTTAGAGACTTGTTGTTCAATGGGTCAATCCACAGACACAATTAGAAATGGAGGTTTTTCAGCTTTCTGGAGTCTGTATGTGTATTGAGAAATTTTTAATTGATGATCGGGTTTCTGTCTTTACAGACACACTCTGTGGAAGCGAGTCCAGGCTGTGGTCATTCCATTCCTGGCCCAAGTCATCTCCATGATTGACCGCGATTGTAACCTTGACCTCCTGGTTGATAGCAACTCTGTGGAGTCTGTGAAGAAGCTTTGGTTGGAAATTTTTGGGAATTTGAAGTTGCTGTACATACCTTACACAAAAGTGGACCGCAAGTATGTATTCTGTGTTTCAAATGTGATTTGTCATCAAACTTGTGTTCTTTGTATTAGATAAAATGTTTTAGTTTGATAAGTAAGCTAGTAGTAGATCAATTTAGTACTGGGTAGTCTAGACTAGACGACATCTGCCAATAAGAAACTGAACAGAATGCAAGTATCTCTCTACTCAATTTTAATATTAAAAATGACATTTCAGCCATTTGATAGGAAGCTAATTAAGGTGACTTAAATGATCAATGATACATGGTGAAAGAATGTTCTTTCAGATTGTTAGTAATATTCATATATTTGGGGGAACATTATAATATACTGTACTGTAGCTGGCTTTAAGTATTTTCTGGAATATATCTTTATTATGCAGTGTGGTAATGAGTCAGGATTTCTACAGGATTTAGATCTAAATCCATTGTGTCCTGTGATTTTTAGTTCCGAGTCCAAGACGATCCTTGTCCAGAACTACATGAAGCTGGATCACAACCTTTGCAGCACAATGCCTTTCAGCTGGAGGATCAAGGATCATCTCGATGAGCTCTGGGTTCACGTTCTGCAACGGGAAGGTAGAGATGAAGTGCATAAGGAGATTTAAAGATATTTCATTTTTCTTTTAGTGATTTACACTCAAGTATGTTTTAAAAATAAGTCCCATATTTAGATTCTAAGGAATTCGTATGCAGGTGAAATCAAGATCAGGACAACATGATGGGCAGTATGATGTATGACCTTATTTATAACATATATGCTATAATCAACTTGCTTTATAAAATAAGTTGATGCTGCTTTGTTGTACCTGTTCATGTTGTTTAATTTTAATTACAGCTGCAGCAATATTAAAACATTTTTGTCAAACATTTTAACATTATGTTAAGGTGTGAAGAAGTGAAGCAAATGACACACGTTCTTTTTTGTTGTTTCTCAAGGGCACACACACAATCAGCTTGAGGAGTTCTTCAAGAAAACACCTCTGGGAAGGTACATTGCAGATGCTGATGAGGAAATGCAGAAAGAGTTTTTCCACAGGTATCTTCAGGATTTCATCTCCATGACAATGAAAGTTACTTCTCCAGATGAACTAATGGTGAGTTTTCATTGTGGCATTCATTCAGGGATCAGTGAGAGAACTTGCTTTGTGAATATAGAAATGGACACATTAGGAGAGGTGGGGAAGTACACTCACCTATTTCATTTACTATGTTCACGGTACAATATGAGGACCATAGTCTCATTATGTATTGTCAGAGGTGTCTATTTGAATTCAAACTTTGCGATGTACAATAATTCATCCTGGCAGCGAAAAGGTAAATCCACTCTTAAGGAGTCTTCAGGTGACATGTATCATACTATCATAGAGGTGTCTTCTTCTTCTACCTCTTTAAACAGTACTGGCTTCTGTTTTGAGTTGATGCATGTAAGCCGACAGATCACAGGCTTGGAGCACAGGGACGTTCTCTGTAAGACCGTTTCTCAATAAGCCTTTGGTCCTTGTCTTCTAGCTTCTCCGCAGTGCTCTGCTATCCTGCGTCAACGAGCTTAAGATTCGCAGCAATGCCAACAAGGAAAAAGTAACGTCACTACCCTGGGTTCATACTGCTTATCATGAATTCAAAACCCGTCTGCAGAACCTCTCAAGAATGATCACCATTGAGCCTCAGGTGGCCCAATTTCTGCAAAGGAAAATGCAGTCTAGGGAAGGTGCAGAAATGGTAAGCCTAATCTTATCCTCAAACTGTTGTTTTAGTGGTTTGAGCTCCTTTTTCAGGTGTAAAAGATTACAGATCCCTGGAATTCCATAGTGCACTGTGCATGTATACAGTATTTTCAGTAGGACTTATGAATTGCTCTTCTATGTGGTACATGGCTCACAAGTAATTTTCAGTATTCCAATTTTTAAAAGAAAAACATTAAGAAGTAAAACAACATTAATACAGTATATAATACATAAGAATTTGAAATTTGAACATCTTCTGATATAGATTTTTTGCTACTTTCTTACCAATTTGAATCTGTCATTATTGAGTGGCTGTTTTAAAAGCACCCTTAAATGTATTCTGCACTGTACTATTCCAAGGCAAACCCTCTGTACCACTGCTGTAAATGAAGATAAACCATTCTCAGCAGAGTCCATGAATGCCCAATTCATTGCCAGTTGCAACCTTCTGACACTGCTGTCCAGGTTCTTGATGTGTACGCGGCTGTGGCCTGTGTTGAGCTCTTGGAGCCACACAACCTGGACACGGATGGGCTGTGCCTGGAGTGGCTGAGGAGAGTGAAGAGACTGCAGGTGCCCATCGAGCTCGTCTGTGCTGAGGAGTGCGTGCAGAACTACGGCTCGAGAAGCCAGGAGCTGGTCAAGTTTGTCCGGTGAGTTTATCTCCGCAGCTCAACAGAATATTCACGCTGTATATTATATGTATTCAGAATTTTGTATTCTATTGTATAAATTCGGAATATACTTTCTGAATGTTAATAATTCCATTTTAATTTAAAAAAGACTCATTTCTTTTTAAATTCTCTCCGTTCATTTATAGCTTTTTCACACCCATCCCCCATATCTCTCTTCCTGCGTGTGCTCTTTCTCACATGCTCTGATCCCCTGGGCTTTTTATTCTCAGCTCTCCTCTCTCTCATGCGCCTAAAGAAGGCTCAACAGCCCAAACATTGCATTTCTGCTTCCTATTTTTTCAGTGTGGAATTAAACTTTACAGAATATGAATGTCTCTTGTGAGGGATTCTGTTCTTTCTGCTTAAATACCTGTTCCAGAATGAAATAATTTTACTGTAGTCATAGTTTCAGAAGCAACTGGGGAAAGAAAGCAATACTGCACACTTCACTTTACATAATAGATTTTGAAACTTCTCTTCTGTATTATTTTCTTAAAGGAGTGGCTGGAATCGCATCTTTTCATCATCTCTGTTTGTGGAACATGTACTGCTGGGAATTGAATCCGTACAAAAAGATCTAAAGGTCCTGGTTGTGACACATGCTCGCAAGTTGTGGAAAGTGAGTAATTGAGGTGGAAGTTATCATTGATTGTAGAGTGCTTGTTCTTCATATTATTAGAAATGACACGGACCTTTGGCACGAGGGTGGTATTACAAAAATATAACATTATATAAGTGATCATAAGTGACAATATAAGTGATCTGAATTATTCAGTTGATACCAAGAAATAAAAATGCAGTTTAATAAGCTTTTGAATGGTTAAAACTGATAAAATGATGGTTATAATTTCTTCCATTGTCATTTGCTAATCTTTAAGTGACAAAAACTAGTATCCTGTACATACTGTACAGCAGCTACTGTAAGTCCCTTTCAACCTTAAGAGTTTGTTGCTAATTCTATGGCATTTATTTATTTATTTATTTATTTATTTATTTATTTATTTTTTTCTTCAGTCTCTGGAGCAAAACTCTGACTTCAAAATGGAGCAGCCCTTCTTAGCTGTGATTGAAGTTCTGAAGTCCTGCAAAGATGAAGCCAGTGAACGTCTTTTCAGGTAATGGGTTTGATCTCAGCATGACTGGTATTTTTACTAAAGTATCTGCCCTTGGACATGTTTCCACAGCTGTTTGTTTGTAATGTGTCCTAGGTTTGGAAGACAGCTGTGTGCTGTGTGTCTGGGGGAGCCCACGGACCCTCTGTGCCTACCATGTGAACATATTTACTGCCTGGTTTGTATAAAACAGTGGCTCCTACCTGGGCAGATGTACTGTCCTTTGTGCATGGTAGAAGTGCCACAGAACTTTGAACTGAAGGTGTCCGAAGATATAAGGTAAGTTTAGATTAAACCATAAAACGCATTAGAAGGTAAAAACATAGGAAATAATGCAAATGAGAAGAAGCCATTCAATCTTGCATGTTTGAACACTGCTAGCACCCAGCGCTTTCTTGAAAAATCTGATTTAATAAGCTTTGACTACATGTCTATGCAGCTTGAAGTGACTAACCACAATTGATGTAAAAACAGGCTTTATATTCTCGGTCCAAAATGCACCACCTATTCATTTCTCATTGTGTTCTACCTCCATGTTTCATTCTTTATCTTGACATAGTCCTTGCTTTAACTCCTTTTCTTAAATCTTCTCTGAAGCTCCCTTTCAATTTCATCTGTTTCGCACTGAATAGATTTCAATTCTTCTATCCTTTCTTAACAGAATGTTAAAAATTATTCAGTCTGCATCTGTAAAAAATTGAAGATGTGACTGAGACAAATCATGTGTATTGTATTTTGTCTTGTTTGCAGACATCTTGTCCAGTTGTATGCCCAGTTCAGGAAAAGATGCAATGCTTTTTTCATCGACATGGTGTCCACTTTATGTTTCAAAGACAACTCTCCTCCTTCAGACAGTATTATTTTGCATCTTTTGTCTTTCTTGATGGTCGATACTAATGCAGTTCCAAACATTAAGAAAGGTAAGCTGCTTTTCTACACACTTTGCTTTTCTGGAAGTCACAAAATATATTTTGAATATACTTTACAAACATATTGTGAAAGGATTTTACACCAAATGCTTCTGATTACAGTTATTTTTCTCTACCTTTTAAATAGGCCGCAGGGTGTATACCAAAGCTCTCTCACCTTTCAATGACTCTGTGGACAAAAATCCTGTAGTCCGATCAGTGGTGCTCAAATTTCTGCTGAAGTACAGGTGAGAGGATGATATGCATTTTTAAGTATTTCTTACACCATTACTCGCAAGTCCAGTTTTACTCATTAAAAAAACATTTCATTCGAGAAATTCAGCACCTTTTTAAAAATATTGAGCCCTTAATTCTGTCTTTTAGAGACATAGCCAGTCTAAAAGAAAAGATCGGTCTTTGTTGTTGTAACCTTTTAGCATATGGTTTTGTTCTGCTCACTTCTGATGTTATAGTTTATGAACCCGTTATGGCTGTGGGTACTGTAATTTTTTGTTTCTTTAAAAATTGACTTTTAAATGTTTTTTATTTCACTTCTTTCAGCTTTGATGATGTTAAACGTTATCTGCAAGAACACTTGTCATCGGTTGAACAAAGCAATATTCTGGAGAAAACGGATAAAACAAAGCTCTGTGCTTTGTACATAAACTGTCTTGAGGTAGGATAGGATACTTTAGATTCATGTACACATCAGTTATTATTAAGATGACATTTTACCGAGCCTTCTCTAAAGTGTTAACTTGTATACTCTTTACTAATGAAAATACCGGAACAAATCGAGCATGTGTACTATTCTTTTCTGAAAGTAGTTTGCTCTTGAGGTTGTGAATAATATCTGCATATAAACAGTAAATCAGCATTTATAATTGCCACTATTATTGCTGCTTATAATAAAAGTGTTACCCTCTTATATTCCAAAGTGAAAATGCATACTTTTCTTGTACACAGGACTCCATGTATGAGAAGACACAGAGTCAAACAGAATTAGAAACGGTGGCATCTCTGGAGCAAGAGACTCGGTTCCTGCAATGCTGTGTTCAAAATACTGAGGCTGGTCCCGAGAAGATTTCAATAGAATACCTGCAGAGTATTGCCAGAATCCGCCTCTGTCTGGACACTGCTGCATGCTTGCTGGTTAAAGACCTGTCTGGTTTAGGTAGCTCAACTTACCTTTAACTAGACAATACCTAATATTGATCTGTGCCAATCAGCCTTGAACACCTTAAACTTAATGATGCACACACATATCAGATGTCTCATGTTTCGCAATGTAGACTAGGGCCGATCTTATCTGAATGTGATCACCTTCACTCCCATTAAGCTTACTGTAGAGCATGTGCACACACAGTCTGACCTATTGTTCTACACACACTTCAGATTTGGATGCTGTGCAGGGAGGTTATGCTTTTTTTAGCCATGCTTACTGTACCTGGGAATATTTTTCACTCCACCTTACTTGGAACACATGTAATTCTGCTGTGTAAACTCAAAGTATTACTGGATTCAGTGGATGCTCTTTGTAGAATGAAGGCATTAGCACACAACCATATGTAGAGAACAGGAATCTGTTGATCCAGTAAACAAGTATAAACTACTGTAGTATTTTGCTGGTGATTGTTAAATAAGCATGACTTATTATTGTCTTCATTGATCTAAATACACTGACCATAGTGCAGACTGGAGGCATGCTCATTTAGTGAAAGGTTGTCACCTAGATGTTATCTATAGTATATGTATTTGTAGTGAACAGATTCAAATTGAAAACAATTTGATTACACAATACAGATTGAAAATGTATCAATTTGGTCATCTCTGACTTCTCAGACTCTTGCTGTTTTCAGTTAAGGAAACTAAAGTTTTATTTATCAGAGATATTTATGCACTGTTTGTCATTTTCTGTTGGTGAAGCCACAGGAACACAACAAGACCCTGAGGTGTACAGGAGGATTTCAGCATTCCTGAATCATGTGATGGAGTTCTGCAGAAGGAGCAAGAATGACTGGTATCGCATTTACATGATACGGAAAATCTGCAATCAAAAAGGCATGGAGTTTGTGCAGACACTCCTAACGAAACCAGAGTTTCACTGGTTGTTCCCTGAGGAAATTGTTCAACAGGTAGCATGATTTTCTTCCAATACCAAAAATATATATGAAATACTAAGTCTTTTAAAGCTGAGAACAGGCTCAGTTTTTTTAAATGTACAGTAGTCATAATTCATGTTTTGCAACAAATACAAATTCTACATTTTTGGTTGCCTCTTCATTCTGACCTCTATTCTTTATATTTTTCATTAAGTCAAGGATATAAATTAAATAAGATGGGTAGAATCTGCTAATGAATTGGAATATAATAGATTAGATGAATATGGATGGTCTTTTTACTTCACACTTACAGTATTTTTGGGTGAGAAAATAAGAGTAGTCAAACCTGGTGTAATGGAGTAGTCAAGAAGATGTGGTGTAATGGATGTGGCATTATCAATTTCATCATCTGTGATTTCATCTCTCAAAAGTACAAAAATCTTGCAGTTGAAGAAGAGTCAATGAGTTGATGAACAAGTAACAAAGCAGAATTTATATATGTATTTCCAAGTTATTAAATACTTTAACCAATCTACTGTACATTTTTTCTGGTTTTTAGAATGAACATACTGGCCAGATTGACCAGTATCTTGTCTGCGGAATCAATTACCAGGCTTTCCGAGATGCAGTTGGTAGGGCAATGATCGAGTGCAAAACTGAGGGAATAGAGGAGGCAAACAAGGTATACAAGTTTTTATTTTTTATACTATCTTTCAGAGCCTTCATTCAGAAATAATACTGTAGAATTCATGATGCCAGACTTATGTCACGGCTTTATGATGGTCACAAATTGCATAAGTGAAGAGGTGCATTCTCCTGGCTTGTGAGATTGGGATCTTCTGGTAGTTAGGCCTGTACATACTCCTGACAATAGTGTTTATAGTGGTATCAGTGTTCTTAGCTGTGCTTCTGCTGTTAACCTAGAATTGCAGAAGTCCCTTGCAGAAGAAAACAGCACGTCTGCTCCTGGCCATCTTCAGAGAAGTTACCACACTGTACAGAGCCGCAAACCAAAACGTCCATCCCAAACCTGAAGTAAGTGTGATTTAGAATGGTGAAAATATTGCAGGAACAGCCTGATCAATTGCAAATGGACCTTTGTATGAAAAGGCAATGTGAAATAATTCATTGTATAAGGATATGTTTTTTATAGATGCCTGGGTTGTTCATTCTTCTTTTTTTTTAGATTGTAGCTGCCTCATAATGAGTGATGAGTATCATTGTCGGCTTGTTGAGTAGTAGTTATAGTTACTGGTATCCTATAGTAAACGCTTAACCACTTTTATCATCCTATTCAGCAATGTCAAGCAATTGAGGACTTCATCAAGGGGTCACAGATCTTTGGTAGCCCTGAACTGAAGAACCTTGCCACATCCTTGGTATATAACAGGCTTGGAGACCTATCTGTACGTCCTGATTGTACCAGTTCAGAGCACGCCATCACTGAACTCGCCATTCACTTGACGACAGTTCTGTTATGTGGACAAGATGGAATCCTGACACCCTTGAAACAGCTAGCTTTGGCACCTGTGAACATGCAGGTAGAAGCTCTAGGTTTTTGTTATATATAATTTAATTATGTATAAAGCTTTTCACTTGGTAAGCTGAGAGAATCTGTGTTTGTCTGCAGAATGCCTTCTTACCAACAATGCCTGAGGACATGTTGGTAGTAGCTGTTCAAGTCTTAGGGAACTTGCAGTGGTATTGTAAGTACAAATTTATTTACCTATCCTCTTATTTACATAACTGACTCCAAGCTCTTTCAAATATCAGAATTGCTTGGTTAATTAGGCTTCTGCAACTGATATAATAAATATAAGCCATGTCTGGATAAGGTCAAACATGCAAGTTATGTGATGAAATAACTTAATATATTCCTCTGCATTCCTCCCTTTATAAATGCATGTAATCATAAATAAAATTAAGAAGATTCCAAGTCATATATTTCGTTAGAGGGAAGAGCAGCCTGAGATAGTGCAATGATTTCACACAATTGCTTTCTTCTTCACAGCTTGTCCAAATGGCCACCCATGCACTATTGGGGAGGTATGTACAAATGCATTTGTGTTTTTACGTACCATAGTGTGTATTTACTTTATTTACAAATGCTTTATTTAACAATCATTCGGCTCTTACGGTTTGGTTTTTAGTGTGGACAGCCAATGGAGAGAAGCCATTGTGTGGACTGTGGTGCTGTTATTGGAGGGGACAACCACAGAGCTGTTCAAGGATTTCAACAAACTAACTTCACGTAAGTCTGTGGGATGATAATTCAGCATTTTGTGCTTATACAGTAGTTTATTGATACAAGCATCTCATCCAACTGTTTCCTGAAGCATCATAGGAAATCAACTTCAATTACATACTGAGCTTTTTGCAGACCTCCATAACCTTTTGTGTTAAGCAACGTTTTTTAATTTTACTCATAATCCAGGATGCTTTAAGAGTATATAGTCTCAAAATGCTTTTTTTTATTATGCAACAAAAAAGCAATAGCAGTAACAATCAAATGCAAATATGAAAGATATGTTATTCAGCTATTCCTGAACTGCAGCTTGTCCTGCAGTTGGCATGAATAAGAACTATTGAAGTGGTATGTTCAAACAGTGGGGATCGCACCCAGACTGGCCATGTCCTGGGAGACGCAAGGAGGAGAGACAATCCTGACATGCTGGACACTAAGAGCATGTCCCCTGCCCCTTTCATACTGATCCGACTCCTCACCCACTTGGCGATGCTGCTGGGAGCTTCACGTGACCCTCGGGTAACTACTTTATCACAGCTCTGTCCCAGGGGCCTAAGTAACTGATGTCACTTAGGTAAGCAAAAGCAAAAATATTTAGGGTCATGTGTAGAAAAAGTAAAAATGATTAAGACAAATAACCAGCAGTTAATCATTACACGGATCAGTCACGGAGTCTGCTCAGATAAATTTATTTACACTTGTGTGTTTCCTTCATTGTTTTTTTTCCTTTCATTTTTTGTAGTCCATATCACAAATGATTAAACCTGCTGTGCAAAACCCACATGTCTTTCTGGTGAACCACCTTGTCAAAGACATGGAGCAGCTGTCCAGGACTCTGGGGAAGGGCACTGACGACTCAGTGAACATCGTCCACCTGCTGCTCAGCCGTCTTCTGGAGCCACACCAGGCCCAGCAGTGTAAGTAGCACCTGACGTAGTGCGCTATGTGTTTTTAACCTCCCCTACACTCCCTGAATCCACAATTCTGTCTTAGTTAGGAACAGAACTGTACTTTTTAGAACAGTAAAAATTACAGTCATACTTTGCAAGTTATAGTTCTTGGTGGGGCGACAGAGTGCTACAGTGGTTAGCATTGTGCTCCACAGAGCTGGGTTCAGTTCCTGGGGTTCTTGTATGATCTCCTTGTGCTCAAACGGGTTTCCCCCCGCAGTCCTACAGTCCATAGACATGTTGGTAGGTTAATTAGCTTCTAGGAAGATTAGCACTGGTGTGAGTGTGCCCTGCAATGGACTGGTGTCCCATCCAGGGTGAATCCTTCCTTGTGCCTGTTGCTTTTCGGAAGAGACTCTGGCTCTGCCGGACTCTGAATTGGATAAACAGTAAGAAGACGGCTGGATAGTGAACAGCACTTTCTTTTTAATTGTGCTTCTTTTGATTTTATAACACTTGATGTTTCAGGGCCTGTTCCTTATGATAATATACTTTCAACAAAAGAAGCACGTAATGGTTGGGAAACCGTCATTGCTACAGAAATCATCACACCTCAACTCAAGGTAACTTTCTAAACTTTCAAACTTCTCCAACTATCAATTTAAGAAAAGTTGTTTTAAAAATTTATCAAAACGAGTACCTAACTGAGTTTTTTTTTCCAATTTAAATAGAAGTACACGTTTTTTTGATTAGTTTTGCCTTGCATTGAGCATTCGTAATTTCCCATGTTCTGCAGGTTTGTCGGTGTTAAATCTTCCCATCTTTTTTTAACATTTTTAAACAGTCTTTGGAACGCAGGCTGAAAGAAGTCAACGACCTGATCCGGAAAGACTCTCGTGTCTCCTCAAGCCCGATCATGAAGGTTATTTATGGAGACCCCCACATATTTCTGAAGGCTCTGCCTCTGGATAAGATTTTCCACTGTTCAGCCATTTGGAGCTGCAGGGAGAGAGTATCTGTGCAGAACCTGGCTCACATTGTCGAGCAGCACGATGGCAAAGACACCTTGCCAGTGCTGTGGAAGTTCCTGCAGAAGGTAGGTACAGGGCTCATAAGCTGTTGTTTCAATGCCAAGGAAAAATCTTGAAGCACTACAACTCAAGCCTGGTTTAATGCTTCAGAGATATAATACAATTGTAAGTACCAGGTTAAAGTGGAGGAATAGTTATGTGGAGCTTGGAATAAGAGAGGTTACCTTTCCCTGATAGGAACACCACCTGTAATAATTTGTTTTTCCAAAAATTGAGAATGTACCATAGTCTCCACACCTCAAAAATATATTACATATTTGAGTTTTCTAGGTCTCTGATGTTATTTGATTTTTACTCTGCCTTTTCCTAAAAGTGTTTTCCTTCAGTCCTGGCTGGACTAGCCAAGAGTGGACCTGGACAAGCTCTGGACTTTGAAGACTTTGTCTTTTTTAATGACATGAGCTGTTATTTTAATTTGGTTATTAAGGAGGCTGAACTGAAACTGGTGAAGTTCCTACCCGATATTCTAGCCCTGCAGAGAAATCTGGTGAGGAAGTTCCAGAATGTGACCGAACACATGCACAAAACAATTGGCGACTTTATTCAAAGTCAGAAAGCAGGTACGTGTGGTGACAGGATTGTGACTTCCTGTTCATAAAATCATGTTACAAAAAATATAAATGAATTCTTTATCACCGGTCTTTTCCCTGCTTTTATTCAACAGAATCACTAAAAGCCTGGTATGAGACACGAATCTGCACCTTTTTGACTGTATGGAACCAACTCAGAGCGTCACTGGTCACTAATGGTAACTAGAGATGTATCCTATAGAGTTGCAAAATGTGCAGCATCTTCCTCATGTTTATTCCCTCAGTTATGAGAACAAATACTGATTTAAAGTAGCTCTATTAAAGATAGAACACAACTTTTACTGTATCTTGTTTGTGCTAGATGCTTAAAGCATTTGTAAATTGTGGTGAAACCTTTTTTTTCCGCTGCTTCATTTATTTTTTAAAAAATAATTCCACAGGTGAAATTAAGATATCTGAAGATTACTGCAAAGAGGATCTAAACCTTGACAGTGAATTCCAAGTGCTTCTGCCTCAGCGCCATGGTCTGGGACTCTGCTCCACTGCTTTAGTTAGCTACCTGATCGCCCTCCACAATGAGCTGGTCTACACTGTGGAAAAACACACAGGCGAGGAGAACAGGTTTGTCACGTCTTTTTAAAGGCTGGCAAGAAGAGCCATTTTTCCATTAAAACTATTTAGTCTTTTGGGTTACCCATATAAAAGTTTAGAGCGGTACAGGTAGTCCCCCTTGAAGGTTACCCTACTATACAGTACATTGTTTCACACTTGCGTCATTGATGAACTTGATGTCACATTTCCTCACTCTAACATAATTTTTAAATACACCAACAGTCGGCAACATAGGTGGTTTGTGGATTATTTTGAATCTATGAACGAGAGCTTTCAAGTCGTCTTCCACCTTCCTAAGCTGATGAGCAGGAAACAAACTGGGTGAACTCACTAAAGCATTTGTTTGTATAGCTACTCGGTGAGTCCGGCAGACCTCACAGACTTGCATGTGATCAAGTATGAAGTGGAGAAGGACCTGATTCCCCTCATCCTGTCCAACTGCCAGTACAGCATGGAGCAAGGACAGGAGACTGTACTGGAGTACGACCTGCACAAAACACAGCAGCAGATCCTCAACCACTTCCTGCAGGGGAAGCCTCTCATTACTTTAACTGTGAGTCTGCTGCCCAGCCTTAGGTCCGTCCCAGAAGTGGAATCAGATACTGAAGCCAGCGCAGAAGCTTCGCAAACCCGAATTTTCTTAGAATTATCTAAAATTGTATTGTATCAAAATATCTAAATTATCTGCTTATCTAAATTTGGTGATAGATGGTAAAAGATTAGTAACAGTGTCTGTGAAACTTCTGGAATTAAGTTGGTTTTTCCTTATTCCTGCGAATGTCTGCATGCTATAAGGATTTTTGCAACAGTAAGAAAAATAGAAGAATATAAAGATTTAATATAGAATGAAATTGTTGTGTTTTAGCTTAAATAATAATGAAATCGTGAGATGTGCCTTCTTTCTGGAGACATTTGATTTTATTTGGAGATTTTATTGAAAGGATTTAACATAGTTAATAATGTAATCTTGGTTCACTGGTTTAAGTGGAAGAGTATATGCAGGCATGAATACCATTTAAAGATATTAGATGGTATAAAATATGAGCTTGTTGCTGAAAGCTGAAGAGCGGACCTGCCTCTACACCTCATCCCAAATCCATACCACATCATAAACTTCTCAGTTTAACTGACCTATTAAATTAATTTCAGGGGATCCCAACACTGGTAAACAGACAAGATCGAAATTATGAAAATATCTTCAAGGACGTGAAAGGGAAACTCATGCAGGTTGGTCTTCATCAACACTTCCTCCATTTGAGATCTGAACAGATCCATGACTACTGTTTTTTTCTCTTTTCTCACACAGAATAGTATTGATTAACTCCCTCAAGGTCACAGTTTATGACCTTTAAGATTCTTTTTTTGATGCAGTTAAGATGAATTCTGATAATTAAAAATTTGTCACATCTGGTTATTATACATTTTTAATCAAAAAGGATATAATACTTATTCAGTTGAGTATGAACCTTTTTTACTTAGGATTCCCTGCCTGCGCTGATGCTGAATGCCTTGAGTGGTGAGCTGCAGTCATATACTGATGTTTGCGAAGCTCTCTCTGTTGTGGAGGTGACGCTGGGGTTCTTAGCCATGACAGGGGGAGAAGCTGAGATGCAGCTAGTAAAATATGTCCAGGATATCCTGCAGATGGGAGACCAGACAGCCCCACACATCCTGAAGGTTAGTTCCATCTTCGTTGTTATTGTTATACAAGGTGCATGCTAAATTTAGAAACCACTTATCTAAGGTTGTATTGCGATTTCCCTGATTTTAACGGTAATAATTTCACTGCAAATAAAAAAGAACAAAATCCTGTCTTGCAACTTACAAGATAAAGAGACGTGAAAAACTGTAGGACGCCTGCTGACTGGGCCAGAGGTAGGATGCCAGACAGACCTGGGGCTGAGGAGATGGCAGCAAGAGTTGAGGAAGAGGAACCTGGTGTTGAAGGCACCAAAGAGGTTGCGACTGAGCCACATTGGATGCTGGAGATAGAGGCAGAAGAGAGAAATAGATTAAATTAATGAATGTGAGGATGAGGAAAATTGTATGGTGTATGATAGTGCGTGCTTGTTATTCACCACAATGGTGCATTCCTTTTTGAAGGCAATGCTGTGATTATATGGGGATTGCAGTAATGGGAAATGCAGAACGGGAGCAATGTGGTAGCAGAGGAGGTAGAAACAACAGGCTGATTATGAGAAGCAGAGGTTCCGAAAGTTCTTTGAGCAGATCTGTAAATTGATCACAAAGAAAAATATTTTGCAAAAAGAAACAGCTGACTTTCTTTCCTTCTGTCCTATAGATCAGGGGTGTCCAGACTTTTTTCACTGAACATACAGAATTAAAGTTTTGAAGAGGGTAAAGAGAAGGAGAGGGGGTAATCAGTTTCGAGATGTGATTTTACGTGATGGCACCTAGTGTTCAAAATAGGAACTGCATATTTTTTACTTAACATCGGGCCAAATCTAATTATAGTTCTAAATTAACTCGCGGGCCGTTTCAGTAACATTGTCTTGCCGCAGTTGGGCCGTAGTTTGGATACCTCTGATATAGATCAAAAGTCAGTAATGATTGTAATGATTAAAACAGCAGTGTGAGATTGGCTTATCTCTGTTGTTATCCCTCCCTAACTTTGGTTAGGAACTTTAATTTAACATCTTACTTTAGCGTCTCTCTTCTAGAGCTAAAGAACTAGCTAAAAGAGAGAATTTTGCTTTAAAATCTTTGTCTGAAGTTTCTCTTTGTTACATTTGCACAGGCATTAAGCAGGTGCACCCTGAAGCACTCCATAGCTCTGTGGCAGCTGTTGACCTCACTGAAGTCAGAGTGTATGTTGCGCTTAAAAAGGGTAAGAAGGTGTCTTTGAAATACTAGTCTTAAAGGACAAGGGGAGCAGTATAGGTCAACCATTATATAATGAGTATTCACCATTGTCTTGTTTGAGAACTCAGTCGGTTTCCCTATTACCTGTATGTATTTAACAGAATTATTATTAAAATAATTTATTCGACAATACATATTTTTACGATTACATATTTTTAGTATGAAACTTGTACTGTGTTTGGAGTTTAACATGTCTATACATTACATGTAATATAGTACTTTATGGTACTAGAAAAAACACTGCTTTAAAATCAGATAGCTCAGTAGCTTACTGTTAGTGTGTCTCTCTCTCTTCAGGATCCATTTTTGGAAATCTCAAAGGTTTACAAGAAACCTTTACTTGATGGTGATAAGAAGCTATTGACAGGGTTTTTAACCAAGGGATGTGTAGACACCTTTGTACTAGAGATGCATGAATTTCTCCTCCTGAACCTGAAGAAAGTCAATGCACCTGAAGAATTCAGGCCTGACTGGAGGTAATGTAATGTTTCTTTATTAGCCCTGTACAATTTCTTGCATTAGGAATTCATCTTTTCGCATACCCCAGCTTTTCTCCATCGTGACACAGACACACAGACAGGGAGAGAAGCTTGGGGTCAGAGTGCAGGGTCTGCCATTGTAAGGCGCCCCTGGAGCAGTTAGGGTTACGGAGTAGGATTCCTCTGCCGGCCGCGGGATTTGAACCGGCAACCTTCCAGTCACAGGCGCAGATCCTTAGCCACAGAGCCACCGCTCCGCCCCATATGATGTGTGACACTGTTCCCATTAATTTTATGTTTCAAAATATTACCCCTTTTCCAGTTTGTGTCCCCAGAAGCATCCAGTTCATTGCTTTTTTTCTTCCTTAGCCTGAAACACACACTGGTGTCTTATATTGAGCGCAAAGACCTGGATGTCCCTCCAGACATGGAAGAGATCCTTCCCGAGGAAACCTGTCTGTCCCAATTTGTGGAAACCTGGAAGTTTGCTGTGGCCTTCAGACAAGAACGACACCAAAGATAAACTTGTGCTGCCTATTAACTGCCATCTTAACTATTGCCAATATTTTGTACTTTTAATAGTGCCTATGAAACCCCAGCAATGCAAACTCTTCGCATGAATTCCTCTTCCACTGTATTACTACAGAAGCGCTGAGAAAATAATATGAAGTATATGAAATAATATGAAGAAAGATAAGTGTGTTATAGAATCCCCTTCGGATGTAGCCGTAGATAAAGCTTTTAGCTGAACACAATATTCATAAGATAGTTATCTAGTTAGCAGTAGTTTTCTGTAGAGGGCAGAACTCACCGTGTAGTAAAGCCAAGGTAAGTTTTTTCCCTGTTTTTGATAGTACTGTATGTTAAGGTGTATTTACAAGCATTTGCTTCAGGGTTTTGTTTACAAATTTAAACCAAAACTAGAGCTACTGCAGTTTTGAAAGTGTTATTGCTTAGCTGATAGGATATTCTCAGGGAGTCAGTAAGATTCATTTAAGAGCAGTTAGGAGGTCTACAGATTTAATAAAGCCTTTTTAGTACTTTATCCTCAAATGACCACTGTCTAAGAATTTGATTGTGATCTCCAAGTTTACAGTTTTGAAGCTTGCCTGATGATAATATGGCACCACTTGAGCATAATGTGCTTCCTCTCTTCAGCGGGTTTCAGAAATGTGTTAGAACCAAGGCAAAGCATCTTTGCCATGTAATTGAAGATAAGTTTACTGCTTCGGCTGTTTTGTCTACTTTAATGTGAAAGACACTTGGGACCATAAAGCCCACAATTGTCATTTTGTAATATTTAATTAGTTTTTTTTTATTTTGTTTACTCTTAACATTTTCCCCTTGTGCTCTGTGAGCTGAAAGTTTTGTTAATTTTGTTTGTTGCTTTGGTGTGTTTGATGCTATAATCATATGGTCCTGAATGCATAAAAAATATTGCTGCTGTTATAAAAATGAAATATTCTGTTTTTAAATGTTCAACTTTGTTTTAAGTAATCTTGACATTTCTTTTCAAGACATTAAGGATATTACATGAAGATAATCTATCATAGTAATTTCTTATTTTGTTTCAGTGAGGAATCGGTCATTGTTAGATTGTAGTGACATAATATTTGATAGTTTTGTGCGTTAAAAAATTGTTAAAATGAATGAAACCTTATTAATGGGACAATAATGACTACGCTGTCCATTCCTGCTAATTAATAACCATTTATGGACCAACTTTGTTTATTACATTAAAATCACAGACCAAGATTCTGTAAAATACAGCATAGTGGAGCAAACTGTTGCAAAGATTGAGTTCAATTAAAAAGGTGCCTTTAATCATATAAAGTCAGAAATTATACATGCGCTTTTTATAATCCATTCTGTATGCAGTACCAACAAATGCATGTTATTTCCTATGTTTAAACTTTTTTTCCCGAGTAAAATCAAAATAGAAGATTAAAAGATTTGTCATTTTCCTCTTTTACATTTTGATTCCAATCATTTCCAGGTGACATTGAGAAGTTCATGTTGTAGATCATCTGTTCGATTATATCTGTATATTATCTTGTCTGTTTTACTGATTGGTAATGAGCACATGATCCTCATGCATAAAAATAGACTTTTTTTAAATTAAGAATACTTCCATACTTAACATTGGAAAACTAACACTTGGAGTAGCTACATCCTGTACTATAATTGAATGTTGAATTTCCATAGAAATCACAAGACCAGATAACTATACACAATAATTGTAAGAGATATGCTGTTAAGTCCCTTAACTTCTTCTTGGATGAATTTCATAAATAACTTATAAGTTACAAAACCAGTCTATGTATTCAAGCAGCCATATGTTTTCACTGGCTGTTAAGGTTTTCTACATTTTTCTGTGATCAACACTAATCTTTAATGTAAAAAATGTCCTTTCTGTGTGCCATACATCTTTGTCAGAAATAATACTGAGCTTTAATTTTTTTTTCATGAAATGACAAGATTTTAGTTTTTTTAAGTCGTTTTCTTTTACTGTAACATCCCAGAACGTTTAGTAAAGGTTGAATTAGAGAACTTGGAGCTCAGACATGCACAACAATGCCATTTTTTAAATGCTTATACTGTACATGCCTTGCTCAGTAATTTGAAGTGGTCGCCATCTTTTCTGGTTTGAAGATAGGGTTAATTTGAAGACGGGCAGATGCTCAGAAAGCTCCAAACTAAACACAAAACAGCACAAGAACACAATGTATTGTAGAGCTGTGGCAGTTCAGATATTGTAAGATTTGAGTCAGTTGATATTTTTTCTTTCATGTGAAAAATGTTCCTTACACACTGATGTACTTCCTCCCTGACATCACTAGAGGGGGATAAGAACCTATAGAATGAATGCACTGCAGAACAGTAAAATGCCACAAACCACTAGGGTGCAGCAGTATAGAGAAGATGCAGAGTACCTTCCTAAGTATTTGTCTGAATTCTATAAAACTTTATGGCCCTTATTTTTAAAGTGTCTGTACCACATAACTTATTCAAAAATATCATATTGCAATATAACATTTATGACATGGCCAGAGTAATTAAAGGGCTTTTCCTTCTAAAACAATTCTATGCTTGGGTCAGAAACCTGCTAATACAGACATTACGTCTGATTAATTTTATGGTGTAAGTAATCGTTGAGAGTCAAAAAATCAAAATGTTTCTGAGTGCGGTAGTTCAGTGTTGTATAGAAAACAAAATGTTTACAGCTTTTATCAAAATGTGCCTTCTATTCCAATTCAGCGCAGTTAGCATGCTTTAAGAATTGAACTCCTGTGTTTCAAATCGGTCATCTCTAATTGAACTTCTAATGTAATATAATTCCCACACTGAAAATTTCTGCATCCTATTGGGATGCATGTCTAATACCCATTATTCACCATTGTTTCCTGGTAGTCCTAAAAGACTTCCATACTAAACATTTGTTCGCTAACCAGTAACCAGTCAGTGGAAATGCATTTTGAAAAAAGCTCACAGTATTGAAACAGAGATACCAATTATGTTACCTGCACTTTCAATGAAAGTGTTCTGTGCTGAAATATGGTTGGTACATGTCCCATTCCCACAACTCTCACACAAATCAGCACGAGAAAAATCCATTTCCGTGTGTTTGTGTGACACTGAGGGGGTGGCAAAAACAGGAAACCCCCTGTAACCTGTAACCACTCAAAATGCCCCCTTTGTGCTCGAAGTCAGATGACCCCTTGGCGTGCCCTTTGACCTCTGTGTCAACTTTTGCCTGACATCACCTGATGACACAGTGGGAAGCAGAGAAGGTGGAGGAAGCAACCTCTCTGAACAAGGGCGGTATGATGGCAGGTTTCATTTCTGGAACAACTTCAAATATACACAGCTAGCTTCTTGGGTAGATTTAACTGGGACCTTTTTTATTTAAAGACGGGGTAATGCAACCAGAGACTTTGTACTGTAATATATAGGCAACCTTGCAGTCAGGTCACTGCTTAGATTAGAGGGAAAATGCCTTGTTCATCTCCATTGTCTTTCCTGCATAGCCTATTGCTAAGGAGACAGACAGTAGAATGATTTTTAACCCTGTTTGCTTGGGGTATTTTCAGAGGTAACCTAGACCTTGTTCTCAATACCATCATTATCCGGAGCTATGCGTGGGTTGCTTTCACTGCCGAACACTATACCGCCTTTTTAAAAACTCAGAAGAGATTAAAGTGTGTCTTTAAATAGCTACTGAAAGAAACTTTAAATCCAGCGGGCCCAGTCTATCATTTATCTACTGAAGTCACCCCCCTACGCAGCCATAGAGCAGGGTCATTGCCAGTCCAGGCATTGTTTGCACCTGCCTCCACAGGAAGTAACATCACAGCCCCCCCCCCGTTCTCTCCAGAATCATTAAAAGGCTCACAATACAACCTCTCTCCCTTGTTATCACCATCCTGACCCCCGGTAGCAACTCCGTTATTTTACTTCTGTTAATTGCTTATTTTGAGATGTACCACACAGCAGCTCAGTCGAAAGACCAGGAGCTCACCAAGCTCTTTCTCACAATTACGAACACGAGCCTGTTTTAAAAACAAAACTTTCTAGATCAAAATGCACTTTTTGTAGAGCTCAATTTGCAGTAGCTCTACAAACAGTGGAAAGGGACCCAAGTCGCAGGTTTATTCATTTATTATAATAACAAATGTATCAAGACATATTGACTTTCATGTAAGAAATGAGCCCCCGCCTTTCATTTTGGTACATAGAGTTTTCCAAATGGTTTTAAAATGTCAGTTTTCTGTTGTCCCAAATGCAATGTCTGTTCTCCCAATTGCAATGTGTTTCAACAGCAATTACTTTTGTTTACCATTGAAAGCTTTTGTGAAGGCAAACAAAGGCGTGTAAAGCATTTTTTATTTAAAGGTTGTTCTGGATAAATTTGACCTTGAATAATCTGTATTGGCAAACAATAGCAGGAGGCAAAGACATTTTTCGCATAAAAAAATTTCTAAACATAACAGAGATTTAACAACATGGTTTTTAAACTTCAAAATGCTACATATTGTCTCTGGGCACAACCCAAAGCCCATATTGCCGCTCTTGCAATTAATATGCCGTTACCAGACACTGTATATTTCTGCGTTCTTTTACATTGTCTAGGTAACACTGCATTCAGTTTATTCTGGGATTTGTTGTGTGTGAAAAATGACCGCAAAACGAACACCCACCATGATTTATCCAACTGTTTTGTTGAACTATTTGTCAGATGTATAGTCACATATAATACTATAGTATTTTGGATATAAAAGGGGACCCAGAAGGAGGAGATTAGTTCATACAAAGGGTTGTCCCCCTGCTACTTCCTGTCCCTGTGTGTCGCAGGTGTTTGGCTCCGTTTCCTAATGCTGTCATGCTAAAAAAAACTCTGCCGTTGCCCCTTTTAACCTCCCAGCATGGCAACCAGTAGCAGTCGTCACCAGTCTCCTGAGTTTATTAGGCAATAAATTACCCACAACCCACTCAGTCCAAGTCTCTCAGCCAACCAGTGTTTGACAGAATGCTTCCGGTAGCCCAAGCACACAGTATTATAATCTGTTTTATACTGAATCGGGGTGAAAAACTTTGACCTCTCAACTGGGGGTAAGGCTGAGAAAATTCATCATCTGCGGGGAAAGATGTTTTTTTCTGGAGAAGGGGGTGTTGGTGGTGGGGATGGCAGCGTGGGAAGGACATGGTAGCGTTTCCTTGAATTTTCAGAATTATATGAAGTTGTTTGGTGCAGTATTAACTTACAATTTGTACGATTTGCCCATTTGTATGATTTAGGCTGGTTTGCTGCCAAGACTTTCGCTCTAGTCTTATCAGCCAAAATATTTACCAAATGGTTAAAATAATTCTCATAAAAATGATGACAAACAGAAAAACAAGACAAGTTCAACAGGTACCATTAAAGATTTAACTGATGAGCTCTTCATCAAATTGCTCAAATTCATCTGAAACGAGAAGAGAAGACAAACATTCCTTTGGCTCAATTCACATGAAGTCAAGAGACGAAAACCGTAAATTAAGCGTTAAGCCTCTATGAATTCAGACCCAAACTAAAAAAAAGAATAAGCAGAACGCTGTAGCAATTGCATTAATAACAGAATGTTTAGACAAAAAAAATAATGCTCTGGAGCTTGGACTGCTTGTGTCTGATTTTGAGTCTACAGAAGTGCTTTGCCTTTTACTTGGCGGTGTTGCTGGGGAGTTGGTGGGGGGTTAGATGGCTGTGATAGATGGTGTTTTAATTGAATAGCTGGACAAGTCTAAGGAGAGAAAGAATAAGAACCCTGCAGGAAGTCATTTGAATAACAAGGGGGCACATCTGCACCAGAAGGGGGTGGAGGGAGTGAGTTAGTCAGAAAGTCCAGTGAGACTGAAGCGGTGCGCGGGGAGTACCCCGTCGTGTGATATCCTTCTCCAGTTTTGATTGACTTGAAATCAAATCAAACCCCACATTTGCAATGGGTGTCGCCACTCAAGACTTTCCACTGTGTGAGCAATGCTGGCAGTGGAACAAGCTTCCACAGTGAATGCTTCTGCCCTTGTTTTTTTTTTTTCATTTCACACTAGAGGTATAATAAAAGCCAGGAGTGGATTAAGTAGAAGAGAAAATAAAACAGGATGTTCTGATCAGTATTAGATCACTGAATTAAACTACAAGGCATTTAATTTGTAGAACAGAACATGGAAACCATATTGCAACCAAAAAGAGGCAGAATTCTCCCAAATATGTGTTATGATGCTCAAGGCACAGAAAAGGGAATTTTAACTGTTTCAAAAACGTAAAATCGTTTTAGTGGTGGTTGAAGTCACAAATGATGAACAAATATTTTCATCTCAGTTTTTTTTTTCTACTCATCATGCTTCAATATGTTTTAAAGCTCAGAGGTTGGAAATTAGAAGGAATGATCTCAAAGCCATAGTTTTGAGCTTTTATAATTAAATTTCCTCAGCTGA